TCAACGACAGCGAGCCAAGAATTTCAATGACAGTGTTGACTTGATAAGGCTGGCTCAAATACCACGCCCGCGATTTCTCAAGTGTAGCACATCTGCGGTCATCCATCAAAGGAGCTTGAAAGAGTACAAATTACAACGGCAACGAGATATGCGTCACGGTTGCCAGTTGTTATGAAGCTTCCCTTTGCACCTCCCGATTCGGCTAGCGTCAAACCGGGGGGTACACAGGTACTTCGTAAACAAGGTTCGGGGTCATTTGAACGCAACCCAGTTCAAATCTACAGGATGTGCAAATGGCAGTTTCATCAAGGATGAAAGCTTGGAGTGGATGGCAGGATTCCCTCATCGCGCAATCCGTTGACCGACCAATGCCACAAAATCTACGTAAATGACCTTAAATAGCCTTCTCTGTGTCAGTCGGCAGCCATACCTAATGGTGAGATCACTGAGGGTTTCGAGCATAGCGTATTTCGCGAAACCGCGGCCGAGGATTCATCTGACCCCTATTCTCATCACCACGCGTTTCGCGACACGCTTCCAACACACCCGCCTGCCCCCGAAGCCGGCCAAATGGGATGATATCTCAGAAAGGGCGAAGCCCGTCATCAAGCACAAATATCCAGGGCTAGGCCTCAACCTTCATTACTATCCTGATTCCAATGAGCCTCGGTATCTTCGCGGCATGGGCCCGAACACGTATCGCTCCGAAATGCTTTTCGTACGGGAAGTTGCCATGATGATCCTTATGGACCTACTGACGGACAAACCCGATTGGCATCGAAAGGTGTTTGACGAGTCCATTGTCGAAAAGTGGACTCAGGAGGCTTTGAATCTGCCAACCGAACCTCTTTGGAAGGAAATAGTCGACCACGATTCCCCAATCGGGCCGTGGGATCCTTCGGATTTTGAGCACTTTGCCGCCTCTCCCCCGAGCCCGCTCTTCACTATAGAAATGCTCGCATACGTAAGTATTTGTTTCTTAAGCTCAACAGACCCAAAGGCCTAGCCTTGGCTTCATATTGACCCCGCTCGAGCAGTGTATAAAGGAGCTGCGCGACAAGGCAGAGTACTTGCAGAGGAGCGGTTCGATTCCAGTTCTCGACACGAACCGCGTGGGTATCGTGAAGTCAGATACTCTCATCGGCGAAGATCATCGGCAGGAGCTCGTCAAGGCTTTTGACAAGCTGAAGGCCGAACAAGCGGACAATCCCGATTGGCATCCTGGCAGCAACGAACTGGTTAGAAACCTCGTGCATCCTTCCATGTACCCCTTGGTTTGGAGCCGCAGCAGGATCATACAGGAACCGGTCGTGGGAGTGGCTGATGCAGTTGGCCAGTGGCTCGGCAAGGGCGACGTCCGAGAAGCAGATGTGACCCAGGATCGACATAAATACGAGCCAAGTACCACTGACTACTGGAGCAAAACGTATCAGTGGCTCCCCTCAAATGTCGCCTTCCAAGATGACGGAGGCGTGAAGTTTACAAGCTATATCAACAACCTGCACCCGACGAAATATCCCGATATCTATCGGACTATTGAGAAACTTGTCGAAAAGGCTCTTCCGGCATGGGATCAATGTCTGACAGGGCGGTCGGGCCCTCGCTTTTCCGAGCCCAAGAACCCGGCGTAAGTCTCGATCCCGGCTATTAGTGACCAGCCCATTGTCCTTCACGGCGTCCATGTTGACTGATAACGCGCTGAAGCGACGAGAACCGGGATAACTGGTATGATACGAGGCCCGAGGGGATCGTGTACGATCCCGCTAAAGACCCTGGTCACTGTTCGTATTTGTATAAGGACCCAGACTACCGCGAGGAGTATATCGAAGAACAGCTTTTTACTCTGTTCCGAAAAGCAAAGCATCCCGACCCACTTGAGTACAAGTTGCGGAACTACGATGTCGACGCTAAGGATACGCTGAAATCGCGGTTCCGTGACACAGGCCTTCAGATCATCGTAAAGATGGCTAGCATTGAGCTAACTCCGGAAAAACCCTCATACCCTGGCGGGAACTGGCACCTTGAAGGGCAACTTAACGAACAGATCGTCGGAACAGCGCTTTATTATCTGGATAGCGAAAACATCACTTCCAACCGTATCTCATTCCGGATGAGCACAGACGCGGAGCTGATAGAGATGGAATACGATGTTCCCCAGAGCCAATTTACCTGGCTTGAGTCGGTATATGGCACCAATCTCGGGGACGGGTCCGCCTTTCAAAACTATGGAAGCGTGGAGACGAAGCAGGGACGGCTCCTAGCGTTTCCCAACGTATTCCAGCATCGCGCCACACCGTTTGAACTAAGAGACAAAACCAAACCAGGCCATCGCAAATTCGTGGCCCTTTGGCTAGTTGACCCTCTAGTTAGGGTCATCACCACGGCAAACGTGCCTCCACAACAGGCGGACTGGACTGAGGGACCCGCTCCCGATGTGGACCTTGATTGCAGAGAACAGTGGCCCATGACCCACGAAGAAGCCATCAAACATCGTGACGCTTTGATGCTAGAGAGGGGATTGTCACAAAAGGCAAATGAGGACGCATGGTATGAGCGGAGCTACTGTTTTTGTGAGCACTGAAGTATATAATAATATCGAAGAGATACGATGGGGAGTAGAGAAGGCTGCCATTGCACTGTATTCCGAGAGACGGCGAGAGATGTTGATTCCGAAGCCGGAGCTTTACTAGGGACTCTGTTAGAATGACTATTGGGCCGTGGAATGGCGCATAGATCATTTCCATAAATAACATGAAATTCAGGGGTGATATGTCCTTCCGGCCTTTTCGGGTGACAATAACATCGCGCGGCTATCTCCCACGTCTTCAGAACTATACTAGCCACCCTAGTTTCGTCTAGACATGGATGTCTTTTTCGGATAACTGTGATCGGTCGGCAATTGAAAATAGAGGTAAAAATGGCAACTTAATAAGGAAAGCAATGGAGAAGAGTGATAACCAGTTTTCGCGTAAAGAACAGAGCCAAAACACTAGCGTGCGTGGGCTACATGTACAGCCTACTCGTCGCGAAGAAGTAACATTAATCTACTGCGGAAACATTGTCACACAGGCAGATCATTGCAGGACCAGATGGCCCAGGCATCGTATGAAACATACATCAGTTTTCCTTCCCCATTCCGCTGCTGCAGACTCTGAGGCTGGGACAAAGTAAGTCGCCTCACAGTGGAGCGTTAGGAAATCGAGAGGCAAGGTAGTCCTGTAAGGTAGACCTCCACATCGTTGGTTAGGCTAGAGATCGCTACGGAGCTCAGAAGGCGAATAGGGTAAGATAGGATGAATACAAAAGATATGAATCATCACGTTCTGCGCCTGGGAAGAACCTGCTTATCTTTTGAGACTAGAAAGACAACAGATTGACTAGTAGCCTTCAACTTAAGCTCCACATCGTTGCCCAGGAGACTCACGGTAGAATTGACATGCATCAAAAAGAGGCGAAGCACCCGCCCCCTAGTTTCCATCCCGAAGAAGAAGTCTCTCATCAGATGGGCATAGAATTTAAAATATCCAAAAATCGCAAGGTTACTTGATGTCGAGGTCCCTGTAGTAGTGGGTTGAGGTATAGCTTAGCTGTTTGCTGGAGCTCGAAGTAACCAGTGTCCCGTTGATCAACGAAGTCCTAAGTAATACAACTATTTAATCCCGAAGCCAAGTCCCGCACCGTATCATGTTGTGCCGTTTCGCGAACGTGGAGGAGTCCCCTTTACATTTTATACCCATCACCATTACTCAATTCATAGCGGCAGAGTCTTTCTTAGACACTTAGGGCACTGCCTTCGTCAAGGTGAATCCATAATACCCAAATGAGCCCGGACCTCCTAGCACGTCTACCTTGATATTCCAGCTAACACCTTCTCGTTCTAGGAGAGGCTTGATAAAGTGGGGTTGCCTATATGTAATATATAGAAACATGCCATCTGGCTTGAGAACACGAAAGACCTAAAAGTAGTTAGTATCTAGTCATACACCTTATCAGAAGTTGTCGAGAGGTCCTAAGTACTTCTCGGATATATTGACCAGAGTTCTCCAGAACATCATCAGGGGGGTTCCAAGGACTGCCATGGATCATGGCATCTAATGTGCCTTTATCAAAAGCAACATCGATCGAATCCGATGGAATGGAATCCATGCGGCGGACATCTCCCCTCCTCCACTCGATGCCTCTTATTTCAGCGTGCTTTTTGGACATGAGTTCCACAATAACAGGGGAAAAATCGAGGCAGAGTTGGTCATTATATCCCCTTTCAGCAAGCTGATCTGGGACAGTCTAGGTTTAATAAATTCGTCAGTAGGTATGTGAATTTATATGGCTACTAGGGACAACTTACACTATCTCCAGACCCGAGGTGCAGTATCTTGCTTGTCGCCGGTCTCTTTAACAGATTCTGCTCGAAGAAAGGAAGCAGATCCTCAAAAGACCGAAACCACTCATGAAGCTGCTGATCTGGGCCTACTTGACCATATCGTTCGTCCCAGTAGTCGGCATGCGACAGGCGTTCGAGCTCGGCATCAGACATGACTTAAACAAATTCCACCCTTTCAGGAATAAAGCAAATTTTAGTTTGGATATCCTGAGGGAGGACGTTTTTCGGCCTCATGAGGGGTAGAAGACGACTGAGGGGCATTATGACGCTTAGTCAGAATATTGCCTGTTAGACGGTATTACTAAGCGGTGGAATGCCAATCATAGACTCAAGAATTAGCAAGGACGAGAGATGATGAGAGGAATAGAATAGAAAGGCATCCCGAATATAAACCCAACACCCTCAGTCACTGCGACTAAATTGGGATAGACATCATAGGCTATTCGTTCGCATTTTGGAATGCCATCAATATGAGGCCCTCACAATAGCCCGTCACCCAACATCGTTGGTGTCACCTAATAGTTAGTACCAAGTACTGCGTTCTCAACTCTTAGATGAGGAAAGGTGGTTTATCAAACGGAGTTTCTTGCGTAACTAGACTATCTCATTCTTCCGAGGCTCAGATGGCTTCTACTTTCTTTACGCCGCCCAACCGACAAAACATATCCAGCATAGTCCGCGCCACCTCATCATTAGAGATAGGATCGGCGAGACCTACCCCATAGCCATCGTCGTCAACACGCAGAGCCTCCAGGGGATCCGCCCCTCCCACTTCCACTAACAAGCGGCACATCTCAACATCCATGTTCCTAACGGCGATCCGAAGCGGATTCCAAAAAGGATGGGCGTTCCCCTTCTTCGGATCTGCGCCAGCCTCCAGCAGGATTCTAACAACCTCGACGGACGAGCGAGCAAATGCGAATTCACTCAGCGGCGCGTCTCCAACTTCGTCCAGCTCATTCACGCCCTCCGGGTGATGCTCGATCAAAAGTCGCACGACCTCCGGATTGCCGTACCGTGCCGCGGCGCAAAAGACGTTGGCCCCACCGAGGTCGCGGTGGCGGAGGTGAGCGTCGATTCCCGGTTGCTGGAGTAGGTATCGCAACACGTGGATGTGGTTGGACCAGACTGCTTCGCCGACGGACTGGTGTCTGTCGTGGCGTTTTGGATCGACCTGGCGTTGCCGATCGCGGAGGAGTTCGGTGCGCAGTTCCGGGTTCTGCTCCGCCGCGTCGAAGAGTCTCTCGATGACGGGGAGACAACCTGACCTCGCTGCTTCGCATAGCAGTTCGTTACCCCAAGAATCGGTGACTAGGAGAGGGACCATAGTGTAGACGAGGTCGAAAAATTCTACCAGTCCCTCTTCTTCATCTTTGTCGCAACCCTCGGCAGCCAAGTTTGCCCACTTCCCCATGGCGTTCATGTAGAGAGGTAACGTCTGGGGAGTCAGTCCGACATGTTGTTGACGGAAGAAGTTGCAGAGACGGGAGGTTCGTCTGTAGCTGACTAGATGCTTAATGGTAGTCGCGATGGACGTGCCTAAGAATTCGGGGCTAGTATTGACGTTGTATTTAGCCAGGATAGCCTCCATTGCAGCCGCTGGTCCGAAGGTCGATATGATCACCAGCGGATCTAGCACCTCACTGGCCCAAGACAACTTTGGCAATATAGTACAGTCAGGGCGGCAATGCTGGTCTACCCAGCTACGTAGCCTGTTCGATTTGGCTCGGCAGAGTCGAACGATATCCGATATGTCGGGCGAGTGTTCCCAGGAGGCGAGCTGAAAATGTTCAAGCCAGTAGCATGAAGCATAGACAAAGAACTCTCCGAAGCCACTCTCGGCCGGGTCGAAATATAGTGGTGCGGAGGACTCTGCAGCTGCATCCGTGTCTGATACGTGGCTCATAGCAGCATTCGTAGCAGCAGTCGCACCACCATCCTGGTCGGGTACATCGGCGTCATCGCTGTCATCAAAGAGTCCATCCCCTTGAGGCAAATGGGTCAGGATTTCGGCCTGTTGCTGATCTTCGGAAAATAGAGCCATCTCTCCATCGTCGAATTCATTGAGGAGCAAGTACCTCACACAGATGGCCAAAAGCTGCGCTTCCAGCTCCGATTGCCGCTGCTCCATTTGCATCTTCTCGGTCTTGGACATCTTGTCCAGGTTTCCCAACCGTTCCCAGGCCGACGGCGGGCGTCGCAAGATCAGCAACTTCAATGACTGATGTACAAGCATCACTTGACGCTTTTTAACGTCATCAAAATCGACGTGGCCGACGAAGGGCTGCACCAAGTTCAAAACGCGTTTTTCGTCAACCCACCCCTCCAACTCTTGCACTTTCATATCAGAGGCGTCATCCTTGGGGATGTCTTCGAAGGCTAACGCCCATCCTAGCTCCAGTATGCTCAGGGGCCTCTTCGCAACGGCGAGGGTTTCCAAGGCTCTCGTGGCGAGCGTTTCATTCTCTTCTTCGCCTTCCGATGCTTGATGGAAGAGCTTCAAATAGAGCTCCGAGAGGTTAGAAGGCAGCGGCATTTCCTCGAGGAAATTCTGCATGCGGCCGTAGGAGTTTATCTTGCGCTTTCGTATGAGATCGACCGTGAGCTTGATCCAAATGGCACTTCCGCTGGCTGCATCGCATAGTTTTCCCACGACCAGGTCCCGAGTCTGCTTAGAAAGTCCTGGCAGATTGTTGCTCACGAGACAGTTCACGATGGCGATGTCTCGTGCTCGGTCGGGTAGCAGGCGGATCTGTGCTGCTCCGTGCAATAACCCCTCTGTCTCTTCATTCGGGCGAGACGAGAAAAAGACCTTCAACCTCAGTGTATCCTTGGCAATACCTTGAAGCAGGGCGATAAGCTCCCGCCGTGACTGGTCATTGCACTCGTCAATCGCGTCGATGACAACGATTACTATCCTGTCAAGAGACTTGATACACTCCGCAAAGAAATCGCCGAGTTCCTTTGACGATTGGGCTGGATCGATTAACTGGGCTCTTTCCCTGTCGGCATGCCATTTATCAAACTTGAGTTTAAGGCCCGGCCGTTGACGAAACAGCTGCAACAAGAGGCTCGAATATATGTAGACGGTGTCGGAGTTCTCTTCGGTGTTGCAGTAGTGGTAGCAGATGAGAGGTCGAGGCAGGAAATTCTTGTTCAGGTGGATCAAGTGGTCGATCACGAAGGCCGTAGTAACAGTCTTGCCGTAGCCCATGGCTCCGAACATAACCAAGAACTCACCAGTCGATGCGTTGTACCATTTGAGAAAAGCCGGGTTTTGGGTTATCCACGTGCACGCGTCGTCTGCCTTTGCGTTTCGCATGTTGCAGTGGTGCTCACTTCGATCTCTGTCCTTATCGACGCCAAGGAGTTTCAGAACTTTCCACAAAATGGGACGTCAGTTAACTGCATTCGTGTCTAGCGAGGGTAATAAAAGCTACAGTGAATCGGTGGACACATACTTTTGTCATCGAGTAGCAGCCGCTTGATGTCGTCGACGAGCGTAAGTGTCGCATTTCGGATAAAGTCTTGCAATAGCGAGACGTGTTGGAAGAACCTTGTGATGATGGGCGGCAGTTTTTCGTTTAGAGCTTCTGAAAGAAACCCAAGGGCTACATGCCTATGCGAGAAAAACTTCATGGCAGCCAGGTAAAACTCAAGGAGGTCTACGTAGACTCGTACAAGGCCCTAGATAGTCGTTAGTCTTGAGGCCAAAAGAAACGGCGCAGCACATGGAGTGCTTCGCGTTGATTCCAGTGGTACCGACGGACATTTTGAATGGTATCATCGCTGATAAGCTTCTGTCCTAGAGTATCACACTCATCGATGACCTCCGTATACTCTAGCATCTTGGTAATTTGGGCACTCAGGGCCTCGTTCACACCGCAAATATTGATGGCAACCTTCATAATCTGTCAACTCTTTTCTTCCAGGAAAAAGTAAACGGGGCGGGTGACATTATCTACTTTCGATACTGGGAAAGTAGATTGTTTATATGCTGGGGTATTAAACCAAGATCACTCACAACAGTAAAAGATTTCACCGCGCCGGTGGCAGTCGCCGCCGCCATGGGTCCCAACTCGGCGAAGGGCTTGGCCAGGTCAACAGCCAGTTTGACGTATTGAAGAGGTTTCTGGAGCTTCTCTAATCCTTTCCGAAATGGGGAATTTTCGGCGTTTTCTGCATCACGGTCCCGAAGCTCCATGAGCAGTTGGTTGATTCTATCACTCTTCATGACCATGTCTCTCTTGTCTTCATCGAGGCTCTCAACCGCCTCACGGTATGCGACCGTCCAGATATCTTTGCCACCATGGCTGGCTTTATCATCAGGCACCTCAACTCTGAAGACGACGTTTGTCGAATCGGATTGTTCCGCTGTCGATGTGGTGGCGATGGCATTTGTCTTCTCTGTCGTGCCCTCCGTGGTAACTTGGTGAGAATCGAGCTGTCCTGGCGAATTCGCGGTATCCTCAGGATCCGCGAGCTCGATCTTGATTTGGACGGTAGAGTTTGAGATATCAGAGGGTTCCGACGTGGCCGTGGTGCTAGATAAACTGTGGTTCAAGGCAACTGCCGCAGAATTTTGACTTCGTGCCCAATAATGTCAGCTTGGCCTGGGAAATAGCTCTGGTCGGGGGAAGATCAACCTCTTAAACTGGTCCGAAACATGCTGTGAGGTACCTTGGGGTTCTTGGGAAGATTCTTCAACTGAAGAATCGATTTGCGGCCTTGAAGTCGACCCGGACCTAGACCTAGACCTAGAAAGGGAGCGACGAAAATCCAACCTGCTCCAAAGGCGCCTTCTCTGAGAATCCGAATTATCTTCGGGCATGTTGAGATCGGATCTGTGGCGCTAGCCTCAAGAGCGTCTTTATAACTAAAGGCTTGGCTGTTCAAAGAAGAACTAGAGAAACCGACGTGTCGAGAACATGAAGAAGATATCCCATCCCACACAGTATATCGAAACTGCCAGAGTTTCCTTCCAGGAAATGCAGCATGGAATTCGTCAGCGTCTCCAGTCATCGACCCTGGTGGAGAGGGGGAAAGTGGATTTTGGCGGGAAACAAATAAATCCTACTGGTGATCCCGTACGATTGCAACCGCTGGGGCTAAACGGTCCAGCCCATTACATTAGCAGCAGCTTGGTGCAGGTGCCAACAGGATTCTTCCATTGGCTGCTGTGATCCGATGCATCATGCACGTATCCACTCCGCTCACCAACATCCCAACCAACAGTTATTATTAGAGGACTACTCGAGCGTATCAGATTTTAAGCAGATATGTCTGATACATTTTGCGTTTCTGTACAGCAGCTCCTTTTACTAAGGAGGTATCTTTATCGTTCTCCAACTACCTTTCAGTACCTAATAATAAAAGAGCTTCACTGACAAGCCAAGACATGACCCCATTTTATAAATGCACTCTTGGCATAGAATCCCGATATTGCTCCTCCGTCGAGTTGGTTATTCAAGCATTAACAACGACGCGCCCAACGACCTGTCACGCCTACTTCAGCGCGACCTTTCGGCACCCTTTCTTGGCATTTTTTTTCCTGGCTGAAATTCCTTTGGGTAGATGCCATATGTTCTAAGGAGGTCATTCGGGTGAATCTCAAGAATATCTCACTAACGGCTATGCCGAGGCATGCGTCACTCCTGTTCTGTTGTATGGTTATTTAGTCTATTCTCAGCCACCGCCGCCATCGTTCGCTAGGGCTCAGCAGCAATCGGAGACTAGGTCGTCGTTGATGTGGGCATGATGGACGTCGGAGTTGTTGCTGGCCACGAAACTGGGCAAGTCCTTGCTACATTAGTCGAGTGGGGTGTTAAGCGGCCGTTTTTTTTCTCGTTGCCTAGGCGCATCTAAAGAAATGGACTGAGAAAGGACGGTAGGAGTAGATGAAGAGAGAGAGAGAAAGACAGTAGATAACCGAAAAATATACAAAGTGTACTCAAGCTATCAATCAGTAATATTTCTTTTAAACATGAATAGTCGACAAAAATAAGAAGCCCAAGCTTTCCAAAAGGGGGGGGGGGCTAGAAAAAAATAGAAAGTTGATTGGTAAAACAAAGGGAAAAAAAGATAGCAAAAAAAGCTCAGCTCCGGGATTGAACCAATCGCCGACGAAAACAATCTGGGGTCGTTTTCAAACCTAATGAGTCGTTTGGACTTGGCCCGCCAGACGCCAGACCATCATGAGTACAGGCTCACTTGAACAAGTCGGCCGGTAGTTCGCCCTGTAGCCTCATATATAAAGCTATGATGGGGTCCAGGGGTCCATTTCGGGGGAGGGGATGCGGGAAGGAGGGATGGGGCGGCCACCTTCCCTCGACGGCTCAGGACGCTGAGGAGCAAAGTGTTCAAAGATCGGGTTATTTCTTGGTGATGTCTATGTCATTTAGGAATTCAGGGATTCCTCCCGCCTCCAGTCCCTATTTCCAATTCGACGGGTCATGAAATTGAAAGGTGGCTAGCCAAAACCTGACCCTCCTGACAAAAGACGGGATCGCATCAGTTAACAAGTGGACGTATCGTTCGTGATCGCCATCCAACCCCCCATTTCAAACGTCAAAAAACCCACCGAAACCAACACCTCAATCCCTCTTGAGTCTAGTCTCCAGCATGATAGTCCTCCCAACAGCCGACTCGTATACCTTGACAAGCTCCAGCCCAGCCTCATCAAAAATCCTCTTAAACTCCGCCATCGTCCTCTCCTTGCCGCTGATGCAGAGCAGCGAAAAGTCAAGCCAATAGAGGTCGATGGCGCCTCCGACTTCTACGCGCTCGGGGACGAGCATGTCGCTGACGATAAGACGTGAGTCCGGACCCATGGCCGATGCCGTATTTTTGAGAATTTCGATGCTGACGGGGTTGTAAAAGTCGTGGAGGAGGCGGCGCATGAAGTAGACATGGGCATCTGGCAGTTGAACGCGAAGTTAGTACACATGCAGATTATTGACGCAACATACGGCCGGACCTACTCTTCACTGGCTGAGGAGTAAAAATGTCATAGGCCATGGGCTCGATATCGGGGATATCCTCGGGTTTTAGACTATCAATGACGATGGGCAGATCCTGTAGAATGAGTTTACTTCCATAAGAACCCCCCAAATGATTCTTAATGGCACGGAGAGCCTGTCCTCTACCGCCACCAACGTCAACAATAAAGGGTCGCTCAGGCTCCTTTTCAACCTGCTCCTTCAGAGAGTCGAAGGGGAACATGTCGAGGATGGGGAAGTTGCTTTCCATGTTTTGGAGGGTATGGTTCCACCAATTCCTTTGTTCAGGGTCAAGGTCGAGCACCTCATAGTAGGTCTTGCCCTCATGGCCCGCAGCAAAGGCAAACGGACTCTTCCGAATATCGAAGAGATCCTCGGGAGAATGAGTCTTGGCATAGTCCGGAAAGGCACCCCATGTCTTCATAAAATCGACACACACGCAGATGAACGAACCTAGCGCAAGAGGCTGGAAAACCTGAGCAAGCGCATTGCTGGCATATTCATCGGGCCCTGTCTCGACGCCAATCCCATTCGCCACAAGAATTCGCATGGCACGGGTAATCACAGAGACGTCGACATTGCCTTCCTTGGCAAGCTGCTCGGCCGTGATGCTCCCCTCGGCGGGGATCTTTTCAAACACTCTGATGCGGAGAAGGACGTACAGCGCCGCGGCCGTACTCATGTTCTCGAGCCATCGCAGACCCGTGTCGTAGGGCTGCTCGATGGCGGAGCGGACCTTGTCGACTTGCTTCAGGAGCTTGAAGTGATCGCCTTGGCTACCATCACTAGCCTCGAGGGCTGAGACGAGGGCCTTGGCCTCGGCGAGAGCCGCGCTGAGGTCGGTTGACATGGCCAGTGGGTGGGGAAGGGGATGGAGCGGAAATGTGGGCAGGTGAACGAAGAAGGGCTCGTGTTTGATTGGAGAACCGGTCAACTGGAGACGCGAGGTTGGTTCTGCTTGTAGACCCAGCAGTAAACAAACTATCAAAGAAGGATGCAAAATTGACGTGCTTTCCCTCAGGGTGCTTTACAAAGGTTCCATCAAGGCCCTTTAAAATATAGGAAAAGAAACAACATGGAACGAGATTCTTCAAGGAACCCCGAGTTCTCCAAGGTTCTGATGAGGGGGGAGGAGAAGCGGACACTAAAGTGGAGCTATTCTCCAAGTGGTTAACCTCAGCATCCCGGTATTCCGGGATGTAACGGATGGGATCCCAGGTTAAGCCAAGCCCAATCAAGAAAAAACAGGAGCGTCATTTAATGGCTACTAGCGCAATCTGCACAGCACGCTAAACTTCTCCAAGTAAATGGATTTTTGGTTGAGCCGGGTTGTGCTCTTCAAATGGCCTGTCAAGCCTGGGTGAAACGAAGAGTGAACGAGAGGGCAGGGCCCGATTGGCTGGTGAATGCGATGAGAGAGAAAAGGGTGGGGGGAAGGCCTCGTGAATGTTCGCTGTTGTTACCTGGAAAGGTCCCTGATGGTTCGTTTTCAGTCGGCTGCGCTGAGTGTGGACGCCCAGACAGTGGAATGGTGGGGGTGCGAGGGAACCGAGAATCATGAACACTCATCGCATGCACCCCCTCGCCTCGTTTCCCTGTTCCATGGTAGATTCTCCTTTGCTTCTCTTTCGTCATCTTCGCCTCAGTGACTCGCTGCGACGCTACCCACCACTTTACTTCGTACAGCTTTTCATGTCAAGGTCAGTCCGTCCACCACCGTCCCCCATTGGATGAGAGAGTGAGCAATTTCCAGCCACCCAATGTCAGAATTGTTAATCTCTCCTGATATTATCGTACTTACGTACCTTGTTCTAGAAGCGAACGTGGCCACTTGACCGCTATCTCGACTTGCCTGCACCAAGTATTTTCGTCCTGCTCCCTACAAGCGCACATAATATTTATTAACCTGAAATATTTTCTTGCCGCCCCGAAAGGCTTTCCCGTCTTTTTACAACAATCCCCGTATCACGGACTTCGTCGACTCGGAAATCTGACCCCTTGCCCCTTCGAAGCTACTCCACTCTGAGCATCTCCCTTTCCCCGGTCCCCGCAAGGGTTTCCCGTCTTCCCGTCTTCCCGTCTTTAGGTCGCCCCGCCGGAGGACATTCTTTGCTGTCTACCTCAGTGCAACAACACGATGTTCGATCCCTCAAACGACCCAATTCAACCCGACGAGGTAGGTGCATCCATTTATTCCTAGCCTCTTGTCAATGCTTCCACTAGCACGGCTTTGTTGCACCGCATAAATGCTTGGCCACGGGTTTTGTTCAAAGTTTTAGACTCAACATTCAGTCATCTGGACTCTGACGCTAACTCGATTCGGTCATGATAGTTCGACCCTGCTGATGACGAGGCAAGTATTCGTGAGCTCTGAGCTTAGCATCTAAAGATGCGATTGTTTCGAGGAAGATGACCAAGGGAAACTAACGGGCATGGCTTCAGGGCGCCGAGGTCGGTAGCACTCGCTCATCACTGACCTCGATTAGCGAGTCCGTATTAAAGGGCGTCGTCGGTGAGGGACAGCGGACATATGCTGCCTATGGGAAAGAGGGTAGGTGGTGAATCCAGTTGCGCTCAGCTGAATGGCTCACGTTCAGATTGCGACACCTTGGCGATCAACATTCAAATTAACCTTTCCTACTAGAATATGGATTTCCTATGGACGAGAAGGAGTTGGAAAGGATTGACCTATGCCACGTTAAATACGGAGCATTGCTGGATAAACGCCTCTTCCTTGCGCCTATCGTCGAGGACCCCGCGAGAATATTAGATTTGGGCTGTGGGACTGGTAAGAGATTAATGCAATTACCTCGAGTGCTTCCGAGCGGTGTTGACCGGGAGACAGGCATTTGGTGTGTCGACATGGCGGAAGAATATCCTGGGGCTCAAGTATCCCTTTCACTTCACGCAGGCCCGGCTCTGAGATACGGACTAACCCTCTTGTCAGGTCGTCGGCGTCGATATTGCCCCCACACAACCTGAATGGTAGGTAGGATCAGTCTCCCGATGCAATGGAATCGAGAGGCGCAGTGTATCTAACCTCTGCTACGATGTAGGGTCCCCCCAAACTGCCAGTTCGAACTTGATGACATCGAGCAAGAATGGACGTGGAAGGAAAACACAGCCGACTTCATTTTCTGTCGAGACCTTATTCTATCTATCAGAGACTTTCCTAGGCTTATCGACCAATGCTACAAGTACTACCTTCTCAAACCCCATGGTTGCCCGTCTCCCGTGAACAAAGAGAGTTAACACGCCGTCCCAGACATCTCAAACCAGGCGGCTGGGCCGAATTCCACTGCGTAACAGGCGTCCTCCAATGTGACGACGACAGTGTCCCCTCCGATTCCCATTTCCAAGCCATGTCCGACAATCTCATGACCGCCTGCAATAATTTCGGAACTCCTGTCGATGACCCTATGCGCTGGAAGGGATGGTTCGAGGACCGCGGTTTCGAGAATGTTACCGAGCGCATCTTCAAACTGCCGTGCAATCCGTGGCCGCGGGATAAACGGCTGAAACTTGTTGGCGCCTGGGAACAGCATAATCTGTTAAATAACCTCGAGGGAATGCTGATGAGGTTGTTCCACAAGGGGCTGGGCTGGTCCGAGGATGAGATATTACTGTTTTCTGCGATGTTGAGGAAGGATATCAAGAATTTGGGTTTCCATGCGTATTGGCCATTGTGAGCCTTCCCCCCCCCTTTTCGCTGTCAGAAAGCATACTGACTCTTTTCGTAGCATCACCGTTTATGGCAGGAAGCCGTTGAGCGAAGAGACGGCTGCGGATACATCGACACAAATGGCGCAGCAACCAGCCGCCGAGACGAGCTAAGTTTGGTTACCCGGCATAACTATGGAATGGATTCTAATCGGAGGCTTTTTCCAATGATGGCCACTGTGTAATTAGAAAATTCCTCAAGAAAAAATGAAATTCGCAATCATGTGGAAGACATCAACCGTCAACTCCCAAGGCAAATCTGTCCAGAATGTTAGCCGCCCTTTGGCATACTCCCTCATGAAGAACAAGCTTTGTGTTCCTCAAGGAGGCAATCCGACGCCACGATAACGTATGCGCAGATGAGCACTTCTTTTCGAAGTGCACCGTGGGGGAAGGCCTCAGATGTCTCCTTAAAGCGCTGCCTTGGGTGAATCGAGTCTAATACGCGCATGGCTACGGTTCTGGAAGAGGCCGGGCTAAATCCGCCGTATTATTAACTAGAGCATAGATAACTCAGAATCAGCTTGAAGGGATCAGGCAGTTCTAGGCCAAGCCAGTCGAGTAGACCGCCATTTGGCCGAAGATCCCCAATCCCGCAGCCGCCATTGATAAGAGGGTCCGCAATGTGATCTAGTCTTCTATAGAATTCATCGATATTTAGGCATACGGCCTCCTAATCCTTCGGGTCGACTATAGAGTCGAAGATTTCCACTTGGAGGGACATTAGTCTCCATATCCCGCCCTAATACATACTCTACAGTTGTTGCGTCGAGAAATCGTTTGATGAATGTAATTAAGTGAAGTGGAATCACGGAGGGTTTCCGCCGGGTTGCTGCGTTGCATAGACAGGAGACTGACTGGGTAGTTCCGACGCATATGCAATCGGGGGTTGCTGATGGCTGGCTAGCTCTGGTGGTAGATGAGCAGGACCATGGTACTGGCTAGGAAGCTCCGAAGCCGAAGAGATTATCTGAGATTGCGCGTTGGGAAACCGTGGCGTCCCAGTAGCAGAAAGATCAGAGTAATGGCTAACAGCCTGTTGACCGCCACTCAGTTCAGCGGCATGGTTGACGAGACCGGAGTACGCCTGCTCTGTCCCGGCTTGAGATGGGACAGTGTTTCTATTTTGCGAATGAATCTGATGACCGGCAACGGATGGGTGACCTGGGATGGGAAGGCCGTCCAATTGCTGAATAGGACCATTGTATACCGGCGGTGGAATGTGGCTTGCATCCGGAGGCAGCTTGGATGGGTCATAGATGTTCTCGATACCGAACCCTTTCGACTTCGTAACGCCATCCATCTCCTGTGGGACACTAGGGATGATTGGAGCGCCGGTACCGGTGACAGCACCGCCCAGGACTCCAGCCGCACCGATGCCAGATACACCCGCAGTTTCTGTCGCAGCCCCCGGCCTGTCGGTCGGCTTTTCTCCAGCGCCGCCGTCTCCCTGATCATTAGCTTGACCTTGGATAGCCGCCCTCGCTTTCAGGTGCTTCTTTCGGTACCAGAAGAAGCCGGCAAGAAGTATGATGGCAACTAAGAGCGCAGAACCAACGGCAATTCCAGCAGCCGCACCAGGTGAAATGCCACCACCACCACCACCACCACTGCCGCTACCGCCACCATTGTCTTCGTTATCGCTGCCAGAGTTATTGTCAGAGGATCGCGAGTCTCCCGTGCCCCCACGGTTCGTTTCGTCCGCGCCACCGCCGGTTACTTGTGCTTCGGGGGTTAACGGGTTCGTTTCTAGTATCGAGAGGTCACCCGCCTCCCAACGGATCTGGAATGCAGGAGCAGAAGTGGTGCCTCCTCCGGGAAGGTCCGTCGTCGCGTGAATCTGTTGAGGCCCGCATACCCACCCACTGCATGTCCACAAGCGGTATTAGCCAAGGTGCTTGCAATTAACTAGAGCGAAAGCGAGGGGATCGTTTCGCACACACCTTGGAACGCAGATGCCGCCAGTCTGGCTAGGCTTCATGGTTTTCGTAGGAGAACATCCTATTGTGTATCCACTCGGGCAAATGGCGGGCGAATAATACCCTCCATCGTACCAAACGGAGATGTATTGAGGTGGTCCGCACGAAGGAGTGTCGTAAGCTTCGAAGCCGATGGGGAAAGAGCACGGTGGAGTGAAGATTGTGCTCAACTCCACAACCATGTACGTGTTGTACGGACCTTCCACAACGACTGTAGTCATTGCTGATTAGTAGAGGTTATCGGCGAGTACCTAGGGGAACACCAGGTATAGTCGTCTCGAAGATTAGTTGAGAGGAAGTGATCGAGTCTGAGGGTTGAAAGGTGATCATGCTCGAAAGGCTATGGAGGAGCGAGGTCCTGCGATCCGCAACCCAAATTTAATTTGCACCGAGCCACGGAACAAAAGATCCGAATGGATCCGAACTATTGATTCTGAAATGGGGAAGAGGTTACATTGAGGTCTAGCCGCCACCAATAACAACGCGTTCTCGAGTGCACGGCTTTTCAGCTCGAGCCTCGTTCGGGGTGGTTCTGTGTGTCCTGTGGTTGAAGACGACGAATAGCCTGGGAAGCCAGCAACAAAAGAAAAGCACACTCCTTTGCACTCTTCGCAGTCGTTGTTAGCCTCAAAGATGAATGCGCTAGTAGAAGCACTGCAGGCGGTCTCAACGGTGGTTCAGTGGGAGAGATCCGCACCCCATGGAATGGGCGCCGCTGCGGGTCCGGGGCCAGATCGTAAAGAAAATAGTAATTAATTGTGTTGGCGGACGTTAAAGTATAACCTGTGGATTACCTATGGGCTTTCCGAGCCCTAGCTAGGACCGTAATCCTTGGATGGGTAGTAGTTCGGATGGCCAGTAGCCCCGTCTCATGATGATCTGACTGAAATATCTAATTCCTCTTCCTCCACGTCGGTCAATTCCACGAGTGCCTCGCCCCGAAGGAGGGCGAGAAGAGCCTTCCAGTACTCCTTCGGCCATTCCCTTGCTCTAACGTTATTTTCAATTATTTTCACTAGATCTCGGTGCCGTGCCAACTGAACTTGCAGAAGGACTTGAAAGGTCTTTAGCTTCATGTTCAGCTCGGCACATGTTATGTTTGAGTCAGGTTCGAGTGCAGCATAGACTATCGCCGATAACCACACCCTCTTAGGCTTACCCAAGAGAATCGAAGGGGCCATGCGTAGTACGCCTCGGGGGCGCTCCAAGCCGGTTGTCTGCGAGCTATCCTCGAGTTTTGCTTGAAGGTATGGTGCACAAGCAAACTTTATCGCCAAGTACGAACGAATGGCCGTGTCTGATTGGACTTCAATAACGTCGCTATAGCGCATGAATCTAACGCAGGATACAAGGCTGTGATGTTGAAGCCTTTCAATAACGCGAAGGAGTTTGGATCTGCTTTCGCAAGAGTTGTTGCATGTCCGTCCAAAAGAGAAGGCCATTGCGGGTGTGCCCAAACGAGAAACGACGACAGAAGCGAAGACGAGGCTTGGATCGTAATCCACCGGTCCGTCGCTCACAATTGTAGACTTAATGCCTTGTAACCAGTCAAAAACTGTTCGGTGGAGGAACTCCACCGATGGGCTAGCGTCGTCTTCGCTCTCCGGGCGGCTGACTTGGAGCATGCCGCCGGTATGTCCAGCCAACTGCCTTTCCAGCAGAGGTATGACTCCTACCATTTCGTCTTTGGTGATCGGGGGCTGTGGCTTGGTGGGATCGTGGCAATTGATGGCCATCCAGAAGTCTAGAGTGCTGATGGAATAGTGGAGGGTCTCATTCCACTGGAAGAGTAACTGGTACATTCTAGATGCCCCGTTAAGGAGATCCTTGCTGAGGCGTCTGCGCATCGAGTTATAGAGTTCTTCTAGTCCTGGCGGTAGCGTCTCAAACACTTCCCTGATATTGTGGAGGTCAGGATTGTCCTGAGCTGTGATGACGAGCTTCTTGACGACAAGCACCACCCAGAGGAAGACGCCGTTTGCCTTTTGGGTAATTTGAGACTCCAGTTCCTCGACGCTATTAGAGTCGAGGACTCTGAGTTCCTGGAACGCACGGCTGTTTCCTATTTGTGTGCGGACGTACTTTTCGATATCGGGCTTAGTGAAAAGTTCCATCCTTAGCGACGGGTATGTGTCGAATTCATCCTTGAAGACGTTCCAGGGACGACTTGAGACGCAGAGCTTGATCTTGTGTTCCCGGTGGAGTCGTTTGAGAAAAATCACCAGTTTTTCGAGGTCGCCTTCGTATTCGTCCAAGCCATCGACAAATACAGCGACGCAATCGGTGCCCTCGATTTTGGAGGCGATCCTGGTAATACCGTCTCGAAGCTCTTCGACTGTCCAGGCTGGAGGGGCAGGAGCATGTATTCCAGCAAGCTGGAAGTAGATGTAACGTGTCGGCGCGGCAATCTGGCAAAGATCTGGTCGCTGGCGGAGAAGTTGGTGAAACATCGTGCGGAGTAGGCCGCTTTGAGATTTCTGTCCTGAGGATCCTGGGTTCCAGAAGTAGATACTGCAGATTAGAGGGCGACGGCCGCCCGACCAGACACGAAGGTGACCTTCGACCTGGGGATTCGTGCAGATGAATTTCATCAAGGTACTTTTCCCGGACGCTGGGTTACCCGTGATCCAGAAGGGAGTCTCGTTGGCCTCGGATTCGAGCCAATCCTTGAACCCCGTCGTCTGAAGTGCCGAAGAACGTTCGCCATTGTCAGGACTACCGTCGCCAAGAAGCCATTGAAAAGTGTCGGGGAAAGGATCGTCAATCTGTCTCTCCCGGGCCATCATGTCGTCGAACTTGAGCCCCTCTAAGATTCTGCTGCAAATGCCAGCATTGTTGTCAGATGGATCATGGCTCTCAGTATGGCTGCCGGAGGTGGCATGGGAGCAGATCCAGTCGGCCGCCGTTATTGAAGTCCACAGTCCGCTCGGTATTCCATCCCTGTCAGGCATGATCGGTAACGGTCGGCGATTAGAAACATTGTGCAAATCCGGTTGTTGGTCGTCTATTGCATTCTTCATGACATCCAGGTTGTTTAGGACCCCTCCAACACCATTGTCAAGATTATTGAGCATTGCACGACTCTCTGCGACATCGCCTCTCCAGAAGGGAGGGAAACTTAGTGCCTGGTCTATGGAACCTAGAAGAAGCAAGAGAGAATAAAATAAAATAAAGTAGACCTAGCGCGTCGAACTTGACGTCGCGAAGTGCTTGTCGAGGGTGAGAAGAACAATGGAGGGAAATTTACATACGAGATACACATTATAATGCTCATCATTGTCTGCTCACGAATGCTCCTTAGGCGGCCTCGTAAGCTGTCGATTTCGCCTTGCTTTAAGAGCCCACGAATGGAGGCTAAAACCTGAGCACCTCCCGTCTTCAGGCCTCCGCCAGGCCTAGGAGTCAAGCTCGAGACAAGACTCCGCAGCTCCTCCTCGGCTTGGGTACACTCGGTAGCTAGGCGATCGAGACACTCGGATTGTCCTGGATATCGAGCCCGGAGGCTCGCAATTTTATCTCTCGCGTGGGTCGCATTGGCGGACAGCTCCTCCGATTCGGTCTGGAGAGCGGATAACGCAGCGGGGCGCCCATCTTCCGATTTCCGAACTTCCAAATATCGCGAAACCAACTTGGCTCCAAAGTCAACAAACGCGACGACGCCGGCCGCGATTGAGAGAGCGTTGAATGGATCCATATTCCCGGCGGGGAATGCGCTGTCTGATGGGACGGTTGAGAAGAAAGGGAGTGAGGAAAGCGCGAGAAGAGATGAATTGTATCGTTGGGCAGCCGGGGCTGGGCCACGACCACGGTGTATTTCTTGGCTCCTATATTTACTGCTGAGTGGCTATTTTCCCAAATCGAACGGCAGACAGATGCAGCCCTCATCCTGCGACGACCACCGATCGAGACCCTGGCGATCTGCCGTGGCTGTGACCAGTCAGCCACCTTGCTACCTTGGCTGCGCCCAATTTTGGGCAATGCTTCAACTGTTTGTTCACGTGGCTTCGCCCGATTCTGTTTTTGCGAAGACCGCCTTCAATGTTACAACATGGATCGAGGTTTCAGAAGAGGACTGACACGTTTAAAACGGCTGGGATTGTGGTCCTTTTTTTTTTTTTTTTTTTTTTTTTTTTTTTTTGTGTGTGTGGATATTTGCAGTAGCGGAGATTCTAGGATGCAAGTTACTTGTTCCACCGCCGACATGAGTTTTCTTTCCTCGTACTATTTGCATCTGTAGCGGTATTATGTTTCTTCTAATCTCCTCGGGCCACTTCATCTCGTGGGATCTCAAGAGCGAGGTGGATTTGCAATTCTTATTACTCAAACCCCGCAGAGTCCAATCTTCATTACCATTTTCATCTCTAGGTCAAATCATATAATACTTCCATCGAACCTTACCTCGACAGGATCGCTTCCATTCAGCCTCCGGAACGACTAGCCTTTCGTTTCCTCTGGAGTCTAGGCGTAGTGAATCCCGGAGATTGGTGGATTTCGGAGAAGATAGCAAGCGAACTGGGATAGTGAGTTGCGATCAAACTTACGCCTGTCACTCCGACCTGATTTAATATGATTAGGGTGATGGAATGTCTAGGGTCGTTTTCGGCGTGTTCACTATTATTGATCAAGAGAAGTCGGCTAGGTGACTCTAGAAATAGACACCTCATGATTTCGCTGTGTATCGCGTCCTTGGGCTCTGAACATGGCGCCTCCTTCGGGGGATGCTAGGACCACTATTGCTTTACATATAGACTGCCTTTGCTAACCTTAGTCACCTAATTACAGACAGTGACAAGAGAGCTGCCGGGTTCATGAGCCCTGCTCGAGTCTGGAGCAGTGGCTCAAAGATAATGGCATGGCCTGGCCCCCTGGGGTCGAGGGAGCAGAAACAGGAGGCTTTGGACCAGATCAGAGAAGCCTAACCAAGGGCAAAATCGCAAATATAATACAGTCCATATTAGGGTTGAAGTATATACCATATTTCAAGCATTATCTTTACTTAATGTCATACGCTTACAACTCATTCTCTCACAGCCAAGACTGCGGACTGAAGTCTATCCTTATCTTCGCGTAGCATCCAGCTCGTAAGCGTGCGTAGTTGGATCCATTTCATATACCCGCATATGGGGATAGGGCTGTGGCGTTGGATCCAGTTCTTGAGCATTCTCAGGTGGGCTTGTTGGACTTGTCACCCCTATTGGCGGTGGAGCCACTGCTGCTCCAGCAGGCCCAGTAGGATCTAACTCATGGACTCCCTTTTCCGGTTGTTGAGCGAAGACCCCCGGCGGAACAGCTTGTTGTCCAAATCCTGGAGGCGCCGCTTGTTGTTTTGCCGCCTTGCTTCTCTTGCGCAGTAAGAAAACCAGGACAACAACTCCGACCACCAAGGCGACGAAGACTAAAGCGCCAATGACGATGCCAGCAACGGCTCCCCCAGACAGGGAATTGCGCGAGCTGTCTCCTGAGCTGTCCCCTGAGCTGTCTCGCGAGCTGTCTCCTCCTTGTGGGTCGGTTGAACCCGAACCCGAACTCGACTTCGTAGTCGACGGCAGAGCGTCGAACGAATCCCCTTCCTTCCACCGAACTTGTATAGGCCAGGCAACTTGATAGGAGAACGCGAAGTCTGTGCGGAGGCTGAATTGCCGCGTCGATAGTGTTTTCTGGTTGAAGATATTGTCGAGTACGACTACGTGCGTCGATGTGGAGAGGGGACTTTGACAGGGCCCGGTCGAGGGCCGAAGACAATTCGGACCGGACGTGCAGGACATAGAATGTTCTCATCAGCCCCGATAATTGGGACGGCATCTGGGAAACGATGAAAGACAGGGACCTGAGCAAGGCGAGCCGATTGCCCGGCATTGTTGGCATTCCGGTTTGCTCGGTTGCGGAGGCCCAGCAAGCATGGCTGCACGACCCAGGCAATCCGAATAGCCCATGCCCAGGCCCAGGCATGTGAATTGGGGTCATCTCGACGGGTTGAGTAATATTGAATTTTGCTTTTAGTTTTTGGATGTATCTGGAGATATGGCTGTTAAGATTCGCTTGTATTTGGATTGTTCTCGCCTCGCCTTCGTGGACTAAGCCACCTCGGCCATTTCTTTTGGCGGTTATCTACTCGTTTATTCTGCTCTACATTTAATTATAAACTTATAGACCGACTTATTTTGAGCAGCCATAGCGTGATGCCGCAGAGTCTCCGGCGACACATTCGCCCATCTACTCAACCGGAATTCCAAGCCGGTTGTGTCGCCGGTCTCTCTGCGTTAAACCCTATTTTGGAGTTATTGTAACAACCAGTCCCGGAAATAGAAGAAGGGCAAAGAAGAAGAAAGAGAAAAAAAAGACGGAAAAAAAAAACGACAAGAACAGGATTCGAACCTGTGCGGCCGAAGCCATGTGATTTCTAGTCACACCCATTAACCACTCTGGCATCTTGCCTTGGTGACATCTAAGTTCCAAAAAGGGTATAATTCCCCCTGGCGTCGTGTGGGTGTGGGCTTTCCGCTAGTTTGTCCTGGCCAGCCGGGAACCGCCAGCAAAGCGGTGTCGTCGGGCATCACCGACCCACGACGACACGGCTGTGGGAAAGCTGAAAATTCGGAGACAGCGGGAACAGGAAAATGAGACTGAACATTGAAGTTTGCCGATGCGGTTGGTACGTCCTGTTCTGACGAGCTGACATGATTGTATCTTTGCATCTCACGAACGGGCAACTCCCGCTCACGGCGATCATGAAGATGTTTTCTTGACAAGCCTACGTTGGAAATGAAAAACTTTACAACCAAGAATCAGAATTCTTGGAAATAGCTTTATTTTCATGTCCTGAACGTCCATTTTGTGTTCAAACTTGAACTGCATGGGCGAGTAGGGTAATATGGTTGGTGATCAACCCTGCACTGTGGAGGGATTGAAACCTTGGGTGGCCTGCTGACGACTGCGGAGGGCAATTTCATCCTGTCTCATTATCAACTTCAAAGAGAATAACATTCGGAAGATGGGCACCTCCGATGTCTTTTCTTATTCGAAGCTCACCCGAGTTTATGGTGTCGAGATCAGATTCTCCCGAAGACCAATGCTGAAGTTTGAAACACTCCCGTGGAAAAGGAACTGGCTCGATGCGGTTGTTCTTCCTCTACCCAGCGAGGTTCAGGAATGCAACCTCTCAGGTTAGAACTAATGAGGCACTCCTGAGAGGGGTATGGACAACTTGCGGTCAAGTTGCGGAGGTAGCTGGAGGCGACGACAGGAATTGCCAATGAATACGTTACCAAATGACATTGGCGATGCTGATTCTTATCGAGTATCCGGATAAGATCTAGGTTTCGTCAACGCAATACATGGGATGCGATCTTGCGAGCCAATCAATGAAGATAGATGTGCTTGACTTAAAGGATTGTGTCGAGCTAAATTTGTCGACTGGTGAAGGGCAGAACTCGCCCGAGGCTCCGGATAACTATACAAAGCTAAGACTCATATCATTATCTGAGGAGTCAGGAGTGATAGTAGTCTATCGAGTCGATCCTTCTCTAAGAATCCCCGCCCCCTTGATCGCCACTTAACAACGTCAGTTACAACTACTACATATGAAAAGGGTCGAACATGGGCAAACATAAAATGGCGTTACTGTTGCTGCGCCACGGGAGCCTTGAGGACGCCGGGAATAGGGACGAAGGCAACAGGCAGCTTGAAGGATCGAGGAGCTCGCCCATCACTTAGTGTCAATTTTATCATCAAATCCCCAGTGGCGCCACCCGCCTCGTTTTGGGTTCTCGCACCAACTCGAGCTCTCGCCATACATCTCTCACCAATCAGCCGTGGCAGTTGACCTCCCTCACACCTACCCCCCCAGCGATGTTCTCTCAGCACTCCTCACCGGAGCCCAATGAGCAATATTTCTGACCCCTCTCCTACGATTCCTTTTTCGCGCACTGCAATATGGAGGGCGGCGGTGGTGGTGGCTGTGGCCAGCCCGGTGTATCACACCTGCTAGAAAAGTGTACAAAGTGTTTTGCGGGCATGCACTTGACGAGCAAATTGGATCATGATAATGCTCTGTATGTTTCTCACCTGATCGCACAGCATTGAAGTTGTGCTGATAGGGCCATTTCATTTCCTCTCTAGCGATGTATAAATACGATTCAGATGCCTCGACGAGAATTACTCGTCCATATCAAATGATTCACCTTCCTGCCCCAACTACTGTCCCGACAAGTCACTCAATTCTCGACCGCCTCTGTTGGCGATTGGTGTCCATATGGAAGTTGATAATCCGCAACAGGCTCTACAAAGCCTGCTATCCGCCGTTTTCGAGGACAATCCTGACTTGAAGCAGAGGATAGACAATCTGGACACGCTAAGCGTCTCGGATGCCGTTCGAGAACGCTGCTCGCTAGAGAAGGAATTCCCGAAGTCGGTGGAGAGAGTATTGACAGCTCCACAACATCGCAGTCTCGAGCCATACATATCCGAGCTTGCGGAATTCAATTACAAAGATACCGGGGAATCTCTTGCGGAGTTTATCTCGCCGTTGGTTCTAAGCCATGCCATCGACTCCCCTTGGATCTTGGAGGTCGAGAGGATGCATAGCTTTAGGCTTCGCTGTCAATCGAAAGCTGGCAAATCTCCTCGCGAGGCTCTTTTTATTCCCTCCACCCACAACGAGGAAGACCCTTTCGCCTATGACGACCTTCTTCCTAGAGACCACGCAGACCCCGCGGTTCCTGTCAGACAATCGAAAACGGTGGTATTGCCCCGTCCATCCATGTTACCTGCACAACTGAACTCGGCGCATAATTTCCATGGAGACCCCGGCTTTGAGAATGATCTTTCGTTCCAGTTAGATTGCCTTCTGGGCGTTGCAGGGACGAACCAATTGGACCCGGAGGCCCTACAGAAAGTCGACTACACTGATCCCCGCGTCCACGAGACAGTTCTCCGAGGATTTCGATCTCACGTCAGTTTTGAGAGAAGAGTAGAATCTAAGGTTGGCATAAGCAAAGGGGAACGCAAAATTCGAGCGGTCATATTCAGCAACCGCGATTCCCTGGATGATCATGAAGTATTTCTTCGCATTACCAAGGTGATGGATACTTTAGAGACTGCCATTCTCCTTTGCCAGAAGAAGGGCATTTGTCTATTTGGCATCCCCTTTTTTACACGACATTCGTTGGTACCGAGAAGTGCCGAGAGTGAACACTTGTCCCTCACTCTTGTTGCGATATCCACGGTGGAGAGGTTCTTTACGGGATTCAGATCTCTTAAAGGATTCTATATGCGATCGCGGGAGACAGTGGCACCAGTAGCTGTGTTAGCAGCTGCGTCACTCGGAATCTGGGGGCTGGCAATCACAGCAGGTCTCGGACTCGCAGCACTCCCACTCATAGGAATCGGGGCTGGATTTGCAGCAACTGGAGCTTCAGAATGGCCAGAAAGTAAAGAGCGGCATCGTAGCTTCGAAATTGTTGTTGAGATGGTCGCTGACATTTTACGGGCATGTGGAATTAAAACGGGTCTACGATTTCCTCCGACGAAAGAAGGCTTTTCTCGTCTTTTGCATTATTCCTCCTTGGCCGTCCAGTGCCTAAGCTTGGGAATTCAACTATCTGCTCGCGGACTCACATTGCCCCTAGACTCAGCCTTGCTCGAACACAACGTCGACGAATTTGTACTGCAGGGCATAACTGCCGAGCCTGCAGTCTACGTCATCGAGCAGGAAATAACTTGCCTCGGTGGTATTTTGCCTAGCCACCGGGTACCGGTTTTCGGAGCACGAAGGCATTCCGTCTCGGACTCAGTAGATGTCGTGACGTCTGTCAGAGATCTGTTGTCAGTATGGGGCCCTGGAGCGGTAGAGTTTACGGAGACTCCCCCCGAGGGTAATTCACAACCTTGGAGAATTATTAGGATTAACATTGGCGGCGGAGTCCTCTTCCCTGTTGAAAACCAAGGCTGGTCATCGGTGTATCGCTGGCACTGGACCGATGGCAATGGCACTGGGTCTCAAAAGGCGACCATGGACTCGTATTTTGCAGTCGACCTTAACACTAAAATTAGAGTTGGAGGATTCGGCTCAGACGTCGTCACTACTTCTTCTACATCGACGGTCACTCGCGCCGTACTTCCCCTTGCGCGACGGCCCAACGCCACTCCTCCTGGAACTTTCATGGCTATTGGGCCTTCATCCATCAATCCAGCCTGTAGATTCTCCACCTGGACGGCTGACGCAACACGACGGCGGTACATGTCTCACCATCTAAGGGACATAGGCACTCATCGCCCGTTTACGGCATTCGCTGGTTACGATGTCGGGCCGCAAATCGGAAGCTATCTTTTGCTTCAATTGATGAGAAAATACGAAAGAAGGCCAGGAACTACACTTAAGGATACAATACTTCAGAAGTGGGATGGAATGCCTCAGTTCCTCAGAGGCCTTGACAAGCCTTGCGGTCTATTTGTTAGTAGCTGCACCAAGGTGATAGCTCGAGCTAGGCTTCGCGACCTGATAGCCTTCGCAGGTCCGCTAGTACTTCCCGAAGCGTTTCCACTTTTACTCGGCCAAGGCCAAGAGGACTCTATAGCCTCCTGGGTTCACGCCTTGCGAGGATCTGAGGACTTATACGACTGGGCAAGAAACCAGAGGACTGATCAAGGAAATGGCCTGGCTTCGGCGGATGGGTCGGCCAAAGTTAAGGATCTTATCCTTGGTGTGTTGCGAATCCTGGAGCCCACCGGTATCACGGCCAGCGGTTTGCTCAGCACGGCTTGGGTATCACCACACGAAGTAATCAATGTGGTCTCCAGCCGTTGCCGACGAGGCTCGTGGCTTGCCCTCCTCGCGGATAGTGAATTCTCGGCCACGTTTGCATGTGTCACGCCTTTGTGCCTGAATACTCGAGATCGTCGTTGCCTCAGCGAAACAAGCTCGCCTTGGCATTGTAGTTTTGAGAGTGGGCTGGAAGATTTTACTCTGTCCACTCGTATTTCTCAGTATGCCGACCTTCCTAGTGGCAACACATCTGAAGCTTACAATGGCGTGGAGTTAGAGGTGGGTCAAAGCTACCTTATCAACACGCAGGATTTTGAGACGGCAGCAAAGCTTCTCGAGGTGGACGAAACAGACGAGCCGTTTTACGTTTTCGAAGTGAAGAAGGCTGCTCTCGTCACAGTTTTTGTCAAGAGATTGTATATGAAAGGAAGGGGAAGGTTTATCCGAGAGAGTAACGACGAGAACTCGCGTCCTTGTCTGATAATTGGAAATAACTGATTCAGCGCGATGGATAGAATCTATCAATGGTGGTTTTAATACCTCTTTTTCGCCTCACCTAAACAGGATGCTTCCAGATGATACGATGCCTAAGAAAATATTCCCCAAGCATTTCTCTAGATCAATGCATAGCTTCTTTATACTCCTACTCCTTTTAATTCCACTCTGCTACTCGTCTGGCCACGAACTGGATGTGAACATATGGGGTGGTTGATGAGTCGGGGCCATTAGTGAACCTAGACTCGGCCGAGAACAAACGTGAGCTCCGACCCGATATTCCCGTATTTCTCGTCCTGATCTGCCAAGACGCTATGGCCGTCGGCTGAGGTTTTAGCACCCACGTGCTCTCTAATCGCCTTCTTAGTTGGCTCCGCTTTGCAATCTGTTGTTGGCCGCATTTACTTCATGGGCTGGCTAGACAGACCGCTCAGCCGTGTTGCTCAGTCCAGAAAATGGGCAGAGTCATAAGGGAATTGCTAAGAATAGGATAGCATAATCTAATTGCTTGACAATGAATAGATGGAGCTGAGCTGCAATTGTGAGATATGGATGGGAATAAAAATAGCTGGGAAAAAGCTGATCATCGAGCCTCCTTCCATGGCGTCAAAAGGCCACCTACTTCTCTGATATAGTGCATAATGTAGCTCCCAGCGACGTGATTTTGCAATGATTCTCACAGCAGATCCCGTGGCAGGAAAGTCTTCGCGCACATTCACCTCTAAGCCATGCCTGTCGTTGCTTTCCTAGTGCGTGTACAAACTGCAGGTTCCGAAAGGTAATTTAGAAGCTTCTTAACAAGGTCTTTCTCCTTTCCTTCCACCCAACGGGTTTTCAGTTCAACTAGTGTTCTACATCGCGGCATCAGACCTCAGTAGAAGTAGCCGAGATACAGTGACCTTATGTTTGTGGATTTTAGTGGTGTAGTGACCCTTTTCCTTGTCTCTTCCGTTGTACCATGTTTAGGCGCCTCTTCGAATATCCAACTTCGAAAATCCTTCCATGAGAGACGGGATATTGATGGGGTGACATGTACGCAGAGTTGAATGTCTAATCCGGCGCTGAGGAGTAGAATTAAGAAGGTGGGGAGACTCGTAAGGGTGAAAGGATTTCCCGAATTCATGCACCAGCGAATCGTCTCTTAGTAGCTCTTAATACTCGACCCGTTTTGTGTTTCGGACGCCGCGCCTGTATGGCTTCATGCGGTCCTAACTCGGATCTATCTACTGGATGGGGATGGTTGTTATAACTTCAAGTTATCACCAGCTGCCATCCTGGGGTGACCCACGATCCTACTGTTTGAAGGATGCCTCCCATAAGCCGTATTACTGGATTCCGTGTAGCTACGCACAGCTTGTATTTGTAATATCACAGTGGTGGGAAGAAAATGGTAGAGGGTCTCCAGTGATTACAGGTATCGTTCTGGGGGAAGATCATCCCAGGAATCCAAGATAAAGCAGTTCCCATTTCCCACCTCGACAACCCTTGGTCTCACTAGCCCAGCACGGGCCTCCGGAGGCGTGGACTTCGCTTCCTCCTCGATCCCCCCAGTCGAGAGTACGCTGGGTATCATTCGTGCGGAGAAGCTTCATAAGGAGACCACTGTATTGGAGCTCCGAGTGGTGAGACAGGATCGAATGCTTCACACCCCCGACCTTGCGATATAGGGTGAGCCCCCCCTTGACTCCAAAGGTATTCTGTTTCCCTGCTGCGCGACTCTCCTTTAGTCCGTGAAGCATAGCAAGTTTCTGCGTCGGCGGCGACGCGTTCAGGAACGTGTCCAGCGGACCACCATCCAGTTGAGTTCCGTGCGGCGAGCTGAGGATAGTTTCGTGGATTTCCTCGCCATTTTGATCAAGATCCTGGCTGATGTGGGTCTAGACGAGGACCAAGCAAAAGTTGAGCTCTGCTTGTCCCGCTGCTAAGCGAAAGGTACTAAGCCAAACTGGTAAGGGATCTCCAGGGTGAAGGTCTGGCGTGCGCCACGACTTGGTCCGTGGAGGGAGATCTCGAATCCTTCTGATGGTGGTGAAATGGCTCCATCGTTGGGCCAGCTTTGCGGCTTCTGGTGTTGCAATTACCGGGATGGCCTTATTGAACAGCCAGAGAGTGGCCTCGTGGGTGTGGTCGAGGTAGTGAAACCCGAGAAGGATGGCATCCATGCCCCCATCGTACTCCACTTCTTGCGCTCCCTCGGACTTTGCGGAGTAACGTGAAATATGTCTAGTGAAGTCTTGCAAACAACTGGATACGGTCGTTTCGATCAGGCCTATGACAGCTTCTATGTGATGCGCCTGAGATAGTGCGGGCGCCACACTCAATGAAATGGATAGAAACCAGTTAGAAAGAAGACTAGCAGGCCCCGCTAGCCAGGGTTCAAAAACGACGTGATAGAATGCTTTGGCGTCCCTCCGTCGCTCCTCTTCGGGGCGCGGAAAGGACATGAGCCACGAATTGTCTCCATTGAGCGATGTGAAGATGGGCCTGAGCTCCTTCCAGGAACCAAGGTGATCTTGGATAGCTCGCTGAAATGATGCCCAATTCATGATGGTGATTTCGTACTGAAACTACAATAATGGGGGATGAAGTTGATGGGAGGCGGGGAGACTTTCTTCCAAGCTGACGGGCTGACGCGAAATCCACAACAAGGATCGCGACCAATTCAACATGCACGTGGGAGAATTTGGAGAATTCTGTGCGGGGTAGGACTGGGAGGGCGAATTTGACAATAGGGGAACTGCGGAAACCTCCCGAGCTCACTGCGTTCACGAACAGCTTGACTATAGTCTCACTCATCGCGGTGAGAGTGGCCAACATTCAACAGTACTGCATTTCATTGTAGAAAAATCCCTGCCGCCACCGAATTCGCTGTGAGTCGTACAGTATGCTGGAGAATTCCGAGGATATCGACTGTGGAAAGATCAGGCTTCATCGTCCGACGGTTCCCATGTCTATAGGACCATTTCCTCGCGATCTCGCGTTTTTTTTCGCCTCAAAACGTGAAATGTGGGAAATACTTGCACATTCCTGGCCTTGTGGACATACGCGGAATGGCAAATTCTATGGATGCTGGACAATTCATCCAAGCCCGAGACTCGTGACTCGGACTGGGGCATATGCCCATCACCATCTGTTCCCCATGATTGCTAACGCATAGAAGCGAGGAATGCATGAAACTAGAAATCCGGGGCCGCACCCCAAAGAAGTTGGGGAAATGAAGGATGTGGGTAGTCTCATATGCTGTGATTAACCTTACGAAGTAGCCCCGTGGAGAAATCGAGACAAATCCCCAGGCTCACCTCGCTTCGGCGGCGGATCGGGTTCCACACACCGGTCCACATCTCCACGGCCTCCACGTCTCCACGTCAGCAAAATACCTTCCCATCTGGAAGTTAGTAATGGAATGAGCGAAATTGGGCTGCTGGCAACGCGGGTTCGGGCTTCGCCGGACGTGATTACTGTGGATGCGGAGGTGGAGCACGATTTGACTCGGAGCTGCTCCGGCGATTGGATGCGGGGGAAGTTACCCCGTAAGGGAGGTGACAAACCTGGGGGACAGCTCGACGGGCGAAAGAAGTGGACACCAGAACCACAAAACACGCGACGAGAAGCCGGAGAGCGACCGTGAGGCTGGTGACTCTCGTGAGTCAGAGAAAATCCTTCCACGGGAGATTCGGGTCGGGCCTTGTCAGGCTGCGAAGATGAGGCAACCCCGAGATTATCCCAAAAGGCATACGACGTATCCCGGATTGGCTCCGAGAGCTTTCTTTTCCTGACCCCATCTTTTTGTCGCCTGATGGTGGTGTCGATCGAGACCGCGGGGGAACGATGCATGTCAGTCTACCACCCCCGCACTTCGAATAAGCACTACGAAGAACCGGATCGTTCTAATTCCTGTCTAGATCAAGCCCTCGCTTTTCACATTTCCGGACCCGAAACGAAATACTTCGTAAACACTATAAACAGGACGGCGTGGTATGTTGTTGTTGTTGCTCCTCGACGCTAGTACGAAGTATAGTGGATAACCCCCACTATTCAAAAGAGGCAGGTCGTTAGCGATGCTGTGAAGGAACCCTGTAAGGCTCTTACCTCGGCACTCGACGTTCTAGAATGCCACTAGAACGTGGGTGGCAATGCACTGCAGGCTGTAGGCCGGAGAGAAAAAAAATCTGCATGCACTTGGCACGAATAAGGCAGTTCAAAGCGCCGGTGTGTTCAAGAGCCCCACCGCTAACCTGATCAATTGATGGTCCCCTCAATGCCTTCCCCGTACTTGTCGTCCTAAACGCTGGTGATGGAAGATTGCCAGGCTTTCAGCTGGAGACTAGACACATTACGTGGAACTTTAACGTAATGTTAATTAGAGTGTGGAGAGAGTTTGGGCGAATACTTCGTGTTCCCCGGACCCGTATGGAGGTATGGAGTGCTAGGCGTGGAGCATGAGGAATTGAGGATCAAAGAAATGGCATCGTCGGTGGAGACAGTGGAGCGGGTTTGAAACTATAGGATCTGATCTGCAGGACAAAAGATCTTTCCCACAGTGGAGTCTTGACGTAAAAGTTACTGGATCCGGACCCTAACTTGGAAGACAAGAAAACGCCCCCCATCGAGCATCTCGCCATCCGTGCCTGAAGCATCCCAAGGCACTGGTCCCATCTTGGAAGGTGTCTGTTTTCTAGTGCGGGATTCCTTACCGACTCGGGAACTGCAACAACTGCAACCACACGGTATCGTAAGGCGGATAGGGCGATATGCTTCTGAGAACATTGTGTATGATTTGTTCTACGGTCCCACGGTCCCACGGCCCTAAACTACGCATGCTATTGATAGTACCAGCGCCCTCCCAGCGCGCCCTCCCAGCGCCCGCACGCGTTCGGTGCGGCTCCACGGGTATCCCGGCACCACCAACGCCAGTGGGTCGGCCTCTCTCGCCTCGCTCGACACTACAATTCTAGTGCCTTTGCTCCGGCCAAGCCGGCTGGCGCCGGCTTTCCCCCAGGAAATTGGGAAATTTTTTACCCCCCCCCCCCGAGGTTCTGGGGATGTTGGGGCCGCCCCCTCTGCATGAAGTTACCTTACTCCCCTCCCCCCCCAATGTCTAGACTGCCGTGGAATTGACTTCGATTAGACGAAGGACCATTTAAATAAGATGTCGCCCCGTCTTCAATCGTGTCCCCGGACTATCAATCAGGTCCAAGCCTATCCGACTTTCCTTAGATCCACAAGGCCACAATCACGGGATCAATACAACACAGACGTCATGACTGCTCCTACACATATTACCGAGCCCGACCAGGAGAAGGGCATGTCCAAGAGCCAGCCTCCCCAAATGTCCGACATTGAGGACGCCCCTCCTGCGTTCGACAATACACAAGTTCTTGAGGATGATGAGGAAGCCGAATGGATTGATTACAAGACATTGACGTGGTGGTACGTTCATATCGGCTGAGCCGCATTCCCGCTCACGGTGTGGTTGCAATTGCGCCTTTGTCTGTGTCTGTGTGTCGAGGTTTCTAATTAGTGTTGGTCTCTAGGCAGGGTGGTATCGTCCTAATTGCCGAAACCGTCTCCCTTGGTATCCTGTCCCTACCCTCCGTCCTCGCTACAGTCGGCCTCGTTCCCGGAATCATCTTGATCCTTGTCATGGGATGTCTGTCGACCTACTCTGGTGTTGTCCTTGCCGAATTCCGAAAGCAGTATCCGTTCGTTCGCAACTTTGGTGATGCCGTCGAAGTCATTGGAAGGTCCGTCGGGATGGGCCCGCTGTTCCAGGAGATTTTCGGTTGGGCCCAGGTCATCTTCCAGGTTTTCGTCATGGGTAGCCATCTTTTGACGTGGACCATTTGCCTCAACACTCTCACCAACAGCTCGACGTGTACCATTGTCTGGGCCGTCGTGGGATTGGGTGTTTTCTGGGTCTGCAATCTTCCTAGGACGCTCAAGTATACCAGTTACATGTCCATGGCCTGTGAGTCTACATTCACTGTCATGAAGAGAGAGTAGGGAAACATACTGACCATTGAGAAGCTTGCCTTTCTATCACAACTGCTGTGCTCATTACCGTTGTCGACGTTGCTGTGCAGCGTCCCATCGGCAGCGGCAGCATCCACGTCGCGAACGAGCTTGGATTCACCAGCGCTTTCCTTGCCGTCACTAATATTGCCATTGCTTTCTGTAAGGGAGCCCCAATGACCTCATTTTATACATCTACATATGACCTCTAACACTTTCCTCATCCAGCGAGTCACTCTTGCTTCTTCGCCGTTATTGCCGAGTTCAAGAACCCCGACGACTTCCCCAAGGCTCTCGCCTTCCTCCAGATCGCCGATACCACTCTTTACCTCCTCGCCGCCATCGTCATCTATGTCTTCGTCGGCCCGGGCGTTCCTTCTCCCGCTCTTTCCGCTGCTGGATCTCCTATCGTCCGAAAGGTCATTTGGGGCATTGCCATTCCGAGTACGTCTCACATTTTCTCTCCTCGCTAACCTTCATTCGGTGACTCTTGAACTAACAATTGATTTTCTTTACAAATAGCCATCGTAATTGCTGGTGTCATTTACGGTCACGTCGCCGCCTCCTACATCTTCTCCCGAATCTTCAAGAACAGCAAGCACCTGGTCCGCAGGACCAAGCTCTCCACCCTTGTCTGGTTCGGCGTCACCTTCGCCACCTGGGCCATCTCCATGATCATCGCCGAATCCATCCCCGTCTTCAACAGTCTCCTCGGCCTCGTCGCCGCCCTCTTCGTCAGCTGGTTCTCCTACGGTCTCCCTGGAATCTTCTGGCTCTGGATGCACTGGGGCAACTGGTTCACCGACGGCAAGCAGATCGCCCGCTTCGTCGGCAACGCTACGCTTGTAGTTTTCGGTGGCATGCTTTGCGTCCTTGGCTTGTGGTCCTCGATTGAGGCTATTGCTGAGGGAGGATCCTCGAAGCCCTGGACTTGCGCCAGCAACGCCGCGGTATAAGGCGTTTTCACCTTGAGGTACTTGACGTACCCATACATAATATTTACCAACAACTAGAACATAGATATGGCTAGGACATAGATGTACTAGAGTATATAGAACATGTAGAGTAGATTTTATTCTTTTGAATTTATTTAGCCTGTTTAGCGATTGTCGAATCTGCTTTGTGTCTCCGACTTGCCTTGACCTCTCGGTATATCTCCCTCCATAAATACGATTGGTTCGGACATCGCTCCCCTTTCGCACTAGATTGAAGAATTTTCGGCCAGATTTTGATTTGTGGAGGCTCGCCATGTCCATTCGGTCTAAATGTGGATCTGAAAATGGCCTCCTGAATACGAATTTGAATATTTGTGCGCTTCGATTGGGCTGGCTCGATCTGAGCCTGGAAGGTGGAGTTAGTCTAGTAAACTAACATCTGAAGTCAATGGACGTTAGACTTTGTGTGACTGCTTCGCCACGTCCGTCGTGTCGTAATGCGACATTGACTGGTGGAAATATCGTCGCCCCAAATAGCCGTAAAGAGCAAGGGGAAAAAATGCTTTCAACAAAATACCCCCAAACTCCCTCACGAGCCAAAACTTGACGGGGGAAATACCACTCAGGAGGCTCTTCATCGCTCTTCATCGCAACATGACCATTGGAATCGCTCTTCTCGGCGCTGGCATCTTTGCGAGGACGGGTATGTAATATGATTGATAAATCAATTGAAGTATCGCCTCTTCTCGCTTGCGCCGGCATTGACAATGAGTAGAACACGTCCCCGCAATCGAAGCCTGCGACCTACTCGAGTTCAAAGCCGTCTACTCCCGATCCCAAAAGTCCGCAGATGCCCTCGCTTCGAGCATCGAGAGCAAGCCCGACTCGTACTTTGACGACCCCGCTAACACGGATAAGAATCTTGACGCCCTCCTTGCCCGCGACGACATTCAAGCCGTCGTCATTGCGCTGCCTATCCCCAGCCAACCCGCCGTGATCAAGAAGGCCATCACCGCGGGGAAGCACGTTCTCAGCGAGAAGCCCATCGCCAAAGATACCGCGACGGCGAAAGACCTGCTCAACTGGTACGGAAGTCTCTCGTCGCCTCCCATCTGGGCCGTGGGAGAAAACTGGAGGTTCCTTCAGACGGTGGTGTATGCGGCGGAGCAGCTTAAGGAGATTGGTGGCGATGTAGTGACGTTTAGCTTTTCCATGTACAAGCTCGTTAGAGATGATGATAAGTACTATAACACTGAGTGTAAGTGCTTGGTGTGTGGAGCGAAAAGGGACGACGAGTTGGTCGCATCACAATGATGATGGTACTAATAAATCCATCCCCAGGGCGCAAAATTCCTGAGTACCAAGGCGGATTTCTCCTCGACGGTGGTGTCCATTTCGTTGCCGGCATCCGCCACTTCCTTGCCGCTGTTGGCCAGGAAATCAAGCATCTCTCAGCCCACACCGCGCTAATCCAAGCGAAGCTTCCCCCCGTCGACACAGTCCATGGCCTCCTCACGACGACAAGTGGCCGCAGCGGCACTTTCATCGTGTCCTTTGGTTCTGAGTTCAAGTCGGGTTTCACCATCGAGCTAGTCACGACCAACGGTGCCGTGAGGCTTACGCCCGGCGTGGTGAATGTCACGAGGAAGGCGGGGGATGGTGAAAGGGTAGAGGAGACGAAGACGTTTGAGTTTGATTCTGGCGTGAAGGCCGAGGTTGCGGCCTTTGCGCAGAGCATTAACGCTGGAAAGGTGGATGCTAGGCAGACGGCCAGTGAGGCACTGAAGGATCTTGAGATCTTGCAGGCGCTCTTGGAGTCTGGCGAGGATTCCGGTGCTATTAAGAGCTTCTAAATCCGACCGAGGTTGGAGGAGCTCTTAAAAGTCGCCGCCTGCGACTACGAAGGTAAGAGTCCCAGCATGGATTGCCTGAGACCCCAGATCCCGCTCTTAAACCAATGATACCTTCTGCGTCTCCGTTTTTAGCGAATACACTGAAATTCCCGAACATTCATCTTAGGCCCACCTGATTTTTGGTAAATTTATGTTCTTGTTTAAGTTCAGGCTGCTACTTAGCTGAGCATCGAATCACAAACAACGTCATCAACTAGAGTGATTGGGCGAGTGTGCCCTACAGAAACTACTCTCTCGCGTCTTGTTCTCCAGTTTGGTATGTATGCGATTTCATATTGAGCCTAGCCACGGATAGAACGGAGCCAGTAGTGACCTTGAGTGCGTATCAGGATAGGAGCCGCAAACTTGAAGAGGCTGTCAATAACCTCACCATAAGAGCCCAAGTCTTTCTGTTCTGTTGCACCTTGCCACAACCGTCCAAAAGCTCACCAAGAACAATTCTAGTTTGGCTGCTAGCGGGAAATAAAACATATTGACACATGCTGAGTTGGAAATAGAGCGTATCACAAAATATGCCAATCTTCTTCTCTCCTTCTTTGCAAGGCAAGCTGGGGGCTTCCTCGTACTGGGTCTAGTGTCGGTCCTGCCCAACTTAATCAGGACATATCGGCGTGCGGCATTCGAAATGTCCGCCCCGCCACAGCAGTTTCCAAACCCGGCCTCGGCCGAATCTTGAAGAATGCCGCGGCAGTACTCATTCTGGAGAGAATAGTCGATAGGTCAGCAGTGTATTATAGAGGGAGCGGACAGGATTTGGGCCTGGGCCGGAAATGAAATTAAAAAAGAATTTGTGGCATATAGTGATGCCTAAAGCGCCGCCGTTAGGGGAGCAGCAGCGCTGAGTATCAGGAAAAGATCTGGTCCCGTTTCCGCCTAAGCAGGTACAGTCAACAGTATACTGTTGACGAGCTATAAGGAAGCCGGTGCCAGGGCTCCGGGGACTGGCCGTCACGGTAGCCGCGAAGGAGATGGTGAGAACAAGGATGAGGTGCATAGTGCTATGTTCTGGAAATTGGCTATACAACTAGGATAGATTGTGAGCGAGGCCGCAGTGAGTGGAAAGTTGTGATGATTGTCTCGAATATGAGGAGAACAACTTGATGGCTACGACGGTAAAACTAGGAAATGTAGGCCTCTTTATACTTTTACATAAAACTTAGACTTATCTTCAAGAATAATCTTATTCTAGAGAGGATTTAGTTTCGGCTTGAGTGGAATCTTTGTTCCAGCTGGATCCTTACTCCGGCATGGGGCTGGTCTTTCCTTGTTACTTATAAGTGATCAGATGGACAGGGAGTGGTACCGTAATTTCTCTGATTGGAGGTGAGGTTTTCTTTGGTACCAATTCTATAGCAGGCCGCTTATGAACGGCCGAATTATTACAATGTTATCTCATGGGTAACCAACGTCTAGGCTCTGGCCGAAACTTGATGGCGTCCGTCTTTGCGGCTCACCTCAGTTTACGATCCGACTTCCTACCTGGCATACGCTGACCTCAGCTGACGATCAGGCCTGGGGTTGTACAGGGGACGGGCGATGATATCGACTGATCGATGTTGGGCGGGGGTCTAACTCGAGATATGCGAGCGTCGGATCGGGAGAGCATGGTATCGACTCTTGCTGCATTTTCCCGCGCTGTATCAAGTGAAGAACAAAGTCGAGGTGCCAGAGAGATGGCGGCGTTCTCGTTGACGTTTCTCGGCCCAAGAGTGTGTATGCAGACATCATCAGCGAGAGCAATCAGGGTCAGGGATAGGTTTAACGGCGCTCTGGCCATATCCCCGTTGACGTAACATTCTCTTTCCTTGAACGCTGTATTGCCTCTTATTCTAACACGTTCTAAATCCCGTGGCCAAGAGGATAAACGTCGAGGTTCCTATTACTATCTTGTTTTCTAGAATCTTACGCTAGGGGTTTCAACCCCTTTGCCGTTCGTCGTTTTGACGGCGAGATTCCCGTGGCGGACTGCCTACACACTTGACACCAAACATACCGTGACTCTGCCGTGAAACGTCTTGGTATGGAAAAGGGGACACTGAACCTGAATAGCACTAGTACATCGAGATCCATAACCCCGTCCTCAAACACAGCGCCCTATCTGTGAATTGCCGCCAATTGGCCTCCAGGTTGGCCCTTGCGGTTCTCGTCAGACGGAAACGACATGATTTGCGCCATCTCGCAGACAGGCGAGAAGAAGGCGCTCTTGGACCTTTGCGTCGCTAACCCTCCGGAGCTTAGGCCTGGGTGAAATAGAATGATGGCCGCAGCATGGTCGGCGTCATGATAGAAGAGAAATGGAGAGCATGCGGATGTTTGACCCACAAGGTGCTAGACGTGGTAGGGGGAGATGCTTATTCCTGAAGATAAGAGATCAAATGCGATTCGAGACAGAGAAGTACGCTGATTCCGAAAGCCCTTGCATGGTGCAGCCGCTAGAAAAGTCAAGAGGGATAGTCCAAGAAGTCGACACAAGGGAGAGTTCCTCATCCCTCAACCATATTACAAGCTCATCAGCGAAGCACAATCTCCTCTAAAGAGAGGTCAGAGTCCCCACCAACATAAGTTGCAAACACAGTATCAGCAGTCCAGCCGTAGACATCCGATGCTCCAACTAGGAAATAATTCGCCACATCAGCCTCTCTGACAACAAGTAGGCGATTACAGCCAGGCACCATGCAAACAATGTCTCCAAGACGGCAACGATAAGGCCCGATTCCCATATCCCCCTTGTTTGTTGCGAAAAAGGCTCTACGACTGCAACATCTCAATAGGAACAGGTGAAAAGACTTCAGATTCTCCCCCCACAGCTCGACACCCATGGTCCACGGTCGCTCCTCTTGGAATCGAACATTCCACATCTTAGAAAATTCCGATTCTACATCTCCAGTGAACAGACGTTGTACATCTCTTTCGATTTCATCAAAGACGAATCCCGCCTTGCTATCCATATCTGTGTGAGGTGAAATAGATTCCTGCCCGGTCATCCAACAAACTAACTGGAGAAGTCGGTTCAAATCGGGGTTAGACTCGAGTAGACTTTCTAGACCCTGGGCTTCACTGTTGTTTTGTCCCTGTAGCATCCTTGGCAAGAGTGAGATAAAAGCGAGAAAGCCCACCGCAAGCGGAATCAAATGCCATTCTTCCCACGCCACCAAATGATGTCCATCGACGAGAGATCTTAAGAAAGCTTGGAGAATGGGTATACCGTTACGGCAAGGTTCATGAATCTCTGTCAGAGCAATTTGTAGCCAATGGGCCATTGTTGCAATCGAGTCGTCTCCGTTGAATGAGGCGGCAGTTATCTTACCAAGTCGAAGACAATGAGTTGCTAAAAGGGTGCGATCGGGCGAGATGGAGACAGACATTTGGCTTGATGCTTCCGATAGTTGAAAGCCACTCATTTTTTGATGGCCGAGGCGCCAGTCTGGTACCCAGGAAGGTAGCTGAGCAGGGTGTTCTTTGGCGTCTTGTGAAGCGTCGGTACCAATTCCGGCACACTCAAGCAGACTAAGGCTGTTGGTATGATTTATGTAGAGGAGGGAGAAATCGGTATATACAGTTGACCAATGCTGTGTGTAATCCGGCGAGAGGTTATGCCTCCACTCATCGCTGCACATGCTGAGCAGGGCGTAAATCTTGTCGCGTGCATCCGTCGCTTCGAAATGCCTGACACTGACTAGAAGATTCGGCAGACTGAGTTGGTCGTTCCTTGCTTGATAAGATCCTCGATATTCCTCGAACGGTGTTAGCTTCCGACTATCGCAAGTAGATTCCATATAAATCGAAGGCTGTCCGAACAGGCGGGGGCTCCTGGACAAAACGGCGAGTCTACGGTCGGCTTTGGTTGCTAAAGCTATCCGATCAAAAGAGATGGCCGTGCTTCCGAGCCAGAAAAACACGGCCGGACTGACGACGAACTCCTGAAGGACCCACACCCTCGTCCACCAAGGCTTCTCGAAAACCTTATGGAAGGCTTTCACGCTTTTCTCGTCTAGCGTGTTTGGCAGGGTCCCTATCAAGACTGCATATTCTTCTACGGCTCCCCTTTCTTGGATCTCAGCCCACTCCTCGATGAACGCACGTGTGCGCTCCCCTTCGTCAAACCCAATCCCAAGCCAAACAACGGTAGACGCTGAGTGGCGGTAGATTTCCGCCATGAAAGAAACTTGATGGCTTCGTTCCGAAAGATCATGTTGATTAATGCAGATTGCATCGGCCCAAATCCGCCAAGGCCCATGCGTGCCCGACATAGCTAGGTCCGCCCATCCACCGGCCCCAACCGATCGAAGAGCAGACTCTAGGTTCTTGGTGATTTGAGTCGTCACCGAGTTTACGAGGGCCGGGACGGTGTCGTTTGGATCGCCCCAAAAGTAAGAGACGGCAATGTAGGGCGGGGCATCGGCGAGGAGAAACTGCGCGAGAGATATTCGAACTGGCTGGGTCGGGTCGGCGAGGGAATCTCGGTCCACTTCCAGGAGACGGATCTCGTGGACATTGTTGCGGAGGGAGGAGTATATCGGTGGAGACGTCATTATTTATCTGCTTAAGATGAATTGATTGTCTGGAGGGGTGACGCACCCTTGTTTAAAGGAAGAAAGCCAGCCTTGCCATTCTCGGAGTCGTTCCTCGATGTTGGTGCCCAACGTACCGTGTGTGTTTATCATAATACACACCGTGTTAGTTTGCCCGTGGAGACTACTATCATCACAGTACTTCGTACAGTCACAGTACAGAAACGACGACCCCCTGCCACACCGTCATGATAACCGCCCCGTCAGTCACGTTCAAGTTGGCACAAGCTGAGTCCAGAAATGAGGTGCAGAATATTCGGAGACATACTGGTGGGAATAGTCTGAGTCCCGCCATGGAACATAATTATCACTAGCTTCATCCACGCACTACGACTAAGTATTGCCGGAGACTTTGTGAAATTGATCTCTTAGGTTCTTGAAGGCAGCGCAATGTCTAATTCTGTTGTGTTCCGTAGATGTATGAAGTAGTTCTCGGCTACTAAAGGTTGATCGTATTGTGTAGTCAGTCGCTGCACGCCTACGACTACAGCGGTAAAACTGGGAGGTGTATGCCTCTATACTTATACACAAAACCCAGGTTTATCTTCAATAACAATCCTGTTATAGAGGGGATTTGATTTTGGCTCGGGGTTTGGAATCTTTGTTCTGGAGAGATCCTTATTTATGCGTATGGATGGTAGTTCCTTGTTACGTATGGTAAGTGGCCAGATGTATCGAGTAATTTCCTTAGTTCAAGACGAGACTTCTTTAGTATCACTTCTATATCACACCGGTTTGGAAAGTCCGTGTTATTGTAATGCTATCTCATGGCTTAAATCCAACAAGCGTCTAGGTCGTGATGGCATCCGCCTCTGCAGCTTACGGTGCGACCGAGACCCCCTGCCCAACATCGATCGGCCGACAGCACCACCAGTCTCGAGCACAATGTAATAGATAAAATACTCCATGTTAACAATCTATTCAAAGCCTCAAATACCGGGCCTCAACTGCTGTACAGTTTTGATGCTAGGCCTGGTCGCCAGCTGAGGTCAGCGTATGCCAGGTCGAGATATCCGAGCGTCGGATCGGGAGAGCATGGCGTCGATCCTTGCTGCATTTTCCGTGCCGAATTAAGCAAAGGATGGATTCAAGCTCCCAGAGATAGATGGAGGCGTTCTCGTTCACGTGCCCTGGCCCAAGCGGGTGTCAGTAGATGACATTCGCTTCTCTCAAACACTATCTGCTTCTCACTCTAATACTCCCACTGCTGTTCGGCGTTTAACGGAGAGATTACGGGAGCGGACTGTCCACACACTCCTAGGTAGCGAACTTGCCATGGCTTGACCTCAAACCTAGCACAGATCCCTCATCCTTCATGTCCCGATGCAGCCTCCAGCCACGAAACCGGGATGATATATATCATCCTACCTACCAGACAGATAGCTTCTACATTCCTCTCCAAGCCTCCAGCCTTAGGTCCTCCAGCAACTGACTCCACGATATTAAGATTAACGAAAGATATCAATTATACAGAGTCCATAGTAATACACTAATAGTACATCATTTCCTGTAGTTCCCCACTCATGGAGCTAAGGGTAATTATTATGCTCCACGGAGGAACTCGAATTATCCCCCTCTGTATATCTCCTGGTGTTCTCTACCTCATCTCTGTACTCAGCGTGTGCCACCTGGAACGGCGTGTGGCTGGCGGGGCGGCTCTCATGAGGGCGTGATAGGGTCGTCGTCGTTTCTGCGCTGTGACGATAGTAGTCTCCGAGAGTAGAATTAGATCTTCCGTGGCTATTCTGAGGGCGGCCTAAGAGGATGCTCGCCGGATCGATGATCGGCAAGTTCCGTGGCACTTGACCAAGAGAGTAGGGAAAGCTTCTTTGTCGGATAATCGGGGTATAAGGGGCTGACCCGTGGTTGGGTCCCCCGGTAAGGTTGGTTCGGCCGTTGTAGGGGCTTTGCGGACTGGTTATTCGGGACGGGAGCGTAGCACCACTCAGCTTCGAATCCATGCTCTCGTCTATGCTGCCCATTATGATCTTGTAGAAATCTCCACCGCTGGGCTCGGTATCGATCATGTCACTGCCATGTGAGGTTAGCGCCGTCAAGTCTTAGGGCTCCAAGTCGCTCACATGTAACCGGCTCTGGCAAAATCCTCATCCAGCTGCTGAAGTAGGCTCGTTGCGGCTGCGTCCGATCCAAACTGGACAAATTGGACAGATATAGGGCGTTCCGTTCTGAGCGCTTCCCTTCTAGCTTCCAGAGAAAGCTGCCCGATTGTGTTTGGCGGCTGATACCATTGTTCCAAGCTTTTCAGCTCGTATTGAAAGAAGTCGAAGACTCTTGTATGCGACGAGCCCTGCCATATGCCATCTGTAAGAACAATGATCGTTTTCTTTTTAGCATGTAGCCCATGTCCGCACACATCGATGGCGTATTTGTTCATGAGTTGCTTCAGCATCGGTACGATGTCCGTTTTGTGGGCTCTTTGACTTGATGGACAGGCCTTTTCCATAGCTCTCACAAAGTCATTCACTTCTTCATTACGACGCGGTGGGACTACCTCGGCGATGGGATCGGTGAAGTAGAGTTCCATGCCGTCATCATCGTACTTCAGTAATCTCCAAGTCAGAGCTCGGAGGAGTTTGCAGGCTTCCGGCCAATGCGGTTCCATAGTTATGCCGTTATCCACCAGGAAGAGCTGCAAAGCCATGGTCTGTTAGCGGCGTTGTCCAGTGAAAACAGGGGTCTCGGGCGTCGCTGGAAGAAAACCTACAATGTCACGACCTTTGAAACAATACTCTATCGGGTCAAGCGGCATCTTGCCTCTCACGGATACCTCCTTTTTCCTCAGGTTCTTGCGAAGGTTTAGTAGGCTTTTCGTCCGGCCCAAGTCCCGACCCATTCCAATTTTTTCCAATTCCGCCTGGGCCTGGTGCAGATTTTGGACCGGGATGTTTGGCGAGAAAACATGGCCGTCAAGAGGGAGTCTTTCCTGGCCGTTGGTGACGATGGCCAGGGTTGGCTTTGTCGTATCGGTCGTCGTCTGCGACATCGCGTCTCTCAACCCAACGCTTGTGATTCTGGCATCTGGCGGGTCGGTGTACACCGTCCGCAGGGGCTGAATCTCGCCCGCGACTTGTCTCGGAGACATTGGCCTAGGATGAAGGCGCTGAGCTGTAGGCTTGACCGGGATAGAATGAAGCTTCTCCTCTGAGGTTCCAACGCGGGGGTCATTCTTCGCATCGAGGTCTAAGCCCGCAGGTTGATCTTCAATTGAACCATTTGCTCGACCCGGGAGCGAACTGCGGCGTCGCGGCAGAACCTCCGCTTCCATGTCAATATCTTGTAGGAAACGGCGGACAAGACGGAAATCAGCGGGCGGGAGAACAGCTTCGCTAAGGATCCGTTTGAACCTGTCTCTGATTCGAATCGCGTCTGATCTCTTATCTTCTGGAAGAAGCATCTCCTCATCTACCATGTCCAGGACCTTGTCGGTCAAAACATCCGAATGCCCGCGTATCGACCGAAGAAATGCGTGCCACTCTGTAACTGCTGGTAATACTCTTGTTCCGTCGTGGAATGCATCCCCAGCAGTTGGCGTGCAGTCCGTAAGTGCCTTGATCTCACGGGCGCGTAGTTTACTATAGGTTCGCAGGCCCTGCACGCCATGCGTAACGTACGTAGCCGCCACCGATAGGACACAACCCAACGACCATACATCGCTTGTCTGTAGAATTCTTGTTCTCACGCCGTCCGAGTTCTTTGTATCGAAGTAGGCTGCCTTTTCCGGGGCGGCTTCACATCGTATCATCATATTAGTCCTTAAATTCAACCCCACTCCTTAAATTCAACCCCACTTCAAGTTGCTGTCAGCTGCGCCGGATCACTCACCAAACGTTCTGGTCCCACCTCGAGCAATAGTTCGAGGAGGGTGGCTTCGGGCATCTGTCGTGGTTTCTCTCTTGATGCGAGACTCTCCTGGATCGGCAAGTTTGTATTTACTATTGAAGTAGAGGATATTTTCGGGCTTGATATCTCCATGCCATCTATTCAATACACTTTGTTAGACGGGGCAGGGAATGAAGGGTAACACAAGGGTAGGAACAAACCCATGATACACAGTTCCATCAATTTTAAACGTATGAATGCTCACTAGTGCTTCGGATATGTGGACGAGCTCCTCCCAGAACCTTTTGATTTCGTCTGGCAGAGTTGGTGGGAGTTCGTCTATCATGGCCTCGTTGAAGTCGCCGGTCGCGAGTTCAAGCAAGATACAGGGGGAAGGACTGGGCAAAGTCTGGGGAGGCATTTCCGCAGCCTGGGCAATGCATTCATACCAGCCGATGTACTGCACAATCCCGTCCAACCCCCTAAGGGCTTTGAGTGCGACCCGCTCCTTTTCGAAGGCTTCACTCCTATCTGGCGGGAATTGTTTGAGACAGAAGCGGTAAACCTCATGTCACTGTCAGTAAGAAGTCGGGCAGACGGAAGAAGAAAAGAGAAGGATATAAAATAAACGGCCACAGACGGAGATCGGCACAGTAGTGTGGCCCTACCACTCGGGCCTCAAGAGAAAACTTACAGTCTCTTCCCCAGATTCCCCAGAGGGCATCGTTAAAAATCGCGATCGTTTAGCATCTTTAAGCTTGTTCGCCAGTTGTTCTCCCACAAAATCTTCGGGAACTTCAATCATCCACAAGGCTGAGCCATTTGCGGACGGTCTGTCCTGTGGCGTAATCGGCATTTTTTCGTAGAATGGCAGGACCTGTCTTCCGACATCTCTTCGCTCCAAGTTTAGTTCTAGCCTAACGGGGCACCATCGGTATTGCTTGGCCAGGAAGTCGTTCGTAAATTTCGCCCAGGCGTCTGCGGTGAAGTTGCACCTCTGGGGTCCAGTCGCTGATGCGTCCCCAATCTTCCCGCATAACGTAGCCCTATCCAATGGCAGTGCTCGATCGTCGATTCCGTTATGGAGAAAGTGTGGCGTGAGCTCGGGGCGATCGAGTTCTACGAGAAGGAAGAAGAGCGAAGTGCATCGGGAGAGCTTTTCTTCGCTCACGTCAGGCGGCTCCGCAGTCAACCTAAAGAAGGACGACTTCCAGAGACGATCAAAATCGGACTTGAAGTTGAGAGATTCGGAGTCGGACAGAGACGCTGAGCGCGAAGTCTCAAGTGTCCTCTTCAATTTCCTAATGAGGATGAAGGGTCTTCCACAGACTGCCTTACGAGTGAATTTGTCGAGGACTGCTAAAAACTCTTTTCTGGCTCGGTCATACTGATTCTTACAGACCTCAAGATGGCGGTCTGTGCCATCTGACCGAAAAGAGTCGAGCGTAGTGGAACGTCGGATTGAAGGATCGGAGATCATGACGAAGAGCCGCTGCACTATTACTGCATTCTCAATAGAACTTGACTTGGGAGAGAACGTACATACATTGCAGGTTCTTAGATAGCATCGATCGAGGGAGACCTAAAATACCCCTAATATGGTGGCCTTTTACTCCGGGCTCATCCGCAATGCCATAGTGTTCAGCAAAAAGAAAGGAGAAGGGGGCAGCAGGCTCTGGGACCGTCGAGAAGCGCCCCCCTTTGGGAGCGACGGCGCCTGGCCGCATCGTGTTGTGCGCTATCACCAAGCGGCCAAAACTAGACCAGGCTACGTTAGGACTAATGGCCACGACTTCTTGATTTATCCATTTCCTTTTTAATTTCTGCGTCGATGTGGGAGCGGAAGTGGCACAATAAGAATGGTGGCGGTGGCCGAGTGAGAAGCCCATCACCCAACAACGTTGATGGAGGGTGACATCGAATCCCGTCTAATATCGGTACACACCGTGCTAGCGATTGGGCACCATCCATTGCAGGTGTCGCCTTAAGCCCACCACCTCGCTGGGGTGATGGTGGTTCGCGAACCCGGGAGAGGAAACCGCGCACACAACAGTATATAGCTCCCCCGGTGTTCTAGCGTGGCACCCACCAAATGCTCAAGGGTTTCGTCAATAGTTTTTCCACTTTCCTGGGAGCCCCGCTGGTAGCGATCTAATCTCTACACTGCACTGCCCTTTTCGCCTCGCTCGCTCCGTACACTTTCAGCTCCGAATCTGCCCTGCCCTTCTAATCATGTCAGGAGCCGGAGCCCAAGCCCGCTTTGGAGCCGGCAGGGCTCGGCGTCGCTGGACGGACGATATCATACCCGAGTCATCTGCTAAGGCACAAGAAGATGACCCAACGCCTGGGAGCCTCTTACGTGCATCCACAACCTACTCGAAAGTTCACGATGGCTTCAAGATGCAGATTTCAGCCTACGGACTTCCTTGGGAAAAACTGAGGGATTATTTGAGGAAGCATGTCGAGAACTGCGAGATTCCAGAGAAGCTGGTGAGTGCCAATACCCCCCCCCCCCCCCCTTTTTTGCCCCCCCTTTTCTCTCTTTCAAGTTTCAACCACCATTGCTCGGTACGAGTGCATCATTGATGTCTCAGTCTGTACCCTACATCGTACAATTCTAATTTTGGGAAAGGCCCCCGAGTCCGATCTATTTTCCGTTCCCGTGCCTCGAAAACTGAAACAGGTAAGTGGACATATATATTCTTCCACATTCGAGTTAGCCCCGCCCTCATGGCTGTTACATTCTTCAGAGCGAGCTTGACGATATTTATCGGATGCGTGACGTGTCGCGCAAAGAAGAGCAGCGGATCAAGGATCGACCCGAGAAACTTCCCCAGCCCGCTCCGCTGCCATCGTACTCAGATAGTGAATAGAATACGAAGTTTTTAATTAATACTGTGCTTAAGAAGGCTCTGGTATACCTGTATGTAGGCATCCTTGTGCAGGGTGGCTTGCATTTGAGCGGCTCGCCCCAGCCACTGAGAGATCGCGAAATGGCCAACCGGTGTGATAGACTGGTCAATAATATTGATCCACTTTCTGAAAGCCTGCGCATGAGGGTCTGTCTGTCTGCAGCTGACCACGGTCATGGCCAATGGAGGGATTCAAAGTCGGAGGTGGTCGGCAAGGTTAAGACAAGCTGAACAAAACGGCCTTGGCACTTGCGCACTCCTGCACCTGCACAATCAAGTTGGGGCTTCCTGAGGGATAGCCTGGCGAAGAAGATTCATCTCCAACCGAGTGCAGGTTCTCCTCGGCTGATTATCGCCTCACCATTCGATTACACGACATTGGTCCTTTCACGCATCCCAGTGATATTGCAGGGCTCTCAATGTGTAAGTGTAAAGGCCGATCAACTGCTCACTTGCACGAACATTTTGACGGATAGGATGCTATTGCGATTTGGACTTAAAACCCAGTGTTTTATCCAAACAATCGATTACACCACCAACACGCTCAACATTCCGAACCAAGACAGGCCGTATTCACACAAGCTGGTGAGGATTTTCCCATCAGGGCCATCCCCAAAATGCCCGCAGCAATGACGCCTATCCCAAAGGGGTTTGTGAGATCTATGGATGAGTTCCACAACTACCCTTTAAACTTAGTTGAGCGGAACAGATGGGGTGACCACTTCCTTCGATCCAGCTGCGAGAGACTGGAGGACCGGGAGAAGAGCTTGAAGCTGTTCGTAGACGAAGCGAAACTTCAAGTACCGATCCTTGAAGTGAACCACCAAGGCTTCGTCTCGCATAGAAATTTACGGTCTGATGCAGAAGTTGAGGAATTTTTCCAGGCCGACCATAGCCTTGATGAGAGCGGCTGTACGTCACCCACAGGAGAGTGCCGTGAGGATCCCGCATATCGAGCTGTGTAAGTCGGTCCCTAACCCATATCCCCGGCTCACAGGGAAATAGAACCAATTTTGACATGCGCACAGGTATTTACTCTCTGCGAGTTCCATTCGGCCCCTGGAGATTACACCAGAATCGCTGAAGTGGCTACTGACTTACTTCCAAGTCATGCCCGGCTTTCTCGATTTTCTCTATATCTTTGGCAACCCCACGGGGATGGACCCAGAACTCAAGTTTAGTGGTTTTCGCACCCATTCGGTGTTGTCGGGTCCTCACAAAGGGCTCGCAATCGACGCAATGAACCGCTCTGGCCTGCGGTACCAGATGTGCTATACTTTGAAGGGTATTGAACGTAAAGACGATGGCAAGGAAGCCGGAGCCGGCAGGATGTGGAAAATCCGCCATGGAGCGTTCCACCACCAATTTGATGTCGTCAAGGGCACGCAGCTCTGGATTCTAGGAGACCAGAAATTAACATTATGGAACCTGGGGAGCGGGCAACTGCATGGGGAAAGAAAATACCCAAAGCATTTCTCGACGTTCGCGCAACGTTTTAAGACGAGCCTGGATATGCATCTCAGCTATTGCCAGTGGGCGGCATTGGATTGGAGATGGTACATCTGCTCTTCAGAGGATAGAGCACATCAGTTGGTGAGCAAATTACTTGTGTGCTCCCTTTAGAGCGTTCTTTTTTTTAACATAGGAGCCCAGACAATTCCGTTCTTGGATGGTGATATCACCAGTGAGGCCTCGGTCGGTCCCCAAACACTAGTAGCCGTTCAGGCGGAAGAAGAGGCGGTGAATCAGATTATCATGGTGCTAGAAGCGAATACAGACATCGTGCAGAAGCTCCGGGACTTCTACCACGACCTCCTAAAAGGCGGTCGCTTTCCTATCGATGACACAGAAAAAAGTGAATGCGACGACACTGTGAAGGGATTCACAGCTCAGCTGGACGAGATCATATACGACCTCAATACGCAGATCGCACGAGCAAGGGTCCTTTCCAAGCTGATCACGGACAGGAAAAACATCGTAAGCTTAATACTCGTCACCTTAACTAAGCGATGCAAATAGTGCTTGACGCTAGTAGTGTTATGGCACGCGTCGGCGTACTAACTAAGTGAACCACCTCGTAGCTCATCCAACATCTCCAGACACAAGCCGCTGCGCGACAAGAGAACTCTGCTCAGAGCATGGAAGGCTTAGCCGAAAAGAGTGCTCGTGAAGCAATCGCGGTTCGAATAATTGCTGTGATAACACTGTTATTCCTGCCTGCAACTTTCATTGCCGTAAGACAAAACCATCAATGATCCTCCCTTTAAAGCAATTTCGTAATGAATTGGCGACGTTATTCTAACTCGACTCGACATACAAAGACGGTCTTCAGCACAGATATGGTCAAGTACCAGATCGAAGTAGACGACCCAAATGCGCCGCCAGAGAGGAGATCGAAGCTGGCTATCGAGAGATTTTTTCAGGTATCTATCCCGTTGATGGTTTTCACGTTTGCCATGGCAGCTCTGTGGTACCAATACGAGAAGCGCCGTCGAAGGACGAGCGGACGTTCCAAGCAACTTGTTTGAAAAGGGGACGTCGAGGCGTCCCAGTGTAACTCAGCAATTATGCGTGGAATGACTTGGCTTGGGCTAAAATTGAAAGGAGTCTTCCCATCTGTCCTATGGTCACCAGAGCAGCGTTGACCAGAGAATGCATTGTGAGGTGAAGGACTTGAGCACACGGATAATGCTTAGACTAGGCAATAGCCAAGTTTGGGTTATCTCCCTGTCTCTCTGTGCACAGTGAGCAAAGACCCAATGCCAAATGGCATATATATGGTCAAGATTGAGGGAAGTTCAGTGTCGTTCATGCGGCTGTACTCTTCAAAACAACGAGCCTTTCAAGAGCTGGTGCGGCCCCGCGGCTTTGCTAGGCGTAGTTCTAGTTCCAATCCCATAATATTGTTCAATTCTAATCCATATGTAATCTCATTATTCCATGTTCTTCATTCCATCTTCTACTTCAATCCCAGTCTGCGGCCAACAAATACCTACAGCAACCAACCAACAGCAGCGAACAGAAACGCGGGCCTGCACAGTCGACAACAATTGTTACCTACCGGATACCGAGGTATGGAACTTTCCAATAATGGCCTTGTAGCAAAAGTAAGTCGGCGGTAAGCACTCGCAAAGAAATCCGCCAGAGGAGAGCTAGTTTAGTGTCGTGCAGAAGCACATGGAGAGAGATTCCAAATTCGGGTCCCTTCGTATCTTTGTATTTCCCGCCAATGATAGCGCACTCTCGCCCGCCATGTTGATTGGCTGATTTTCTTGATTAGTTGATTCTCGGTAATGGTCTGCGGGGAAGGAACGACCCACGCACCTCGTGCCATGCAGCCATGTCCCAAACGGTCCAAACCCACGAAACCCACGTGTTTGTACCTCTGTCAATCCATCAACTACCGTGGAGAAGATGTGGGACACGAGTAGCTCCCGGCTTGGCTCGGCCGCCATTTGACATGTCGGGCTAACGAAGCAGTTCTGCGCGGAGGACCTTGGTTCCCCGCGTCAACGATGCAAGCAACGATCAACGAGGCCAAGGGCCCTGGACTTCTATCCAACATCAATCTCCGGGTTTAATGATTAAGACCGAGTCATGTCACGCAAACTCTGAACGCATTCCAGTCAGACTTCGAAGGCACCCTTCGGAGGAATTTGAATGCCACGACGAGGAAGCTGCACTGAAAAGGAAGGTGGAACAAGGCCAACCCCACATTGTGAGGCCACCTGCATCCGGCAGTCCGACAATCTGACCGGAGTCCCTCCTTGACCGGGTTCTCCCCAGTTTTTCCTTTGGCCTTTACTGGGGGCGCATTCAGTTTCCCTCGCCAGCCGCCGAAAAACAATGGAGCTTATCGAGGAAATGTCAATGGAAGTGGCGAAGCAGCGAGTCGAGCATTCCGCTCGCCCGTAGTCCCTAGTATCTGCCGTTACAACAAGGACGATAGCAATCAATCCCACGGAATGATTAATGAAAAGGTTTATTTTATGGTTCCCTCTTCATCAGCAACCCGTGGGTCCTTCCATTGTCCCACTTCTCCTTCCGTTTCCCTATCTCCTCTTCTCTACCACATTCTGTCTTGTTACCAGTGCAATAAAACATAGAAGCCACCATGTCCGACCCGGAAAAACCTCCCTTCCCGATTGAGGCCGAAAAGGCTGATCTGGAAAGGGTCAACACGTATTCTGGGGATGAGAAGGCAGACAATTCAGGCATCGACATTGAGCGTGCCCGGCTGCTGGCGAGCTTGCCAGACCCCGACGCAGGCAAGAGCGAGGAGGAGCGCCGCGAAATTGTGAGTGTCTTTGTCAGCGGGAGGCATCTCTCCATCCCCATGTTGCACCTTCCTTAACTTGCTAACATGAACAGGACAGGAAACTCATGTGGAAAGTTGACCTGTGGCTTATTCCCTGGCTCTCCTTCCTTTATCTTCTGTCCTTCCTCGATCGTACCAACATCGGCAATGCCCGTCTGGCCGGCCTCGAAAAGGACCTCGGCATGGTTGATGGAGACTATAATAACTCCCTGACAATCTTCTTCATCAGCTACGCCGTTATCGAGCCTGTCACAAACTCCCTGCTCAAGAAAGTCACCCCGCGAATCTTCTTCACCGTCGTCATCATCGTCTGGGGTACTATCATGACTCTCATGGGCATCGTACAGAATAATGCTGGACTCCTTGCTGCCCGTTTTTTCCTTGGCGTTGCTGAGGCCGGCCTGTTCCCTGGTGTGAACTATTACCTCTCCTGCTGGTACAAGAGTTCCGAGATTGGCGTGCGCTCCTCCATCTTTTTTTCAGCCGCTGCTCTGGCCGGTTCCTTTGGCGGCCTGCTTGCGGCTGCTATTGCCAATATGGATGGAATTGGTGGTAAACCTGGCTGGGCCTGGATTTTTATCCTCGAGGGCCTGGTTACTGTCATTGCTGGTATGTTCTGCTGGTGGCTTGTCTTTGACTGGCCTGAGACTGCTAGGTTCCTTACACTTGAGGATCGCGTGCGTGTTCAGCGACGTATTATCATGGACCGGCAGGGCCACAACGCCGATGACTTCGATAAGAGACATATCTATGTGGCGCTGAGGGACTGGAAGACCTACGGATACATGGTTATCTACATGGGCTGCCTTGGCCCCCTCTATGCTTTCTCCCTCTTCCTCCCTACCATTCTGCGCGGCATGGGCCACCAGGGTACAAAAGCTCAACTTCTTTCTGTCCCTCCATATGCTGTCGCTGCCGCCCTAACAATCGCAGTTGGTTTTTATGCCGACCGATCACGCCACCGCCGCGGATACTGCAATATAGCCACTGTCATGCTAGGTATCGTCGGCTTCATCATGCTCATCTCTACTTCTAACCCGACTGTCCAGTATGTAGCTGTTTTCCTAGGAGCTGCAGGGATTTACCCCACCATCCCCAACACCTTGTCGTGGGTCAACAATAACACCGAGGGCTCCCTGAAGCGTGCGTTCGTGCTGGGCATGGTGGTGGGTTGGGGCAACCTGAATGGTGTGACGTCGTCCAATATATACTTGACCCGCGAAAACCCCCGGTTCTGGACCGGCCATGGAGTTATCCTTGGCTATCAGGTTTTCTTCCTGCTTACCGGTTCGGTTGGCATGCATTTTGCCCTTCGGAAGATGAACTGCGATCGCGAGGCTGGCAAGATGGACGAGGCCTGGGGCAAGCTGACGGATGAGCAGAAGTGGATTCAGGGCGATCTCCGTCCTGACTTCAGGTACACTCTGTAAGACGATCAGATTCTGGCATGGATTGTGACGATGGTGAGTAACGGATGGAACCCCAAGCACGTTGTTCATCCTCGGCTGAAACATAGCCCCTCTTGAGAACAAAAGAGCAGGAAAAGCCGGCCCAAAACCGTCTCCGTTGGGTCAATTCGTCCGTGGCTAAAATCCCTGTATGAGATCTCCAGCTGGCGATAACGCGGAACATAAGTGGAAGGAATCTCACGCCAGCAGCCTCATGCCAATAGTTACTGAGTAGACAGAAAATAAAGGAGTCACGTCAACAAAGTGTTACGGATAGGATCCGATGCCCACGAGGCTTATCGGTTGTAGTGCCCGTGCTCGAGCAGCTCTGTTAAGAAGTTCGCTCCGGGGCGTTCCTTATGGGAGTGATGAGGGCGGCTCCTCACGCCAATGTAAAGCAGCCGAATTAGCCTACATTTGGGCGCCCAAGCGCCGAAACAATCCGTATACTGTAGCATGGGTATAGTGCCTGGCGTAGGGTAGCCAGAGGCCAGGGCCTACTTACGGCGAGCAATGGACAGGATCTTTGGTGAGAGGTAATGCCTCCACACACCACATGACAAAACTAATCACAGATCCCAAGCGGAGAGGAAGGGAATTGTTTTATTTTTCATGGATATCTGTTTCGATAGTCTATCATAGCCTCGACAATGGTTCAAGGGCAATCGACGCAGCGGGGAAAAGATGGAGCTGTGAGGAAACTGGCAAAGAATACGAAGGTGCTCAGGGGACCTTGGGCTGCTCATCTGACAACGGTTTCCAGCAACCGAGGAGGATTTCAGGTACTATGGGCAGTTCTTGAGGCGATCTCTGAGAGGGAGAGGTGATTTGGGAAGGGATGTTTGACAGCCACCTACCTCCTCTTGACTTTCCAGAATGCTCCACAGTGTTATCCATGACCACCAACATGCGAACCGTAGTTCTGCCGATGAAGTTCAGAGCATGTTGGCGAGGTGTTGGCGTCAGGCAGCAGGAGAGGTGCCTGGTTTAAAGGACCCTCAATCTAAGCGCGTCGACCCGATACGACTGCCACGAGGCCCGAGGACTCCCGGATGGGCAGAGAGCCAATATCCGAGACACTAATTCCTCCGTACGTGCTTCATCCGCTCTGCCCTCCTCGTCGAGAATGTCCGTGAAATCCTCGCTGGACACTTCATTCGGCACAACTGACCCATGCGGGTTCCCGGATATGCTGAAACTTCCCTTTACTCGGCTGGCGTGTCGTACAAGGACTGTTGTCAGCGGCCTCAAGGCATCCAGAGATTCCAGACGAAGCAGATCGTAATAGGCGCCCGCCACGGAAGCAATTATGACCAAGGCGACCAACCAAACTGGCCACTGAACACCGGTGGGCGCGGCCTCCGGACCATCGGACCAATGCATCACAGAATCGTCAAGATCGCAGCCGAGATTCACCAAGGCCCAAGCAAGATCCAGAGAGGAACCGTGCAGGGCTGGAACGAGGAGGTTCAAGTCATCAACGGTTCTCTTCAAGGCTGGATTGGAAACCACCTCACGAACCACATAGCCTGTCAGCCCGGAGTATGCAGCGAGTGCTACAAACGAGACACGGCTCCCGCTTCGAGTGAGAAAGTCATTTTCATGTAGGCCAAAGAGATAGTGAATGGGCAAGTCGGGACAGCTGCGGCAATACAACGTGTCCGATGCTACCCTGGCTTCAAGTGTAACGCGAAAATCATCATATAGCGGAGACACTTGTTCGCCAAATGTCATGTCCAGTGATCGAAGGCAGCTCGAAACTGTATAGGTCAGGACGGAAGTATGGGAGCATACATAAATGCTAAGAACGATTTCTGCTAAACCAATCCTTCCGTATATATCGGCCGGTCGAAACCCCGATGCCAACTCGCGCATCTCTGCATCCGAATTGCACCGATCTAGGATATAGTCTCTGGCCGTTCGGTGAAAAAACAACACCCGCTCGTCGGGTTGGCCGTCGTGGGGGAAGAAATGGAAGAAAGACCCCCCAGTGCCTATGTGTTCCCAGTCTATTTCAGGGACTACTTCTAGAAGGCCCTTCGTGAGGCTGTAGATTTGCTTTTTAACCAGCGCAAGCCGCTTGATGGTTTCTTCTCTTGTGTATGGCTCGCGCAGAGGGTGAATGGGGAAGTTCCGATCCTCGAGCTCTCCGGAGTCCAACCAGGAGAACGCCATGGCACTTAACGAGCCGGGAAAGGGATTTTGAGCTGCTAAGAAGAGCATTTTATTGGCTCGGATTCTGTCGATGCGACTGGGTGTCGCGCTTTTCCGAAGCTGGTCGTACAAATCGCCTAACTCCATTGGCACTTCTTCGAGCTTTTGGCGGAGGATTTTGCGGGAGTCTCCCTGCCGAATCGCGGCGAGAAGGATATCTACCACCAAATATGCCCAGAGAAAAACCCCTTGGCAGTTCCCAGAAATATCAACCAAAAGATCGTCATGCTTTTCACCTGTCTTGACAATCTCGCGGTCGTTTGATAACCGATTCTGACAGTAGGTGTAGATATCCCCCCGGTTTAGAAGGTGTAAGTGAAGAGGTTGATGAGCGGGTGAAGCAAGGAGTTCAAGATACTCTCTCTGCGGCCTTGAAGAGACGCAAATCTTGATATCGCCCCTCTCAGTCCATCTCTTCAGCTTCAAGGCCAGCTCTTCACGAGCAAGAACATTCCCATGGTACTCGTCTAGGCCGTCTATGAAGAAGCAGAACTTGTATATATCCTGTCCTGCGTAGCTGGTGAGGTTCTCGAAACCCACTTTGATATCTTCGTCACTAAAGTCCAAACTTTCAACAAGACGATCACCAGGGCCCTTCTGCAGGCGGGCCCATTGTTTCGGAAACACAACAGGGATCATCTCGGGGCAGCGGCGGAGAACCTCGAATAGCAATGATCTGTAAAGTCCCTGAAGGGTTGATTGTAGGTAGGTCCCAGCGCTATAGAAATAGAACTGTGCCACAACCAGCGTCTTTGGCGCAGCCCATTTCTCCAGCTCTCGTCGCGTCGTTTCGTGCTGTGAGACGAACTTCATCAGGGTAGACTTTCCAGACCCGGCCTTGCCTGAAATATGAAAGATGTCTTTGCCACTATTTAGCCACGAGCAGAAGACTTCCCTTGCGTCCCTGCGGCTTTCTATCTCGGCCTTGCAATGGGATGCGTCTGGATCCAACCTCGGTATACCACTTCCCGCTTCTGTTGCTGGAGGCGAGACGAAAGCTTGCTCTATTACAGAGTCAGGACCTGGCTCGGGGTCGATGCTAAGCGGCTTCGGGGCTCGGCCATTATAAAATGCATTTTCAGAATTCAGAGACACGAAACTGGAGTCATCCTCCTGACCCTCTGTGTCATAGCCATCCTCCAGCAGCCATTTGCATGTGTCCTCGCCCGCTAAAGGGATTTGCGCTTGCCTCAGACGCATATCGTTATAAATGAGCTGCCGCAGCACCCGATGGTGCAACGGAATGGTTCGCGTTAATGACTGCATGTCTTGCAGTATTCGCCCAATTTCTGCCAGCGTTTCTTGATTCTGCTCCAGGTGGTCGGAAGGGGGCGAATCGTGCGTGGGAGGAGCATCAAGAGTTGAGGGAGCATTGCTTTGAATGGCGGCGATTAAATCGCTCTGGAGGTTGTGAAGCTGCGCCGAAAACTCCGTTTTTAACTCAGAGCTATCATTACTGATGGCGTTGATCTGGGAGCATATTTCCGATTGTCCATCGCTAGGGTTACGGTCAGTGAAATATAGCTTTTCATAGAGAAAGTGTAAGTAGTTATCTCTCACCGGAGCAACAAGGTCAAGTTGATCAATATCTCCCCCCGATACTCCTGCAATCTTTCCTTCAAATCTCTCACTTCTTCTCGCTTTCGCAAAGCCCTCCATTTAGCGTAGACACTCTTCCAGATGGATCGTTTCGGCACCTTTAGTTGCTTCAGAATATCCAAGAGGACCTTCGCATCACTTCGACAATCTTCCGCGAGCCGGCGAATAGCTCGTTCCGATTTGGTCCTGCCAGAAGTTGTCTTCTCGAGATCCTCTGCGATGGAGTCAAGATCATCGATGACGTCCTCCAAGCGCGCGTTTTCTTGCAGCGAACCGTCGAGGGAGCGGTAGATTTCTAGGCTTCCTGCAATCAACTTCCACGAGAAGTCGACAAAGGTAATAATTGACGAAGCCAGTCCGACAGCCGAAACGGGATCCATGGGGAGCTTCAATCTGTCTGACAAGCCGATGGGTGGAGGAAGGGTTGCCCAAGGGTTGGGGGGAAGCGGGGTTCTGGAGGATGGGCATTGGGCAGGCTGGGCTAAAGGGTTTAGAAGGGCCTAGACTCGCGTAAAAAGACGAGCTTCCCAGAAAGATATCGAACATAGAAGACTGCAACTTTCTAGTTATATTAAAAAGAGTTATGTTTAAATTTTTATTTTTTTTATATAGTATATATTGAAATAATATTATTATCGTATTAGACGCGCTGTAGTAAACTAAGCGAATGCTAGTTCCTATAATAAAAAGTCTAGGAATAGGACTATGTAGAGCCTGGCGGAGATGTTCCGCGTCATTCCGCGTCATTCCGCGTCGTTCTGTTCTAGGTCTTTGTCACTTCAAGATAAGTCTATTTCAGCCCCAATACAGTGCTTTCATGGGCTGTGTAAATACATGCATATATGTTTCTGTTTACTGCCATGGGCTAGGAAAATGAGGCAAAAAGAAAGATATTGGTTTATTGACCTAGGCAGGGATCGAACCTGCAATCTCCTGATTCGTAGTCAGACGCCTTGCCATTGGGCCACTAGGCCATTTCCTGTGGGTAAGCTACTTTCTTCACCCGGAAATTAGTTTCATGGCTCAACATCTCGCTGGCCTTTTTCCCAGTGTCATCTGGCAGGTTCACGGCGATGTATCGACTTGGCGATCAGATGCTCAATACTCCATGAATAGTCGCTGAGAGACTGATCTCTAACATTCGTTGCTCACACTTTTCATTTTACTCGTGCTATGGGCACTGAAGGTAGATCGGTTTGACGGCAAATTGGCATTATTCGCAATAGGTTGTCAAGCCCAAAAGACTTCGGCATTCAGCTGGGTAGGTCCTGATTGAAGTATTCATGGCTAAAGCCCTCATAATCCAAATCAGCCATCATATCTTCCCGCTCTTTCTGCATACGAGCCCGGAAATCGGTAGCCTCCTCCGGCGTGAAAATTGATGGGTCGAATGCGTCAAGGGCGATCTGGTCTCTCACTTCGACGGGCAGACCTCTGCTGCTGAGGAAGTCGTCGGGGAAAACATCGCGCCTCCACCAGCTGAAATCTTGCGGGACGACTCTTTTAGTCGAAATAACACGGTAGTTCGGATCAACAAGGCAGATTGTAAGGAACCGAACACATCCAGGTTTAGATGGGTCCTGGAGTTCGACGGGATTGAGGCGGTACTGGACAACGTTGGGGAACGCAACTAGTCTTTCTTTGGGCGCCGCGACCGACCCAACTGTTTGGAAATGGGAGATCCTTGTAACAACCTCACCAATAGGTTGGTCGACGGCAAATGTGGTGAATGCTCTCTGAAACTCAAAACGATGAAGCCAATAGTTCTCGCGGGTGAAATCCGCGGCCACTCGGAACTGGAGACTAAGTGCTTCAGCGACGTTGGTCTGCTCAAAGGTGTAGACAGATGTGGCGACAATGTGCTCATTGAGCATGCCTTCTAAAATCCAGTCGCTGCCTGGGAAATGTGGCCTATCCGGCGTCAGTTCGATAGTCTGCATCTTGACATAGACCTGCAGACCCTGATGTCTGAACTGGTGATGTAGTTGAACCTCACGATACTTGTGATTTCGTCGCCGCCGTGGGTGGACTCTAATATTTTCCCTACACCAATCTCGACTCCCGGTGTCCTCGCCATATTTGTTGGCAACATAGCAGCGCGGACAGGTCTGCACAGCATCGAATACTTCCCCGATCGATCTGAGCAACTCTCCAGAGCACGCGGTTCCAGGCTGCTGGCTGTTGGGGTCTAGTAGTGGAATGACGCTGTGATTTCTAAACGGCGGTCCCCGTTCCGGGAGGGAATCCATTTCTGAAATCCTTGCCCACGGCCACGCTGGGTTGGGTGTGAGTAAAGGGTGAGGACAGCCCTGAGCAGAGAGGTATATGTCGGATCTAATGGTGTTAGAAATGTCCTGAACTGGGTACAAGGCGTTCTTCCCTGTCTTCCAATCCTGGAAGGAGAAGTAAGTTCCAGGCTCCGGATACCGGAATTCTTCAAGCCTAGCCCGTATGGTTTCGTGAATTTTGGATTCTGCTCGAACGAAATCTACCTCGAAAGTGTTGCAGAGGGCTGGAGCAGTTTGCATCCTCGTGATGATGTCGTCGAGCGAATCATCCCGTTGGGACTGGCTCATCCTATCCCAGTCATCGGACAGGGAGCAGAGCTCTCTATAAAAGTTGCCATCTTTGACCCAACAAGGGCCGTTCGGTGGAACGGGAAATGGAACGCCAATCCCGAAAGTCAAAATACGAAGAGGCGTTCAGGGTGGTCCTATTGTCCACCACCGCTGAAACCAACTCATGTCGTAATTCTCCCTCTTCCTAGTGCCGGCGTGCATGAGTACATCGTTCCAAGGAAACACCGAAGCCGAGATGGCATCCTCGATGAGAGAGTACATCGACCCGTGAGTGCTCGGATGAAGACCATTGATGTAACTTGTGATACGAGCTCGAAGGCTGATCTCGGTGCTTGTACATGCGTCTGCGTCCGCGATGACAATGTCGCAGGGGAGCCATTGAAACAGGTTCGAAATAGTTCGTGGGGCCCTCTTCTTGGCAAGTTTCCCAGGCTCAGGTTCGGAGTCAGAGTCAGTGTCAAGCTCCGAGGGTGAGGTAATGTTATAGGGAAGGTTGAAGTTGGGCTCAACCTCACCCGGCGAGTGATAACCGTACGAGTGGGGTCCACGGGACTTGACATGAGGTGCAATCTCAGACACTACTCCTTGTCCAGAATGAGCCCACATGCTGTTGGGGTCGACTCCGTCAGTGGGGGCAAGGATCTTTGTTCGTCCATATGCCAGCGGGTTTAGCGAGGGATCCACGATATCATGCAACGGGCCTTCACTAATTCAGCGCCCCCATCCGTCATCAGTCCTCAGCATCTCACAGACCAGTCTCTCCATCCGTTCGGAGCCCTGGAGACTAGACTTGGATACACGGATGCCCGCATCATAGACTAGAACTCGGCCGGTGCGCACGAAGGATCTTGCCTTGTCCTGAAGCTCTTCCAAACACCAGGCCCAGGCCTTGGGGCTAAGGAGAGGCTCTCTTGTTGTCATCTCTTGCCTCAATGCCTCCGCTGTCTGGGAGTTGAAGACATCAGACTCCCAATTAGGCCTATCGGTTATCGCGTCCATTGTCTTCAACATGGCCAGCTCACGGGCAGTTAGGCGAGTTGGAAGCACCCGGTCAAGCATTCCGTGAGCAAATCGCCTTCGCCAATGCAATTCGATGTTGGAAGCCTTTTCGGGAAATGGGGGTGGAGATGGTTGAGGGGCGGGAGCCTCGGGCCCCGTATCTACCCCCGAGCTAAAGCTGTCCTCACGTCCACGTTCCATTGGGACTCTGCATGCACTTCGCCGTTCTTTTGAGGTATCTCTTCAACGGGATGTCTCAAGTTGACTAGAGTGACGATTTTTCTCTTGGTGATACCTGGCCCAACGGAGCTGACAGAATAAACAAACTTGTGTGTGGGGGGAAAGAGCTTTCTATTCCTCTCTAGAAACAACAAAGACCTTAGGAGAAGAATCCTCCCGGACACGCTGATCAATTTTGCCGCCTAGCGAGCTGGGTCTGGGCTCTGAACCGGACCAATTTGGTGGATAATAACCGTGGGCGGGAATTGCAATAGAGGCAGAAATGGCAACCCGAGATGGCGGAGTATGACCCAAGGCGTTGAAGCCTTTCAGCTAGCTTTAGCCTAAAAATGTGCCTGAAACACGTTTGTACTACTGCCTACTGTCTACACTACGCACTTGGAGCTGCGATGAGGGAACAAGAGCTCCACCATTTGGGAGGAATTACATTTTAGATACACGAGGAGATAAATTGTAGGACACTGTTGGAAGAGGTTAGAAATCTACATCTTTCCCTAATGCCTGTACTCATACGCTTGTTTCAATTGGATTTGTTTTGAAACGTACCTACCTAATGTCGCACGAGCTGGGGCAAAGTGCTCTCTTATTGCAGCTATCTAAAATGGGCCAATGTGAGGAAGCGTAGGCATATTGAATCCGCCAAATATTATTTTAAGCCGTCATTGGCATGAGGAGCTCGCCGAGATCAGGGTCGTAGTAGCCATTTAAATGTAAGTCTAAAACGTCCCATGAAGCGGAATTTTCCTCACTTCCGGATCCTAAGAGGAATTGTCCGCCGATCGACATCTCGGGAACTCCAGAGTCCATCTGGAATGCGGCCTCCTGATGTGGCGCCTGCACGGATTCCTCCTGCGGCAGAACATTAGATGAAAGAGGTTCTGGAAGAAACGAACCGACCGTGTCATTGTCTTCGAGGGGTCCTTCTCCCACAGTCGGCTTTGGAATAATTGCATATCGTGATGGGAAATGGACCCGGTCATCTGAACCTTCTTCTCCACCAGACCGCGATGGCGCAGGATCTTGCCCAAGTACGGTGACGAGGCTTTCGGTATCTTTTACGCAGCGTGCCACACGCGGAAAGATGGTGCGAGCAGAGGATGCCAACCGCAGAGCCTCAATAAGTTTCGGCTTGATTTCCAGGATGGAGTGGGGGCCTTCCTCGTCTAGAAGATGATGTAGATGATGCAGTATCTGAGAGACCTGGTAGATACTAACGGCAAGGTGCATATCTTCTAAAGGCGCCCTGAAATCTAGTTGGTAAACTTCAGACCAAAAGTTGCAAAGGCGCAGAGCGCTAGATAGACATGCTCGCTGGCAGTATTCGATGAAGTCAGGAGGGGACTGGGCCATCGCCTCCTTTCCAACAGCCTCTCGTATACCGGGGATAACGAATCGGTACAAGTCGCAGTAGCATTGTAGCCACATCGTGTGGAGCAAAATGTATTGGGTGGCTTCGGTAGAGTGGACCATAACAAGAAGGTTCTGAGAGTTGAGTTTCATATCCTCTGGTAAGGTCATTTCAAACGCGTCTAGATCATGGCGTAGGGTATCAAGCTCGTCGCGGCTCAGTGCAGGGCTAACATTCTCTCTCCTAACTCTCTTAGTGTATCTATTGACCTGTTAATTGAGGGCTATCCCTTTGGCGCTGATAAGGCGAAACTTGTAAGGGTGGTCGGGGAAAGCGGACAAAAAGGAGAAAGGAAAAAAAAAAAAAAGGAATAAAAAGAAAGGGGGAAGGGGGACGTCTTACCTCAGGATTCGATCGCGGAAGTTGGAAAGCCTGATATAGTAAGCAATAATGCTCATATGCCCATCATCTTGGCGATGTTTCTCTTCGAGGTACTGGGCCCTTGAGGCAATCCCTCTCCGAAAGCTGTGATCATCGCAGGGTAGCCGAATATGTATTTTATCGGTAGGGCAGACAGCGAGGTCGTCGACGCCTCCAGAGATTTGCCGGTCAGAGAGATAAATTGCCCATACTAGACGACGACGAGACTCCTGGGCAATGGGATTTAAATTTCCATCCTCTAAGTTAAGCCGCATGATGAAGGCTACCCGCGCCGCCAATGAGATCATCATCCAGGCCTCTGGTAGCTTTCCAGCGGCAACGTGATAGCGCATAATGAGCACTAGGGCTTGAAGTTGATTGATAGACAGCCTACCAAGGCGGCTTAGGATATCGCGCTGAGCCTCCTGCATCATCGTTCCAACGATTGCCTGGCTATGTGGTCGATCGTCGCACAGATGTAGACCGGAGGCTATTAGTACTTTTAGGATGACGGGGTCGAGTGTCTCGCGAGCCAAATCGGCGAGTACTAGGGGCTTGAGGAGGAAGACGCATGTTGCGGCGCCGGACAGGTCGAAGTAGGCTTCAATATAGCGACGGACTGTTGGCTTATCTGAGAACAACGTCCTAGCGTCCGATAGTAAGTTTAAGTTTAGAATTGTGGGCGGCGTCGACGAGTTCGCAAATTGGGCTGAAGACTGTATTTGGAATGAGTTTCCATCCGAACGCTGTTCGCAGCGGACGCCCCTGGCGAGACATCGCTCGCAAGGGTCTCCACCAGTGCATTTGCTCTTCATTAAGCGGCAAGTCACGCAGGCCCGACGAGTTCGCCTCCTCTTTGTCCCGGCCTGGGTCATATCCGAGGGATCACGGACATCCGTAGTAAGTATCGGGTCCAGGCCATTCCCGTAGGAACACGGAAGCCCGAGGCGAGTACATGGAGCGCAGGACGGCTCGACTCGGTCGCATTTGACCTTGCGGGCGCGGCATGGTTTGCACGAAAGTCTCGGCTTCTGGTAGGTCTCACAACCTTCGCAGCTGGAAGAGCTGATGGATTCGATGCCAGCTGGGCCTTCGGGTACCCAGGCTAGTCTCGGGGAACCACCAACAGTTGAAGTAGCCATCGTGGACGTGAGCGCGAAGGTTCGGTCGGATTAAAACACCGAGCAAGAGTGCGTCCACCGACCTTTTAAACGGCTCGGGTCGGATGTCGGCACACGCTGCCACCCACCACCACGCCACCAGCTACGAACGACCGTCCCCGACCCCGCCGCCTATCCCTAACAGGGCAGCGCATTAAACTGCAGAACGACCCACATTCCACATTTTCTCGATTCAAGTCTCTTTACTGAGGTACATACAAACAAATATACATCAATACACTTCTTAACCCCAGAAAATCCATCGCGGCGGATCCCCGCCTATCAATGGTAGTTTCCCCGCAATACTACCGCTCCATGGAGTGAAGGTCGCTGCAATGTAACCAGGCGTTGGAGGAGTGGTTATGCCGAGTGACACTGACCGGGGCAGCTATCAATTGATACGCGGCAGAAAATGAAGAGATAGAATTCGACCCGTATCATAGACTTTTCAAACCGTGGCCTCTACCATATATCTAGTTTGTTTTTCTAGGCCATATACTCAGTAGTTGTCAATTCAATACATGTCTGACACTGTGACACTTGAATATGCAGTGCCACCATGCTAGCACCAAACTAGAGACTGTTTTAGCTGCTTCACTCTACCGCTAGCAGGCATCCTCGATCTAACATTTGAACTAACCCTGGCGATCAATTTTGGATTGTAGCGGAGGAAGAGAAGGTTCGCGACCGAGCCAATGTTTTCGTCCTTCGGTCAAACCTTGTCTCACAGAGTGGTAAAGATTATTACGAATTATACAACATGAATACTTGAACGCCCCATCTTCTCTCTGCAGTCAGTTGAGAACAGTGAATCCTCTCGGCCTTCTTTGGTTTAAATTCCAATTATGTTAGGCCCTAGAGCTTCTTCTTTCTGTATTATCAGTGATTAACCTGCTGCGACTGGCTCTACTTGTTCTCTACATGGTGGGCTTGGCCCAGTTCAGGGTCGTCATGGTGCTCCTTCTCCTGGATCTGGTGATGCACAGCTTCCATCAGCTCCGAGGCATTTGTTGAGCCAAACTTCCGCAGTGGGACTCCAGTCATGAACAGGTAATCGACCTGCTCTAGTGTCTTGCCCTTGCACTCGGGGACGAAGAAGTATACAAATATAAGAGAGCAAAATGCAATGCCGCCGAAGATGAAGCCGACTTTACTTCCGAGACCCGCACGATCCGGAAATACAAGATACGGGATTGAAAAGTTGATGAGGAAGCTTGAAGTAGTTAGCCTAATAAGTCATGGAAGAGAGAGGGAAGGGCTAGAGAGATGAAGCTGGAACCTCGCCTAAAGTTTAGTTCGCCACAGACTTACTTGAAAATAACGTTGACCGTGAAGCCAACCCGAGAGCTATGGTCTCGTAGGCGTAGATTGGACACCTCCGTAGCGACGACATATGTCAAGGGCGCCCAGCCTAGCGAGAAGCTGGAGACGAAGATGGTGATCAGGGCCATAATGCCCTTCATTCTCGGAACGGAGACTGGCTCCTGGACGCCAAGGCCGCCCATCGAGAACAGACTACCCATAATGGCAATGGAAGACGCCATCAGAAGTGTCCTGCGACCCGTTAGCAAGCTTCATTAAGTATTCGATCTTCGCATCCTACATACCGTCGCCCAAATCTGTCCGTTGCGAATAGAACGAGGGTTATAACCACAGCGTTAATGCCAGAGTTCATCAATCCAAACAGGACAGGATCGAAGATGCCTAGAGACCTGACGTAAACGGCACCGTATTGAGAAGCGAATGCCTGTCCGGTGGCTTGCTGGAAAAAGTTGACGAAAACGATAATAACCGTGCGAATTACGTTTTTTCCACGGAACAGCTCCATGAAATTGCCGCTCTCCTGTTCGTGCTCGAGCGTAACGCGCAGCTCGGTGAATTCTGCCTCGATCTCCTCGTCGGTGAAGGCTCCGTGCCGGAGACGCACCAGCATTTCCTTGGCTTCATCGATGCGGTTCTTTCGTAGGAGCCATCTTGGAGATTCGGGAATGAAGAATATAGCGGCGGCGATAATGCTAGGGACTACATAGAAGAGGCCCAATGGGATCCTCCACGACCTGTTGTCGTCAATCTTGCTCGTGCCGTAGCAGATCGCGTTAATAACGAGTCCTCCGACAGTTAGACTAAACTGGTAAGTGCCGACGATTAGGCCTCGGACCGGGGCGGGAACTTGCATGCAAAACAGACGTGATCAGCGTCTAGCCATTCCAATATATCCAATCCCAGCAAAGGTGGCATCTGGTACTCTAGGTTCCTCGCGGTTAATGCACTTACCAATTTCTGACTGGAAAGTCGGAACGACGGACAGCTCCATGCCCACATACACGTAGTTAAGGATGCGGGCGGCCATAATCTGCTCTCTGCTTTGAGAGGTAACGGCAATCGTCGCGGTTATAAGGGCGTAAATGCTCATAATAAACATACACCATCGACGACCGAACCGAGAAGAAATAGTGGTGCCAATGAGTACGCCTATCAAGTTACAGGGTCAGGGGACTGGAGCTCACGGCTCGTGAATAAGCAGGCAGTAGGAAGCTTTACCGGCGGCGAAACCGATGTAATTCAAGCTGTTGAAGAGGGATAACCAGTCAGACCGAAAGGCGTATTTGCCTGTTGTCTCGTTATAGTCGCCAAATTGTCTGGTGAAATGCTCCATGGCCTGGGTGGTAGCAAAGGCCTGGTTATCGAAGCCATAGTTGAAGGTAGAGACGGCGATGACGAAGACGGAGGCGAACAACGTCCGGTTGAAATAGCGAAACTTTTCGAACGTAAATAGACCCATAATGTAGTGAAACTTCTTAGTTTTGGGGGCAAGAAATAATAAGAGAATGGATTTGAAGGGAGATGTCTGTCAGTACCGCCGAAGATCCCTTTGCCAGGCGCCCGGGGTTATATATGCCGACACGACAGGCCATCGCGAGATGTCGGTGCTTCCCCAATCTTTACTTATAAAAGTATTAAACTCCGAGAGTCGCCTAACTCTCTGCTGGTCAGCCCGTGCAAGAAACCCCACATTCCCCAATCATCTGCGTCCACCCCGTGGGGACCAGCCACGAAATCTGGGTCAGGAAAGCTGGGTAAGAATTTCCTGGGAGCTCCAATATCATCAGATCAGCTCCTTTTGTTCTAGCGCCACAAATTCAATCACTAGCGTCGGGCAATATCCGGACTGACAAGAGGCTTTACCAGACACCGAGATCCGTAGCGCCGGAACTACTATCCGCACTATGATGACAGATGCTTAGTGCCAGTTCCGTCGTGGCTAGAAGCGTTGGCCGTCAGTTCTGGTGGTGGTCAGTAGTCCTAGTAATTACAAGTATAATGTGTTGGTTGTCATGATGGGACGACCGGCTCTTATATTCTCTGTTCTATCTGCTACCCATCAAGTTATAGCCGGAGGAATTCTCGCAACAAGTAACCGCGGTGTGTTCTCTACACCGTTTTTTTCGGAATCACAAGATGTAGTACATAAACGTTCCTACTTCATGGATAGTAGGCATACCCCTTCAGCGCAACGAAGCGAAAGTCTTGGGTAAAGCCGGCTCGATACATCCCGGTAGGTTGTTCCATTCCTATTAGATAGAGACGAACTGTAGCTGCTTCTGGCCGTCGCCGCGAAAACACGCAGCCCCTCCTAAAGGGCCTATAGGCGGAATTATAGTGTAGTGTAAGGATTTCAGCGATGTATCTAAACGTAGCATTGTTGTCACTGTTACGCCGATTATAAGCCGCGTGATGACATGGCTACGAGATATTCTAGATATTGCGGTGAACGAAAGCACCATGACCAGTGGTGTCCTCAATGATTGTATCAACAGGTGCACCGAAAGTCCAAGTTGAAGGGCCAACAAAATGCCTTGATACGGTGCCCAGCCCAAGGGTGCCGTTGGTCCATGCCATTCTAGAGAGTCTATCGCTTTGCGGGAGCCAGGACGCCAGGTCTCACAATGTCTGATATCGAGGCTGACATGTGTTAGGCTGAACAAAGCCAGCGTATCTGAGACACAGGCGGAGGGTTGGTCTCCATGAACGGAGTAGATAGGGGCGGGGAGGGAACCGGCTGTATAAAGACTAAAGAGGAGCACAGAAGAAAGCAAGCCAAAGAGGTAGCTATAATGTCATATTTGAGAGTGAACATTATAGGACACTTTGACTACTCATGTTACTCGACTATCGACCAAGCGATGACTAAAGGCCAAGAAACTGTTTCACTACCTGTACTGAACTATGTTATATCCAGAAAGGACTCTTTGGGATAAACTAAGAAAAACTTATAACATAGGCATATCAATCAACCAACGGGTACCAAAGTATGAACGCTACTACTTCTCCGTTTTGAACTCGTAAACGACACATCCCGCCCGAATGCGACCACCGGCCCCACCATTCTGATCCTTGCCTGTAGAAGTGAGAGATTGATTAGCAACGATAATGACTCCGGCTCAGAAGGAAGAAATCGGACCCTGTAAGACAGGGCCTAAACTGCAACCCGGGTCACGGTCTTCAGTCTGTGGTTGTTAGATGGAGAGCGGGGGTTCGCGTGCGGAGAACGGCCCAGGTCAACTAAAAATAGAAACTCATGGCCTTAGTCATCAAGTAAAACGAACTGACATCTATAGAGCAATGCGATAGGATGTCTTTGATTCAATAATCTATGTAGACCCGTGGACCGTGGCTGTGTTACATTCCCATCCAAGATTCGGCGGTTTACTTTCCAGCCTTAGCTAAGCGCTCTTCCATCTGCTCTCGCGGGCTCTCAAGTTCAACACTAGGAAATCTATCATCCGATTTCCACGGCATAACGTCGGCGGTCTGAAGCAGCCACTTCAGAACGACCTTCTCGTACTTTTCCGCAAAGTGCTTGTGTGCAGGGTCTTCTGCCAGGTTGTGTAACTCATGAGGGTCGTCCCGCCGGTGATAAAGCTCCGAGGGCTCGTAAAGGCGGTAAATAAAGGTCCAGATTTCGTCGCGGAGTGAGATAGCCTTGCCCACTAGTGTCGTGTCTTCGTGCTGCAAACTAGCCTTGATGTCATAGGGGTAAGGTGCTTGCTCGAGGAGCGGCTCTTCCGATGCAAGGAAGCCTCCCTCAGAAAACGCGTATTCCTTGTGCTTGGTTGCGTTTCCGCAGAGCAGGGGAACCCATGAAAGACCATTATGGGCGTAAGACTCGCCAATACCCGCAAACTCCAGCATAGTCGGGACCAGATCAACCATTTCTGTCATAGCAGTGATCTCTTTACCTTCCGGTAGTCCTGCACCCCCAACAATAAGGGGCTCATGGACGAGGGTGTTAGACAAGCCCGAAGGCCACTTTTCGATGAGGCCATGATCACCAAGATACTCGCCGTGGTCCGTAAAGAACATCGTGACAGTATCCTTCCAAAGGTCCAACTCTTCCACTTTCCTCATCACCCTCCCGAACTGATCATCCAAGCGCGTGATCATACCGTAATATGTTGCTTTGATCTCTTTCCAGATATCATCTGTGGCGCGATCGGTGCCATATCGCTCCCGGATTGTCTGCATGTATCGGGGTTCATAGCCCGTCTTTTTCTTCGGATCCGCCTCGATACTAGACAGCTTCGAGCGGTCGTACATTGAAAAGTAGGGCTCTTCAACTTGAAATGGGCAGTGGGGGAATACCAAGGGCATAAAGAGGACCCAGGGCTTATCTGTGGGGGAGGAGTCTAGCCAGGTGATTGCCGAGCGGACGACCGCCTCATCGTAGTCCACACATTCTTTCGCGTCGCGGAGTCCCTTGTAGAAGAGGCGACCCCAGATGCTCTCATCTTTTTCGGGAGGTCCTCCGCCCGAGAACTTGGGTACGAATTCAGGAGTTTCTAGGAATCCGTATTCTGTCACGCTTAGCTCCGTGACCGTCGGGGCAAAAGTATCCCCTCGAGGCGCTAGGCAGGCCACATGGTAGCCATGTTCCTTTAGGCTTCGGAAGATATTGGGTTCCCAGGGCTTGATCAGGTTCTCAAGGCTACGGTGGCCGCTCACGTGGGCATAAGTCCCCGTGAACATGCTGCACCGGGATTGAGAGCAGACAGAGGCCTGGGTGAAGCAATTTGTGAAACGGCATCCTCGCGCAGCAAAGGCATCGATGTTGGGGGTTTTGATTTCAGACCCCTGCCCTGTCGTGCATCCCAGGGAATCATATCGCAACTGATCCGGCATGAAGATGATGAAGTTAGGCCTGTTGCCACCATTTTTGGAGGTTACCGTTAGGGGCAACGGCTTGGGAGGGAGGCGGTGGTCGAAGGGCATTTTTAGTTGTTAGGCGAGAAATGAAGAGAAGGTGGTGGCAATGATGTCATGAATCGAATCGGGGTGACGCGACTAGAATTCTGAAGACTTTTGAACCTGAATTTGGCTACGATACACGATTATTTATATGCCGAGTTGTTTCTTTTCTCCATTTCTTCATTCCCAGCGTTTAGGTTAACCGGTGACATGTCCTTGCAGCTCGGATCTCGTACCGGGAGCGGGGTCCCGCGCATCGGATCTCGGTGCATTCTATTGCCACGGCGTCAATGACAACAAGTACGACGACAGATTCAAGATCTACGAGGAGGCTGTCAGAGGGGTGAGCAAGACAAACTTAGACAAATGTATGGACTGGAACGGCAATGGTCCCTGCAACAAGCACTTTGATTGCGCCTGGTCAGATGGCAGCGGGACGAAGTCGTCCGGCCCATGCCACTGGAAAAATACGATCCCTTCTCGGACGACTCTTTCACAATAACTTATAGCCTCCGAGATGAGGATGGCTTCTATAAGACGATCGAGGAGGAATTTGGGATACCTCGGGACTACGTTGCTTTTGATAACATTGCCGAAGACGACCATTGCATTGGTAAAGCACCACCACCAGGTAGCGGACCTCGCCCGATATCCGATCCCTCAATAGAGAGCAGACAATGCATGCAGTTCCGAAGAGAACGAAAGGGCTACCCCATCACCAAGGAGGACGCCAAGGTTATTAACCCTAAAGAGATTATTCAATCCTCTTTGGGGAACCTCGATGAACTCTACTTCGAGGTTATACTTTGTTCAATCGAAATCTCTCTCGGCATCTGGGAAGGCGACCCTAACGAGCTGGTTGAGGCAACGTCATTAAGCGTCTTCCTAGCTGTGCAATCCGTCGACTCGATGGAACAAGTACAACAGATAGGCCAAGAGGTTGAAGACGCTGAGAGGGAACAGAAGAGAAAGAACATTATCCTCGGCGTTGTGATGGCCGTTCTCTTTATCATACCCATCGTTGGCGAGGGTGCTTTTGCCTTAGGTTGGACGACTGCCACCATTGCGCGGATCGCCACCTCGATCGGCCTCGCAGGAGATGTAGCGCTCTCTGTGATAGATGTCATCGATGACCCCTCTTCGCTTCTGCTGACGGCACTATTGATGATGGTGCCTGGGCTTCCGGGGTCCATCAAGCGCAGCGACTCGGCGGTCAAGGACGTCATCAAGAGCAAACGGCAATTTGGAGATGCCAATCTTCACCGCCTTGGAGAAGTTTTTAAGAAAAATGATACAAGTATCCAAAACATTCTCAAAGTTTGCAAGAGATGAGAAGGGGAATTTGGGCATGTACAGATTTTAATTTCTTCCAGTCGGCTATGTGGAGGATGTTCGTGAATGGAAGCATTATTATACACTCGTTAGAGAACGGTCGCAGGACGCCGTTCCTGAGCCACGTCTGCCTAGAACCTAGAGTTCCGCTAGTTTAACCCTTGAAATTGGGAGCGTTGGTAAATTTTCACGTCTGGGTGAGGGTAGAGATTGCTGCGAAGGCCAGAAGTGAATAGGGGAAGCGGATATGATCGGATGAACGTAGCAGACCAGAAAGGTAGGGGGAAAATGGGATCTAACGGGAAATCTTGAGATCGTCGTCCGTAGTAGGATGGAGCAGACGTGCATGGACAGAAGAATGAAAGCACTGGGCGCAGTTTCGCTCCCCAAAAAGCACAAAAAATCCCGCATCACAGGGACCCATAATTCCAAAAATCCAAACTATGAAATATCCCAATTTCCCAGGTCCCAGGTTACTTGATGTCGATGTCCCTGTTGTGGTGGGGTTAAGGTAGATCTTTGCTGTTTGTTGGAGGTCGCCATAACAAAGAATAGAACCTCGATTGGAGGTTCCAGGTTACCTGCATTGAAATCGTGGAAAATCGGAGTTTTGATGGAGCCAGGGTTACCTCAAGCAGAGCGTGGCTGTGCCCTCTTTGGCGAGAGGACCACGGGATCAAGGCGTGTCTTCCCCACATGCCTCTTTCACCTCTGATGTTTCTGATTCTTCTTGAATCCTCAGCTGAGTTTCCGTCATAATAGTTGTGAATCTTTTCCGTCTCGCCGAGAAAGTAACTGGAGAGCGAGTGGAAAAACGCGCCGCTGAAGAATCGTTGAAGAATCTGATGGATCATGGAGGCGCTGCGTCTTCGCCTGGCGAACAGGACGATGAGACAGCATTACTCGAAGCAGATGAAAACGCTGATGCAGAGTCCTCGCCTGGACGCGGGGGGGACGGCGCTCGCTCCCCTTCCATCCCAGCGGCTCTGCCAGTTTTTACCACGATGCATCGGTAAGTGACCGGCCAATTCCAGCGCTGAAGAGCTTGATATGAACTGTTTCGCTAACCGTTGACGAAAGAGTGAGGGGCCTCGTCATTGCTAGCATAGGTGATGTGTGCCATGGAAGCGTGAAGCATCGTCGGCTGCATGGTTGCGCTAATCGAAGAGTCCGAAACTAGATGATCCCTACACTTTGGATCAATTAACCAGCCCCAGGATAAATACACTAATTGTGCGACCGTTGGCTGATCGATTGTACGATCTCGACGACATCTCCCTCGGTATGTGCGAGCCTTTGCAAGCGAATACCCAGTCGTGGACTCGTGGCAGATTTCATTCGATGACACTTTGCCAGTTTTATCGTCAAGACTGACAAATAGTCTCCAACAGTCTACTGCCTGCTCGCCAACCGAGTTCAGTTCCTCTCAGAACAATCCAGCCCGATCCATCGAAGTGTCAACGTCTCCCGAGCCACGTTGTGCGAATTAGTGGGCGCCCGAATCTTGCGGCGATGCCATGAAGACAGTCCTGGAGGTCTGCTCCACCTCGCCAAGATGCTCGTTCAGGGATTCGACCCGTTTCAAGGCGCACCCGCAGACGTCGAGCGAAACGGCCGCCAGCTTCAGTGGCCGATTCAAGAGCGCGGCGGGCACGAGAGGAAGTTCACGGCTCTGGAACTAGCCATTCTCTCCGACAGCAAGACGTTTATTAGCTCGTCTGCCTGTCAGAGAGTGGTCGACGCTGTGTATCGCGGGCAGGTAGTGTATACTGCCTTGTCCTTCGTCGACATTATACCGGATCATTACAAGCACCACCCCGTCTCTATCTACGATCCCCGGAAGGCGCCTCTTCTGAACCACTATCGACTCGTCGTCCCCCGCTATCGAAACCTAATCGAACTCGTTCAATTCTTGATTCTTGTGGGCCTCTACATTTTTACAATGCTCCATCGCCATAGCGATAATCTAGCCCTCTTCGAGTTCATATTCGTCATTTACGCTACCGGATGGGTCTTACACGAGGTCGCTGCTATCATCGAACACGGCTGGGCAGTGCACGCACAAAATCTGTCATCGTTCCTGGATTCGAGCTTCATTGCAATCTTCGTTGCATACGCCGCCGCTCGGGTCGCCGACCTCTCAGTCAGCCGCGTTCATGACGGACACGCATTAAGCATCCTGTGCATCGCGGCGCCAATCTTGCTGACCAGACTCGCGTTCCACATCATGCCCGACAACATCGTCTTCATCTCGCTCCACATTCTGATGAAAAACTTCCTACTACTGACCATCCTCGCTGTTTGGTGCTTCATAGGCTTCTTTTTGGCCCTGCAGTGGTTGTACCCGAGCGACGCCAGCACTAGTGGCACGGCGCCAGGGTGGCCCACGATCTGCAAATGGCTTCTTTGGATCTGGTTTAGCCTCGACGGGACTGGGATTGAGGAGTCGGTCCAGTTCCACGTCGTCCTAGGCCCAGCACTCATGGTTGCCTTCGCCTTTCTGGGTAACACGCTCTTCTTGACCGTCCTGGTAGCGATGCTCACCTACACCTTCTCCAAGATCGTGGCCGACGAGACAGCTGAGATCAATTTCCGCCGCGCCGTCCTCACCTTTGAGGGAGTCAAGAGCGATGCCGTCTTCTCCTACCCCCCGCCCTTTAACCTCCTCGCCCTCGCCCTCCTCCTGCCGTTAAAGTTCGTAGTCTCGCCGCGAATTTTTCACTCCGTCCACGTAGCGGCTGTTCGTGTCGTCAATGCGCCAACCCTCCTGCTCATCAGCCTTTTTGAGCGGCGCAGCGTCTGGGCCAAATTGACTTCGGCAGTGAAAAAGTCTGTTTTTAACTGGCAGTTCACGGGATTCTCGCCGCACGGCGATATCCAGGCCGTGTTTAGGGCGGCGGCACCCCCTGAGATACAGGAAGAGATTGATGAGCTTGATGGAATGAGCGACGCGGGCTTTCTGGACAACGATGCGATGTCTAGGTCATCGACGGAGATGAGGAGGCAGGCGCCAGTGTTTAGATTGGGAAAAGCAGGACTGCGGGGGAGGAACAGGAGTCCGGGAGAGGATTAGCAGCCTGGACTGGCTTCTCTCATATGCGAAAGCCATTCTTGGTATCACAACCAATTCGGGTCTGCGGCCAAATCGCGACTATTCATCATATAATATTTGCTATTATGGCAACAACAATTCCCTTGGCCTCCGATGCTTCAAGGAGAAGTCGAAATAGCCCCTACTAGTTATCGAGATTGATATTTCGTCGCTTTATTTTTAATAGTCATTCATGCAAGAAGCTGCTGCATGCTCGGTTGAGCCTTTCCCATAATCTCAAGAACAAGACGCCAAAGTACTTCTCCCATATCCAGAACTCCATGAATCCGCCGAACCAAGAAAAGAAAGAGACGTTAAAGCGATATATTTAGATACAAAAAATAATACCCAGAGAAAAAAAAATTCAACGTCAGACAATCTCAATAACTTGCCAGATACCTTCGCCCACTTTCCTCGCAAGGTGCAAAAAGTCTTCATTCTCGGAATGCTGAAAGTAACCGAAGCGCTCGTACTGAGCATAGCCACCATCGCCCTCGATCTTCCGGAGAATTAACCCTTGAGTCATTGACTTGGCGTGCTGATCATTGCCAGGGAACTTGACAGATACGATAGGCATTATGTGCATATTCGCTGTAACGTCAAGATCTCCAGGCTCCATGGCAGTGTCAGGTGTGCAATCGATCTCGCCCCAACCTCCCGTCAGCGCTCCTGAGCCAAGATCGAAAAACGGAAACCGGACATCTGGGTCCTGATAATGCTGTCCTTTGCTGTACTTCCATCTATATGCATTTCTCATATTGTCGCTGAGAAATGCTGCTGGCCAGAGCTGACCCTTGATTTGCAGCGGTGATAGGTTAAGTGCACCGTATTCGTCGTGAATGGGATTTAAAGCGATGTTCTGGATATCGATATGGATCTCAAACCCTAGGCCCTTTAGTTTGCCATCCGGCACCATGAAAACGTGCGTATTCCCTTGCACTGATGCCCATGACCAGGTGGGAGCAGCGCCCTTGAGCCTTTTCGCGACTCCCTTACCCTCGCGGCTTCTCTCCCTGTGATTGATCCTCCAGAGCAGCCCCATGAGCATTGCCGACCTCCACAATCCGGCAACGTATTGGTCTTGTATTGAGGGTTGCATCTGCTTGGCAAGTCCGGACAGAGCAATGAGCTTGTCCTTCGGAAGGGTTAGGTCGAGCTTGTTGTACTCGGCAACTATGTCAGACCAGCCAAAGAGAGCCCATTCTCGAGGCGGGCTATCCGATGTCGGGGTGAGAGAGATGCCCCGTCTGCGTTTCCTGGATTCCTCGAGTTGAGTTGCTAGAACCTCCTGGATTACATCCGGATGCACGGCCTTGCGAGCCCTCAACTCGTGCATGGCTTGCGGGCCCTTGGGGTAGGCCTCGCAGGCGTGGTGCTCGTGGCATTCCCAGTACACCTGGTCTGCGCCGAAATGGATCATGCGTGGCGAAATGAGACGCTCTTGGAGAACCCACGCCCGCTGGTTGAGTGGCTGTTGGTACAGTCGCCCAGTCCAAAAAGTTTCATCGACAACGTGCCATGTTGTTTCTTGACTAGCTGGCGGTTCTGTGTCCTCCGTTTTATTTTTGCGTCTAAATAGCCGATCTCGTAAACGAGGTTTCTTGGAGGCCTTATTCTCGAGGACCATGTTGAATAGGCACGGGTGAAGGAGATCAACATTGTGGTTCACGAAGCACTGGCCGTCCCCATCCGAAGCACCAGTAGCCCCAATATTGAACGCCGCATTCCGGTATATATCAAACATTTTGCTGGCCTCCTCATTCCAGTCCTGCTTGTCGTCTTGGCAGATGCATAGACTGTCAATCCACAGATACGACACGCCGAGTCTAAGCGTAATCTCAATGGCTTCTCTGTAGACGCGCTGAAGCTGGGAAAGCTTGATTGAGCGCTCAAATTCTGTGTAATTTTCCCAGAGTAACCTTAGATGAGGGGTTTTGCCCCAGCAGTGACTCAATGTAGCGTATTCGCCTTCTATCGGCTTCTCGTATGTCTCGACCATGGCTATCTCGCCACGAGACCTAGAATGAGTAAGATCAAGGAGTCGACTGGGACAAAATCTAGGCGTCGCTCGCGTCTTATTGCAGACGGGATGATTGCTCAGGCAATCATTCAACCAGCTTCTAATGAGTGTGAACGTGGCCTCTTCTCCAGTGTTTCCGGACAGCATCACACCAGGCAACAAATGTTTGACATCTGCGGCAAAAAAATTAGATATCATATACTTGCATGTTCCGTTGTAGGGGAGACACATACCGGGATATGGGTTGGCCACGAAAGTCAATAGAATTTGGTTTCTGATTTCATTGGTCATGATAGCTTCCTTGAAGGTCTCGTCCAAGTAGAACGTGATGAAGAACGACTTTTCTGATATCGGATACCATGGGCCTGGAGTAAAGGACCGTTCTCCTCTGCTCAGATAGAATCGCGTAAAGTGTCGCGACGTAACCTTTTCGCCGCTTCTATGGGTGATACCCTTATTGACATGCTTCGGAAATGAGAGTCGCAGCTTGAACTTGTGCTCCCATTGATAGGCGAGAGTAAGGCAGATGTGGCATTTGCCGACGACTGCCTGTTCAAAGTCGTCTGAAGTAGGGTGGTGGACGAGGTCTTGCGGGTGGCTATCATTCCAGCACATGCGACCTTCGATATCGGTCGTGAGAGCTGCGTAACACGCGCTGCAGAGCATTTTCTTTTCGTCTATTTCGGTGATCGCCTGCTTGTTCGATCGCGGTGATGCTGTGATTTGATTCTTAGTGCTTCTTCTTAACATCTTCCCCACCGCGGATGAATTAAAGCCGAGTGCTGACATCGCTGACGAGACGTTGGATTCTCTGCCGTCTTTCACGTTGATTGGCTCTTCCGTGGGACCTGCAGATTGAGCTGCGGCGACGGTGGAAAAGTGAGGCGGACACGACTCAGCCACACCAAGAGAGCTTGCGATGTGATTGTCGGAAACTGACCTGAGCAGATGAGCAGTTGGAGCTTCCTGTTGACTCGCCTTGGGGCCAACCAACTCGACTTTGGAATCAGCCCGACACAGACTAAAACAGATCTCTCTCTCTCTCCATTCTCCTTTTTTCTTTCTCCTCCGGCTCTACGCTTTACAGACACGCAAACTGGGTAACTATCGTCTGGGAAGCATCAAAGACAGGGGCCTCCTCGCTCACTATTGAAGCGGAAGTTGCTGGAGTAAGTGGAAATTGTGGTTAACCAGATTGGGGAGGGTTCCGGCTGGAACCTGGGTGGCTATGCGTGCGACAACGCGCTAGAAGCTGGAGAAGAATCAATTTGATCTTGATTGCGAACCCGATTCAGTCCATGCGTCCAATTTCGGTAAGAGCGGCTGCGGCTGAGTCCATCTCTTTCCAATAGTGGCAGAGCTGCATGACACCCGGCAGTTAGTGTTGTGGGATGCTGGAACATCTCCTCCGATTTGGGGGCAGAATTCGGGCCAGGCTGCATCTATTGATTTGCACGGACGTTAACGACGCGTTCTGAGTTGTTGGAATTCTGCATCGTGACCATCTGCGCCCCTCTCTGCATGTAACATCCTGCACGCCTCGACCACGAAGCCAAGACGGGTACCTCGCCAAGACAAGTTTAAAAATCCACAAGGATGCCGTTCTCAACATCAGATGCATCACTTACTATCTTCCCTCCTTTCTTGACCTTGACATTTCGTGGGGAGGAAGGAAGTGAAGCGCTCTTCCCACATAACCATCATTATGCCACTGCTCCCAAATCTCCCCTCCCTCCTGTCCCTCCCAATCCCTCTCATCGCCCTCCTCCTGAATCCCCTCCTCCCCACTGTGTCCGCTGCCGAAGGAGCTGCAGAAGCCGTCGACACGGCAGGATTCTGGGTCGGCTTCACCCTCGTCTTCGTCATCTCCGCCGTTGAGTCTGCCGCCTCCGTCATCTGGACCCGTTTCCGCGTCACCTCTGACGGCATCCACCCTATCGAACTTTCCTGTCGCGTCTGCGGCCGAGAAATATTCCTCTCCGTCATCGACGAGGATGCAGCCACAGAAATCGCCAACAACGGTATGCCCGCAGGCTGCTACTCGGGCTCGGACTCGTCGGTGACGGCCTCCAATATGCATTCGACCATGACTCGCTCGAGGTCCGACGGCTGTAGCTGCTGCGGCGGGTTTGAGAGCAGGCACACCGAGACTCACGGGCGTATGGTCGAGGCGGTGATCGATAAGTTCTTCAGCTTCATGATGGCGCCGACCCTGCTGATCCGCCGCTTCAACCCCGCAACGGGCCTAAGTGCACCCGCGGGTCTCGTGAGCAACGTAAAGGGCCTCTTGAAGCCGGATATCAAAAGAACCGTTGGGCGGATGCTAGAACACGGTGTGCATCTCTTCGTCGGACTGGTAGACATCTCCCTCGGCGTCGCGGGGCTCGCGCTAAAGCCCCAATCCCCGCAAAACCTCTACGACACCCTGAAGGACCCGAGTGCGCCCATGACATTCGAAAACTACTTGACGCTGTTCTTGCTGTACTGGCTGCTGGGTGCGGTGCTGCTCCTGTGCATGATACCGCTGCACAGCTCCAGGAGGAGCACGCAGGTGTTTGGATGGCCCGGGGCAATCTTGTTCCTCGTCGCGGCGTTGGCAAGTCTCGTTTTGTTTGGTTTGGGATGCTGGAAGATCGATTACGCAAGGCGGCACAGGGCGGCGTGGACGCCTATGCTGAGCTACTGGATCGGCGGCGCGAGCGGGATTAGTTTTCCAATACTTGGGATCGAGGTATTTCATGTGTTCGGGGTCGTAGGGCTGATGTTAATGGTGAAACATACATTCAGTTGAGTTCCGAACCTCACACCGTGGTATTTCTGGAATGATGTTCCTAAGAAAGGGCCAGCTGTAACGTTATTTAAACAGTTTAGAATAGATTATTTAAACGCCCGAAGATGAAACCCGTCCGCATTCGTCCAGGTATCCAGGTTCGTGTAGTGTCATGATCAAGGGAGAACCCCCCAGTTGCCGGGCCCATTGTTGGCCGCATCATACTGCTGCTCCTCGCCTTCAAAGACTTATGGACGATGGCCGTGTGCTTTGGACTCCAGAATGTGACTAGCAATTGAGACAGTCGACTCGACTATATCATCACCAAAGCACAGAAGGGGCGAGACGACTTCCCCCAAAAGTGCGATTATGGTATAATTCCATGTCTGAGACACCCCGTATATGCATTCTCTCGGCACGCCTCCTCGCGAGAATCTGCTCGTCCAGCAAAAGAGGGATTGGTTGCCGACATGATTTGCTGGCCTTTTAGCGCCAAGGAGATGGGCAGCCCGGACTGGTGATTGGCAAGCCTTTTCTCCGCCCCGGACAATTGAGAGGTGCCTGAACTCATCTCAGCTTCGGCTCTTTCTTCACAATAGGAGGATGATTCACTCGGCTCCTTGGTCCTTAGTATCTTTCCGTTTATTGCAGTCCCTACCACGTTCTATCCTAATTTTTATACTCCTGCTATCGACCTATCTCGTACCTGAGCAACGGCGCCTACATATATGGGTCATCTTGAGTAGATACTTACCATTAAGTTACCGTCTTTTCGTCTTTCTTCCCCCCCCTGTTCCTGCCCACGTCCTTACGCGTCGTCCGATCATCCCATTCACGACAGAATTGGTAGTCGCATGATCTATCTGCACTACTCGGTATCTCGTATCGCGAGATTCGGGGGTCAAACCTAACGCCTAGCGTAAAGAAAACCCGAACATAAGCCCGGGGAATGCCACCGAAAAGCTATGATTTCGAGACCAGGTTCGGCTTCGGGAACCCAGATCCCTCCGCCTGCGGGAAAAGCTTGTGTTACACCGCAACGGCAAGCGTCATATCGGGACGATCGGTTATTATAACCCCTCCTCGCCTCGTTTCTACTATATATTATATGTGTATACACCAGGTTGCGTGCCGCCCTCAGCCACAGTGTCGGGTCGCCAAGACGGCAAAATCACTCTCAACTGTAGATTCGCATGATGTAACCGTGCCGTTTCCTCCTGCCGATACCTCCACACCTTCGTGCTATATACTCTGAAATTATCCGTGAAAAAAACGGATCATTAATAAATAGAGTCAAGCGCCGGGCTCTCAATGGTTTTAAACTCACCAACATCCCCAACAGGAAGCAGCCAAATTCGCCCCAACTTAATCTCATCTCTTCGATAATAATGAAGCCATCACTCTTCGAGGCCGTCATTGCATGACTCCTGGTCGTCGGGTTTGTCTCTTGCCTTCCGGTTGATGATGGTGTCCGCCTCGCCCGGCTCCGCGTTTGGTTGTCGGAGGAAGACATCTTCAAACTTCAGACGAACATACTGTAGCTAGGAACAACTCTGTACGAGCTTGGGTCGAACCTCTGAGGATCAGTGCCGGAGATCCCTGGTGAGCGAGTAATCTTGATGGTGTCGATGGTGTCGACACATGTCAGAATAATCAGCCCCTGGAATTCCAGGCTAAAAACCACACTGCGAAAGAAGAAATCCCCCCCCCCCCCCCCCCAAAAAAAAAATTTTTTCACTGAATCACTACACACACATTTCCTTCCATGAAACAGCTGTTGGATTAGTCCAACAACACAACCCAGCGTCAAAACAGGTTCAAGAGTAGCTTGGGCTCGCGTAGTCATCGCGCCTGATCGGGTCGGCCTCCTCTCCTCGGCCTTCCATTTCTCTATTGTAATTTCGTTCGATGAACGATCGGCTTTTGAAAGCAAGACGATCTTGACGTCCAAGTTAGATGCGTGAAATTACTATTTCGCTTTTGCTCTTAGGAATGGCTAAGACCGTGTCTGACCGGCTTCGATGACCAGAGTTGGAAAATTATCTCCATACGGGCGCTTGGAGAGCGGCTTTTGAGCCGAGTCACCTTCTCCTGCCAATTGGCGGTTTCTAGTAGTATCCTGCTGGGTGTATTGAGTGGCCTGGATGGCGTAAAGCTTATATTCTAAACGCATCCCAGCGGCCATCAAGAGAATCTGTGTGTTAAGATAGCCATGAAGTTGCTTATGAGGTGCTGTAGGAATAGTTATGATCAGGACCTCTCGAATCTCTTGAGTAGAGAGAAAGGTGGAAGTTCCTTCCGCTTGTCCTCTCCTTGAATCGATCTGCTCGAAATCGAAAGGGGAGACCTCTTTTACTACGAGGACATCGCCAGTGGTAGAATCGATCTGCTTAATCAGATCGGCAAACCCACGGTATGCAACCTCTACCAAATACCAAAGTTAACTTGACTAGATTTCCTGATATAAATGATAAAGCTCTACGGGAGGTGACGGAGATGACATTGTGATTGCAGTCATCTCTGTGGTCGATCTGATATCTCGAACTTCAATGAATGGGAGGTGAAGGCACTGGATAAAGTTTAATGCAGTCGATTGCCTCGACTCTTTTGATCCGTGGGAAACTGAAAAATCGATGATAGAACCAGAAGACGTTCGTCTAAATCTGATGGGCCAATCCGTGGGACCATGATAAAAGCTTTTGTCTCTGAAATATCTCTTGATATTACCATTGCGTCATGGTCTCCCACATGGCTCCCAACGGCATCTAGAGCTTCGTGGGTTGCTGGTCTAGGTATTAATACCCCAATCTCATTCTCTACGCTAATTTATCGCGTTTCTAAGTTCTAGGACCGGAAAATCTCCAAGCAGGATCATGCGTGATGCGATGTCCGCCTTGTTGTCGTGGAGATGTTAGTCTCTCGTCGGTGTTAGCTCCCGGTTCGGGATGGGCCTCAAATCTCGCTCTCGGACACAGCTCAAGCTCGATCCGTTCCGTAAAGGTCGCGACGAACGCGCCAGCACGCGCCGTCATCAGCCCTGCTTACAGGGATCATTGAGTAATTACTGTGTAGGTGCGAAATTAGCGACCAGCGCGAGAAATACGAAACCAAAGGTTGGCGCTAGCCCACCTGAATCCTCAGCTGGACAAATTGGTTCAATATTGCGAGAGGAGCTGTATTAATCGGTCATAGGAAAAGAATCAAGGTTACGTCCCAATGCTTCTGTTTTTCCAATCCGGCACAGAACGAAGCCTGTGTCGGGATCTTTGATATCAGTTGGCCGCGCGGAGGAAAAGATGTCACTCTCCGACCACAGGACTGCGAATCAGACTGCCAACATTGAAGCTTCAGGTTTTATCCCGGCGTCCTCTACTCAAGCGGGTATTCAAGGGTCATCCTCCTAAACTCGTAAGTGTCTCCTTTGGGTTATGGCTTTTCGGCTCTTGCTTACGCCGCTATTCCAAGCTAGGCGTGTTCTGAGGTATACTCTCAGCTTATAAAGAACCTTTAATGATTACCCATACTCGACAAACTGTTTCCTCGTCAATTTCTTAGCTCCTGGGGCTTTGTTAGTGCGAGAAAGGGATCGTAGTAACCTACTCTTAGATGAGAGACGGATACTAGAGAAGCGAACGCAGGATTATAAAATATCCCGAATACGTTATTCCTGGTTCTGAGATGCGAATAGAAAACGTAGATGTTTGCGTGGGGTCAAAGGATGTGAGTGAGAATGTTTCGGGAAGCTCGCTCCGGTTATCAAGAAATATCTGGACCCCAGGATATCGGCGAGTCGTCCAAGTCGATAAACGGTACGAATGCCTACTTTGCGTAAGCTTGACTATGGACACACCAAAAAGGCGACGTTGACACTTACCGAAGAGTCTAGATCCAACCAGTCCGTAGTCTGCCAGCCTCCAAGCAAGCTATTTATCGCAGATACTTCTCCATAGCTGACCAGACCGGCGTAATCATCATTCTGGTGCAACTGTCCCCCATCTGGCAACTGATGATGCGACGGCAGGACTGAAGCGACTCGTCCCGTCCCGATCTCTACTGATTCTGTCTGATCATGTTGGTCCTGGGCCAGGAATTGCGGATGTTGAACGGATTGCGGCCTCTGGCTTCTCGCTTCCGACCGGAGTTCCTCCAAAATAATGCTATAACGACGGTTTGGGGAGTCCGGTGATGCCCCACGAGTAAGATGTGACAGGCACCTATCCGTTAAGTCGATGAGCTCTGCCCACTCCTTGTCTCTAGAAGGAGTTTTACTAGTTCTTTGCTGTATCTCTGCGACGTATACAACGGCCGCCGCGCAAAAGGTCACATAGTGAGTCCACCAGAAGGCATGGAACAGACTTCCATCTTCAGCCATGCTATCGACCGTCTGAAGGAGAACCTCTGCAGCCGAAATACATTGCCTAACGCTGTCCCTGGCCTCAGCATCTGAGAGGTGACTCATATGCGCCAGTAGGAATGGCCGATTCGCATGTATTATGGCGTGTGAGTAGGCCAGGCGCAAGGCAGTTGCTTGGCGCCGGAAACTGGGAATTAGGGTCGAGGGGCGGACGGTTCCTAGGTATGGAGGAAGACGTTGACGCCACTCATGGATTTGCCGCCCTGCGCGATGAGCAGCTGCCATCCGCTCTTGTTTAGGTACCGGCTTGATTGTGTAGACATCCCTCGAAATGGTACCTATTATCTGTGCGAGCCTGGAGAATCATGTATTAGTGGCAAAACGTATGCGTATGCGGGCGGAAAGGATCACAAACTTGCCTGGCATGGAATACAAGCGCATCGACATAGCAATCCTCACTTGGCTCTTCACCGGACGGTCCATGGGCCGTCATATCTTCGTCGTTAACACAGTCGGGAAAGTCTTGGTCAATATCTTCGTCTCGATAAATGCTCGGCCGACCAAAGGCAACGCTAAGATACTTATCAATAGTATACGCAACCCAAAAAGTGCGCCTCTGGCACTGTGTGTTTATATAGTCTTGATTAGTAGGTTTTGTTGCATTCTTCTTCAAGCTACCTCGCCGATGCAGTCCCAGAGCAGATATTATCTGAGACGTTGTGCCAAAGACATACCACCCTTCGTTCATGCGTGAAGTTTGGAGGAGGTAAAGCACTTGCACAAGCCTTGCCTGAGCAGATTCTAACCGGGGAAGCCCGGTCTCTGCGTCTGTCAAGTTCACAGCAGCACGGAAAAGAGGGTCACTGCGTGCGAGAGCAGTGTCTTCATCAAAGCCGGGCTTGGTAGGATTCCGGAGTTTCTCGCGACGGAAGGTGACGACGGCCAAGATCCCAAGAACCGTCGCAGCTTTTGCATGGCCTAGCCGACAGTGCAAAGGTAGATTATTTTCCGAGTTGGCCACCAGTTTCTCGAGCCAGCCAACAATTATCTGGCGATGAAACATGCGATACGTAACGACACACTCGTCGAAATAGAATCTGATCAGCGCCAAGGCTGTAGCACGGTCGGGAACCTTGAGGAGATCCGCTCCTACATCGAACCGTCTGTCGCCCACAGTCATTAACCGTTGTTGTTTCTCAGTGCCACTCGAGGCAGAGGGGACCGTATTGCTCCTTTGCGTAGAGAGTTTTTTGTACGCACGGTGAAGGAAGGTTAACCCCGACGTTGTGTCAAAGTATTGTCCCTCGATCTCCGCTACATCCAAGTCTGGTGAAGTTCGGGACGGAGCATTGCTACTTTCGGCCGCTAAGACGTTCGTTGGTCTCCTAGGATGGCTTTGGAATGAGCTGTTGTTGTAGCTGTTGTTGTAGCTGTTGGGAAGAACGGAAGTCCTGGGTCTCGAGCCGGTTAGTTCCATGTCTGCGAGTGCCTTCCTTCGTTCCGACTTGTATCCCGAGGATATGGCCGACTTACCTCATGTCATCAACCCGCAACACTTCGGATCCGTTCTCGGGAAGAGCGACGGAGGCTGGAGGCGGCGGCGGCGTCGGCGGCCGTCCTCGGGAATATTTCGCGTCATATTCGCATGCTATTTCTCTCCTCATGCAGTTGTCGCAAGGCTTTGTTCCAGAACATCGCGTCTTCTTCGATCTGCAGTAGTCACATGCTCTGATAACTTTCCGTACCTTGGCACCAGACTCGCTCGGCGACGGCGCAAGAGTTCGCTTTCCCCCCGGAGATGATGCGATAGGCAAGGATTCGGATACCGAAGCCACGGTCCCGTCGGTATCCTGGTTTTGAGCTGAAGAATACATCTTCTAAAGAGATTGCGAGCATCAGAACGGGTTGAATCTGGATAAACGTACGAATATCCGAATTTCCCTGGAAAAGTTTCCGGGTTAAGATTCGGAGATTAGCTACATTTGGACTAGCGGGAATGATGAGTCGTAGAACCTCGGGTATCTGGAAACGTCGGTGGGTTTAAAGGCCAAGTCCGAGAGTATGAAGAGCTGATTGTTCGAATCTCGGCTTCAAAACTGGGGGCTAAAACTGGGATGTGTGAAAAGAGTGATTATTGAAGATCTAAAATATCCTCCGTTTCCGGCCCCTAATTACCTTCCTTAAATAGCCACCGATTTCCACTTAGTTTCTTCTGCCTGAAATATCAGGTTCCATTTTTACACATGGGCCAACACTGATCTTGTCTTATCAGGATATTGTTGTACCTGTCGCCTAGCTGGAACATGCGGCGTTAACCGTGGCAAAAGTCTGTTAAATGACTATTTCTCAATGCTATTGATGTACCTCTTGAGTGAGGGTGTTTGACCTCACTTCACCCAGAGTTTCCTAGATCTGCTTTCTTGACCTGTACGTATAGGTCTACTGTAGCTAATGAACCTTCATGACTTCGGATTATGGACCCACTGACGCGACAAAGGTATTCAGACGAGAGTTATCGGCTAAGTCAATTTAGGGGAAGCCATCGATCTTCTTACTCTCGTCAAATGTAAGTTCTGGAGACCAGGCCTACAGAGTGTATTTGTACAGAGGACTCTTATCACCCATACGCTCCAGCTGCTCGTCCGTATACTTTGCCCGGATCTCCTCCTCGGAGAACTTAGCGTCTCGCTTGTTAATCTTCCATAAACCAAATTCCAAAGCCAAAACGGCCACCATACCGGCGGCGCCAAACGCAAGTGAGTTTCCGAATCCCGTGGGATACCTAGGTGCCTCCCTCTCAATATAGATATAGCTACCAATGATGCCTCCAATGTTACCGGCGCATACGAGGTATCCGATGCTGATGGCTCTCTTCACTGGGCCAGCGGTGTTTGCCACATTCCAAGCATTTACGCCGGGAAATATGGGGTACATTCTAAGGAACAATTTGAAGCCAGGGTAATGGTGTCAGAACGTGTGCCACCTTCCAAAATCAGACGGGGGGGGATCTTACCCAGCACATGCCAAGCACACTCCAAAGTAACATAGAGCTACATTTGTCTTAATCTCCGCTGCTTTGGCGAACAAGATTGAGAAAGCCGTGACTACGCAAATCTGCGGGCCCACAATGAAGGGCATACGCCACGACGATCGATCGGCAAACCTAGCGAGTATGTAGGCGGAGATAGCGCCACAGGCATACGGTGGGATTGTAAGAAGCTGCGCCTTGGCCGAAGTGTAACCCATACTCCCGACGATTGTCGGCATGGTAAACTTCATGGCGTAGTTGGGAACTGCATTTGACCAGCTACCAAGGATGAGCAGGTACATCTTCCAATCCGTCGCCACGGCAAGCAAAGCTTTCCAGTCGAAGGTCTTTTCTCTGTATTCCTGCGGTGCCTGGACACGTTGTGCGGCTTGCCGGAGTTCAAGGTACCGTATCTCGTCCGCATCAAGCCAGCTGGATGCCAATACTGGCGAGTCCGCGAGGAGAACGAAGCACAAGAGCCCAGCAAGAACTGTTGCGATTCCCTCGATGATGAAGATCTACCGGTTCGCGATTAGTAGAGTCATGATAGAGATGGGAGAAGGGACAGTCTCTTCTTACCCATCTCCAGCCAGCGTAGCCTGCAAGTCCATCCATTTTCGCAATGGCAAAGGCTAGAAGGCCGGAGAATGCACCGCCAGTGGCGGCTGAGGTGTACAACAACGCAATACGCGTTTGCGTTTCGTTTGGGAGGTACCATTTTGATATGATAAGGATAGCGCCTGGGAAGAAGCCGGCCCTAGAAATCGAAGCACATTAGAATACATGTACGTGGCTAATCATTCATTACTGGACAAACTCTGAGGAGAGGAGTTTCTATAGACTTACTCAGTAAGCCCTAGGAAGAACCGGATAGCTGCGAGCCCGGAGAAATTTCGAACAAAACCTGTGCAGGTCATGACAATTCCCCACGCGATGACAAGTATAGCGATATACTGTGAAGGCCTCTTGAACTTGTTGAGGAGCATATTGCTTGGTACCTCTGCTCACCCATTTTTCGGTTAACACAGTGGCACTACGTCAATGTAGTTGCATAGGGCTTACCGGCAAGCACATAAGGGATAAAGAATATCGACAAAGCGATATTATATTGTTCCCCAGTCATATGAAGATCGGGTAGAAGACCTTCGATTTTTGCGTTGCCTAATTCGGGTGTAAATGGAGAGAGCGTGTCCATCGCCACATCGAAGTACACTCACCGATGTTTGTTTTATCGAGATATGCCATGAGGTATAGGAAGAGGAGCATCGGGACGAGTCTCCACTATCACCCGAAATGTCAGTTATTTTGTATTTCCTGAGAGCCTTAGTGTCCGCCTCGTACATCTACCTTGTGCATGAGCTTCTTTCGCATCTCCTCCGGGAAGTTTTCGAGGAAGTTTGCATCCTCAGGGGTCAGACCGGAGGCCATGCCCTCATGTTCCTTGTGCAATGCCCCAGTCTCCATCTTCTCCAAAGGAGCCTCAATATCAGATCGATCTATAGATGATCTTCTGGGAGCCATGTTCTGTTCTAGCCCTGCGCGTCTCGACAGAGTTGGGTAAGATAGAGGATAGTGATAAAGAGTAGAAAGAGTGAGAGAGTCTTGCCCATGGGCTGAAAACCAAGAGATGTGGACCCATTGTCGTCTTAAATCAATCTATAAGTTTCGACCCCGGAAACTACAACCCCACAAGCTAAAAGGAATCCGGGGTTGAAGTTGTGGAGCCCAAGTCTGGGGTACGGGGATGGGGAGAGGGGAAAGGGATCCAAGAGGACAATGAAACCGCACAAATTTGCGGGGGCCAGAGAATCCGAGACCGACTCAAAGAGGTTCCCGAAGTTATGGCGCCAGCAATGATGCGATTTTTTCCAAGTTTGATCATAGACCGTTCGGACACTGTCTTTTCTAAGCGGGTTCTGCAGGGAGGGAGCAAGAAGCTATGCGAATGATTGAACAGCTTGGAATTGCTGGATGAGGAGACCCTGGCCTAGCGCCGCTTTTGGCCGCTTCTCAATTATCCGGGGCTAGCATTCGGATTTGTGCCCTAGCATTCGGATTTGTGCCGAAACGGCTTTCGGATTACCCCTCGCGTTTGCTCATGTCCGAACGTTATTCGGATATGAACCGGCACGCGACCGGAGCTATTCCCCGTTCTTCCTGCTGAAGGAGTATAAGACTGCTATGTCCAACAGAAGACTACCCCCTATCCAACAAACCTACCAATTACAGACCTCAAAAAAGAACCTTGGAATCATTCTTATTAGACTTTGCCTACCTCCCACAATCTACTATCCTCCTCGACATTCACGACTGCACCGTCACTATGAGTGCGACCAACGGAACCAACGCGAGCCAAGCCATCAACTTAGACCTCCGTGGTCTTACTCCCGCCCCGGTAACCCCCTTTAACGAGGATGGTTCTATTGACTACAACGCAATTCAACGCCTAGGCTCCTGGCTAGGTGGCATCGATGGAGTCAAGGGTCTCGTGGTTCTTGGGCATGCAGGAGAGGGCACATTCCTGACCCAAGACGAACAGGTATCTGTCATCAAGGCCTTCGTCAAGTCCGTTGGCAATAAGATTCCCATCATTGCTGGCATTACAGGTGAGGGCACGGAGGTCGCTGCCCTCGAGGCCCAGCGAGCCAAGGCAGCTGGAGCGTCCGCGGGCCTCTTGTATCCTTCACACGGCTGGCTCCGCTTCGGCTACCAGCCAGGTGCGCCTCAGGATCGGTACAGAGTTGTCTATGAGTGCAGTGGCCTCCCCCTTATTCTTTTCCAGTACCCGGATAATACCAAGGCGACATACAACCTGCAGACTCTGCTGGATATTTCGGCGCAACCTGGTGTCTTTGCCATGAAGAACGGTGTGCGCAATATGCGCCGCTGGGATACCGAAATACCCGTCATTAAGAAGGAGAGGCCAGATCTGCAGATTTTGACTTGCCATGATGAGTATCTGTTGCATACCGTCTTTGATGTCGATGGTATGCTGGTTGGCTACGGAAACATTGCCCCTGAGCCGTTGATAGAGATGATCAAGGCCGGCAAGGAGAGAAATTACCCCGCTGCGCGTGCGCTGCACAATACCTTGTTGCCACTCACCAAAACTGTTTATCATCGTGGCTCGCACATGGAGGGGACCGTCGCGCTTAAGCATGCACTTGTCGCCCGCGGGATCCTCAACCATGCAACGGTGCGATCACCCCTCCTACCTCTGGAGGAGGGAGCGGAGACGGAGATCCATTCTGCCGTTAAGTTGGCTGGCCTGAGTCGGGTAATTTAAAATAACATACACTTGAAGCGGTATGGGCCATGTCGTCGGCCTCTGCATGGAGCTCGGATTTGGGGCCTAAGAGTTTCAAAATAGAATTTCGAGAGTACGGCGTGTACAGGCAGAACACTCCCCTCAATTGATTCTCATTTTCTACATCTACAGTTCTGAGGATATATACTCACGTCAAGTATACTTCCAATATATATAGAAGGTTCCGCCATCCTCTGTTCAATCCACCCTGTAGCGTTGTACCGTTCTTCTGCCGCCGGGTGTTCGTGGTCGTGAAATCTTTGGTCGCCAGGCGTTGGGTACGACCACGGAGCCGAGCTATATACGCCGACATTTTCACAGTTGCATATTGCTAGGTCGAATATCTTCGCATAGACTCCAGCATTCCAGATAGATTCGTTTACACTATTTACCTAGCAGTGCTTTATGCTGCAAATAATATTCCAGATCTCCCCCAGCTCGTATTCCAGGTCTGCCAATAATCACTCTTCTTCACTTTATTTAAAAATCATCCTCTGGGATGAATGCTGGTTTTGTCCCTTGCGTACCCTGGGATGCATACTCGCATCTAACTCATATAGCCTATAATCTCTTCAAGAGAAGTTACAAATGTTGATGTGTGTTTTTTCACGAAATCCAAATCTTCCTACTATAGGTCGAGCGCTTGGTGTCTGCTAGTAGGTTTGCTGGGCTTTACGAAGTACTACAATCGCTAATCAAAGGTATTTGAACACTGCCCCACTTCCGCGTCACATCTTCCCAACCTCTTCCCCAACCCATCCTTTTCAAATGGCTATTAGCTGCCATTGCGATGCCCGAAATACGCTAATTTGGGCTTGAAATAAGCGGAAATCGCGGGAGAAAAGAAGAACTGACTGCTGAAGAACGCGCTGAAATTCTCATTGCAGTATCCTCTGGTGAAAGTCAGCAGCCCTTGCTCAGCTTTAATGATATTAGAACTCAGCTTCGAATCTGAAAATGGATTTGAGTCTACGCACTTTTCGTCTTTGATTCTGCCGGCATTCGACCCGCCTGGGTTGCCCCGATTGCTCGAGGAGAGATAAAGATTATTTGCCCCCTCTCGGTCCCGCGACCCCTCTTATTTCCGTTCTCTTTCCTATCGTCTCCCACGATGAGCGACAAATAAAAGATAACAGGGAAATTCTATCTATTTGCTAGAGGGCTCGTGCGTGCTCTTATCAATAGATAAATAGACACATTAGTGCCAAGGACCCAAGATCCTACCGACAGTACCCCGAACCCCGAAATCTGGGTTGGGGGCTTGTCCAGTACAGGCTTCATATATAAAATCAGATATCAAGCTGTTAAGCACGTGGCATTGTGGCTGGACAGTTTCACACAGTTCTAATAGTTTGAAGACTTGTCTCGTCCTTTTCTCCCTCCCATTGTTCAGTTCCTTCGAATTGGTTCGTCATAGTAGCGAAACTCAGCATGGATATCAGTGGCAACCCCTTCGGCGACCCTTGCTTGTCTTATCTTGTTACCGCTCTTGTGTTCTTGGCAATCATTGTCCTCTATCACAAGTCAAAAAATTCTCGTCTCATCGCGAAGGACAAATCCCAGGCTGATACGATTAGTGGTCCGAGTTCGAAGACACAATCCCATCTAAAGCTGGATCGAAATCCTGGCACATGGACGCCCAGCCCCTTTAAGACGCCGGTGCCAACCCCATATCCGGACTGGTCAATGGAGACTACCAAGCCGCTGCCCTACCGCGCATTCCGATATGGCCCCAAGTACAACGTCAATATGGGTCTTCGGACAGCGGACTTGGAGCAATGGATAGAACTGGATAATCGTTTCCCCAGGTTTCACGCCGACAAGGCTCGCCGACTCGCTGAAAGGGGAGAAAAGTGTGTCCATACCCATCCCGATGCGTACCCCGCAGCAATAGAATTGCTCGAAGAATTAGCACAGCACTTGCCCGCCCGGTACCCGAGCTTGTTCAAGCGTACACCGGTCGGCATCGACAACGTATGGTCCGGGGAGTCCTTCAACATTATGCAACGCCCATTGAAGGAGGATCCCATGGCGATATGCGCACGCCTTGTACAGGACGACCTCGCGCTGATGGTAGAGCGGCCTGATGGGCAATACTACCTCCTGGCTGGGGCCATCCTTCTTGCCGGATTTTGGAGGCTCACTGATAAGCTTGGAATGCCACTCTCTGAGATTCATACCTCGGGAGACGTCCCTCATTTCAAGGAAAAGCTCGAGTCAGGCATGATGAAATTCTTTACCAGGCTCCGCTGCGAGACCATGTACTGCCGGAACAACTACTTCATACAAGTCGACGATTCCCTCCCGTGGAGTCACAGCATCGGCCAGGAGGACGACCAGGTTGTCAGCTGGAGCACGGCGGAAAAGGACAAGGCAATTTCCCACCACTGGTTTCGATCTGAGAGGCAATCGTTACGAAGGTTACCGAAGACTGGAGCCGTCTGCTTCACCATCAGGACCTATTTCGATCCCATTACAGAGGTTGCGCAAGAGGACTACGTGCCGGGGAGACTAGCTAGCGCTCTTCGTAGCTGGGATAGTACAGTAGCGAACTATAAAGGAAGGGAAAAGTATGAAAATGTGTTGTTGGAATACTTGGACAGAGAGCACCAGAAACAGCTTGATAAGGGACTAGATCTCTCCCGAGAAGATGAGGTCCGACGATATCCGTGGTGATACTAGGGGTAGAAGGAGACACAAGTGGATCGTCAACCACATGTACGAACCGTTACACCACGATAAGATAAATACGTCCTTATTGATTATGCCGCCACCAAAAAAATATCCCAACCGTAGAAAATTATGGCAAAGGAAGCAGCGAATGACCAAGGTTAGACATAAAGATGGTATAGGTGAAGTTTATTTAATGCGGTTGAAGTAGTGCAACAGATTTGCCTACTAATATAATAAAACAACTACGCTCATCGATTTCAGCCCCCGTTCTCATTGTGGATTGAATATATTCCTCGACATGAACGGACGCCCACAAGCCCCAGAGGCAGATTTGATAGGAACCCCCCTTCTCCGTTCGAGATCACTCCCTCTTCGTCTCTTCCTCAGGAGTTACAGCGCCCGGCTTGTGTCCTCCTGCGAGGCGGCCAGAAGGAGTACCCTGAGTAGGACTTACGAAACCGTCTGCCTCCCAATCAGAAAAGTACTTGCGATCCAAGCCTTGAATCTCGTCCTCTTCGCGAACTCGCAGATGAAGATATGGAAGTTTGTCGATGATGAAAAGCAAGAGACAGCTGATGACGAAACTCCACGAGGCACAAGTCACCGCCGCAGCGAGCTGATAGCCCATCTGCTTAAAGTTTTGCGCGTACCAACCCCCCTCATTGTTCGCCGTAACACCGTCCAAGGCCGGAACGAATGGCGCCGCAAAAAAGCCGGTAAGTATGTCACCAAAGACTCCACCCATTCCGTGGATGGCGAAGATGTCGAGACCTTCGTCGATGGAAATCAAGTACTTGTACTTGTTGACGTAGAAGCATCCAGTAGCAGTGATCCAACCGATCAGAGTCGCGGTGTACACCGGCACTAGTATCGGTCATCGTTAGTATCATGGTGTCGAATGGGTGTTACGAGGGGCATGGATCCCTACCAAAACCCGCTGCAGGAGTGATCCCCACGAGCCCGCTGATGATACCAGAGCAAAACCCGACAATGCTGCATTTCTTAGTGTAGGCGTATTCCAGGATGACCCAGGCTATACCGCCACCACTTGCAGATAGGTTCGTATTCATCACTGCATAGATGCTGCGGATGCTGAGGTTAGCGGTACTAGCTCCTATAGGACCAATTAGCACGTGTTGTTGAGACATTCCAAACTCGGGTTCTTGAATTTCTGACCATTAAAGGCAAGCCACCCAAACCAAATGAAAATGGTGCCGATCCCGACCAGGAAAGGGTTATGAGGCTTGAAGTGCGGCAGTTTAGGGTGGTGGCTCTCCTGGAATGGATCCTTGCGCCTGCCGAGCATTAAAGACCAGGCAAGGGCTCCGAAGCCGCTGGCAATATGGACAGGGCCAGAACCCGCAAAATCTAGGACACCCAGCTTCGCGAGCCACCCTGAAGGGTTCCACTCCCAATAGGCTAGACTTAAGATGCGAGTCAGTTCAAGCTTGGCATGCTTAGGTCTTCTGGGCCGGGTGAGCTTACAAGTAGTACACAAATGTTGTCCAGCAGAGAATGAAGAGTGTACTAGGCAGAAGCCGCCCACGTTCCAACATGGCACCAGCCAAGATCATGGCTGTTGCAGTCACGAAAGTGACACCAAATGCCGCGTAGAGGATATCTGGGATATCAGGGTTTGCCAGACTTGGGTAGGCTAAGACATTGTACAATACACCCTTGGACAGGTCGCCCAGGATTGGATTGGTCGTGTGTGCTTCGTAGAGGGAGTACCCGTACAGCCAGAACTGGATTGCCACGGCACACGCACAGAAGAGAGACTGGAAGACCATCGTCAAGGCCGATTTACGACGGTGCATACCGGCGTACAGGAAGCCGATGGCGGGCGTGATCTGCCAACATAACATGGTGGCGATGACCAAGAAGCAGAGGTCACCCTAATGCATAAAATCCCGGCCAGTTAGATACGCGGGAACGTCGACGTAAGTTGAGCCACTCCCTACCTTATTATATGGTGCGTTGACATCCTGCTCAAGCGGATTCGCTCCGAGAGGTTGCACATTGTAGTCCGGCCATTCCTCTACGGGAGGTAATGATTCAGCCATCTTTTGCTTCTAAAAACAAGAAACCGGTGGGTACGTCGTTATAACTCCAAGACCCGATTCTTCAGCCTCGAAGCTTGGATGGAAGTCGCGAGGCATGCCCAAGGAATTTATATGCTACAGGCCGCATATTTATGCATAGCAGTGAGACCAAGATGGCGCGCGAGCTATTCTATCAAGCTTATCTACCCACAAGCATTTCAAAGTTGCGGACCCACAATGACTGAGACCAGGATTGTCTTGGCAAGAACGTATTTCGATAAGGGTTCTTGATAAGCTGCACCGACGGAGAAAGGGACTGACTACGAAGTACATGGGATCCCGAAACATGTCTAAGGTGACATTCATTTAATGTATCCGAGCACGTCAAGCTTGCGTGGGGGCTGTTGGCACCGGGGTTTGCTGATACAAAGTGGTATAACCACTGCCCTGAATCCGGGATCCATGATCTCGGCGATAAGAAATGCAGATTCGGGTGTTGATAAAGATTCCCGTCTCGCTAACTGGCTGAGCCCTGCTCTTACTCACCCCCCAAATCCCAAAGAAGTATGATGCCCGGGCCTATCGAGGTAAAGCTGGAGAATGAGCAGTGATACCCGAGACATGTCTTGCACCGGTGAAGGGATCTAATCTTGCCACACTTTCGCGGAAGTGGTAGGAGCAAGTTTTCCCCCGCTCGTCCCGTATTTCAACAAATACTTTCGTTCGAAAAGTTGGACACGACATTTTCTACGACCCGTTATTCTCAAGGTCGAAATTAAGCAACATAGTAGTCGAGAGGAGAATGGGAACTTCCCTCAAATGTCTCCCATAGCAAACCATAGTCCAGGAGCTCCAAAGCTTCCCACGCAGCGAAGCGCGATTCATAATTGGTAAACTTGTGCAGTCAATACGCCGCTCGGCGGTGGCCTGGATTACCGAGCTGCCGGGACAATTGTATCGATGGTACATATCTAAGCTTATATCAATCATTGATAGCAAAAGCAAGTCATTGTGCTCTTCTGGTAGCATTTCGGGTAGTCGCTCATCCAGTAATACAGCACCAACAAAATTGACCCCCACCGCGTCATGTTGTAGAAATTCTTTCCTCATCCTCAGATACTCGAAAAAAAAAAAAAAATGTTGCTGTCGTTACGGACCTAATTGACGAGGTCGGCGATTGAAGTTGGATATCTGTACCAGCGACCGATAACGGTCACCTCTTCCTAATATTCTACGGAGGCTTGGATTAACTTGTGGGCCTCAGTAGCATCCAAGCAGAGGTAAAACTGGAAAGCCTGGACAGCTCCTTGAGGGGGGACTTCGTGCTAAATGCAATGCAGGATATGGGCTAGGATTCTTATGTCCGCTAACCAAGTTCAGGCATCTTTAGAATCGCGCAAACGCTCTATATGATATCTACCTGACACCAATGAAGCACTGTCAACAGTCATTCAGACTACTTTCAGTATACGTAAGCTTTTGAGTAGGTCCGGAATCCTTCCACGCAGCTACTACTGGGCTTTTCTAGGAACCGCGAGATGTACTCGGTGGCATTCCGATCTTGTTTCGACGCTGAACTCAGCCTTGCGGAGTTCCCAGTAATCTGGATACCCGCCGGACTGCTCCCAGTCATTTAAGGCTACAATGCGAGACGGAGATTTTCCACTGAAACAATAATATGGCTTGGGTGAAGATCAGGGTAGTGGCACCCCCGAAGCGTTGGTGGATGTAAGCCGCGATGGTTCTGGTAGCAGCGCGCAAATTGCGGTCACACCTTGCCTGGGGAAATCATCGAACGGAGTTGATGCGAGGGAGGGAGAGGCGTGGAGGCCGATATGAGGAGTATTGGGCTCCGCCGCTTTCTCTATGACAGAAGGACAGCAGGGCTTTTAAAGATGCTTAACCTACTATAAAAAACGAGTCTACCTGGCCGACTGGAGCGTAGACTTCAAGAGGTTATATAGACACCGATACTAGGATTATCAATATAAAAGATCTTACCTCGATTATCGGGGTTGTCCCGCCAGGTGTTAATAAATTAACTTGTGCCTGCACTTGCAGCTCTCGTCGATTGCCACATTGACACTGCTGCTGTCTGTTGCTGACCTGCAGATCTTTGTATCGTTTGGCATTGCTACCGTCCGTCCCTAATATGTACAATGCTGGTTACTACGCAAGTCGCCACGTCGACCGTTCTAACATGCCGTCCTTGAGAGCGCAATCTCGGAGCTTCAGCAGGCCGACACGCTCCCAGTATGTTTGTTTATAAGTCGTTGACTTCTGTTGTTGTTTCTGGACGACGAGTATGTAGGTATCGTGCTTGTCAAGTGACGCATCCGAATTTCCTAGTACGATGCCTGTCCACAGCTTCTGCAGTAACGCCGATCGCGAAAAGCCGGCTTTCTTGTATCTAGCGCCGGCGTTGTCATAGTCTTTCTGAGTGAGTGAAAACTCGCCCTGCCAAACGCCGTCGCCGGCGCAAACCGTGCCCGTCCACTCGCCGGGCTCGAGATACGTACCCTTGGGCTTGCGAAGTTGGACTTTTGCTGCGCTCGCCGTGATCTCGAGGGCGTGGTACTGAGCAGACAAGAGATCCCTGCTGCTGTCAGCAGCCGTGCTCAACTGGTTATAGTAGCGGCTCCAAGGCACCGCACCGGGGCCTTGGTCCCGAGGTATGATGGACACATCCACGTTAAAGCCATAAGCATGGCGGATAGGAGGCCGGCCCCAGAAGTGGAAGGGCTTACTCTCGACTACACCGTGCCAGCCAGTCCACGACCAGCTTGGAAAACCGGATCGCCTGTGGGCTGGCTTCTGGAGACGCCAGCAGAGCCCATTGATAAAGCCATCGAGAGCGAGACAGGCAGGGACAGTACTCTTGCCATTACTGTTAGGCTTGCTATCAGTGATATGTAGAACGGGCACTCCGCACACATGGTACACGGGCGTGTTTCTTTGCTCGGCAAGCAGCTGCAGGATGCCGAGCATCGCGTTGAGAGCGTCGGATGGCAGGGATAGCTGTCGTGCCGTATACTCCGCCAAAAGGCCGAAGAGACCGGTGCCGTCATCGTCAGAGGCCATCCCGGCCACTATATACGGCTTGTACATCCAAAGTGGCTCCATAAGGCGCGGCTTATACCCAGACATTCCTTGTTCCACGGTGGGCGGCAAGCGGAGCGCTTCGCGGCAGAGCATATCACGGCACTCATAAGAAATCTCATACTCTGAGAAATAGAGGCGGCGGCGTGCGAGCAGTCCCTCCTGGTAAGTCCATCCCCGCGTAACCCAAGTTGAGCTCAAGCGGATGTAGTGTGTTGGGTCTGGAGGGATGCGCACAAGTTCGTGGCCTTGGACAAGCGCGCCGGGTAGCTGGGTGCGCCGGGCAGGCCTGCCGACGCACCTGTGCTAGTCACCGCCACCAAAGTCACTTCGGCGTTGGCATACACGGTGTGCATATGCCGCAGCTGCTCCTGCTTGATAGCCTCATCGCCTGTTTGCACAATGCAATGCTGATCTACCATAAGTACGCATAGCCAAGCTCGAGCGTCACGCGGATAGCATCTTCAATGACAGCCTCAACATTACCGCTGCCCTCGTCATCTAGGCTTTTCTGTAGTCGCTTCTATTGTAGCTTTGGCTGGCCCGGCTTTGGCTGGCGCCAGACGTAGCTCAGAGCCACATACAATAACGCGGGCTACCCGATTTGTAATTATTCCCTTCGATGATGCGCCGCGTGGCACACTCGATGAGGCGGAAGTGAGGCACAGTGGCAAGTTTGTGCGGGTTGCACAGCTGCGAGTGGTTCTGACGACAGCACGAGATCCAGCCCCTAGCTACGCCCAAGTCGCTTTCACCGACAGCCAGACGTGGGATGGTCACAGCATTGGTCTTATCTGGGCAATTGCTCCCAAGGCGTGCGATAAACCCGGCTGATAGGACTCCGTCGACAATCTCAATACCAAGCTTGTCGCGGCTCTGACGACCCGAGCGGACTTGTAGGGAAAGGAAGTCGTCCCCTTCGCTATCCATCGAGTCCGCTGCCACGACAGCGAGAACCATCGTATCGACCCAAGGTTCCCTGAACCACATATGCCAGCAAAGCAACTCTCCGTGGCGAAGCCAGGATTGTGTGGTCGAGAAGCTCACGAGGCTGTGGCCCCCTTCGGCGCCAGCGCGAGGGCGTACTGCAACAACTAGACGACACAGCGGACACGTCCTCACCTCCCAGCTCTCATCAACCCTGCCCAATTTGGCGATTACGCGTCCTCTGTGCTTGGTATGACGGCTCGAAAATGCGGCACCAAGGTCGATCGCCGCGCACACCGAGCATAAGCTTGCCATGCTTTCCGCTACCCGCTCACCAACGTATTCCTGCTGCGCGCCCAACGGTAGGCGGTACTCTCTGGCAATTTCTGAATGTAGCTTCTGCTGTAGCGACCATGACAGCTTAGTGGGTCTGTCGAAATGAGAATCAGATCCTGGTGGGTGGTTGCAGTTTTCATGGGATGACCGCTGTCGGTATTGCCTTTCTTGTTGCGGAGAACGTCTGGGCCCAGTCGGTTCATCCATCTTGTCTTTTACGCCAGAATCACTGCTACCATATGATACAGAGTCCCTGGCCAAGACTGTTTCATCGGATACCGTAGCACCACGTGCTCGCAAAAGCGCCATGGTGACCGTACCGCCTTTTTTTGGTTGCGAGAGCCAAGGGGCTGAGGCCATTCCGCCCTCGCCGGTTCACGTCAAGGTCTGCCCTCGCGAGGAGAAGCTCGACAAATTCCCTGCTGTTGTGAAATCGGAATGCCCGAAGCAGCGGAGTCAACCCCTCGGCATCCTCCGCGTTGGGGTCGACGGCCGGAACGCGAAGTAGCCGCCGCAGCACTTCTTTACGGCGATCGGTCCTCTAATCATGAATCGAATCGGAGCTGAACACTAATGACAATGGGCTTCTCCCGGTTGTATCGCGTACATCCGGGTTGATGCCGTCTACTGCGAGGAGGGAGTTAACGTGCTCCACTTCACTAGCTTCCGCAGCAAGAGAAAGAGCTGTCCGGCCCTCTATGTCGGTGAGATTAGCGTTAATGCCTGGGATCCTAAGAAGCGCTTTCTTCACCTCTTCCCCCTCCTTGGAGAAAGATGAACGAGACGCTTTGCAGAGTGCTGTCTGGCCTCACGAGTCCTGGATATTTGGGCCGATGCCTGCGACCGTTGAGAGCTGCTTGACAATCTCCCCCTTACCAGCCAAGGCACCTATCATCAGCGGAGTGTTTCCCCTCTGGTCCTTTCCGTTCGGGTCGATGCCGGGTGTGGATAGCAACAGTTGAACCACGTTTTAACGTCCCCGACTGGCTGCGCATTGCAGCGCCGTTCCTTCTTCGGCATGGCGATGGTCTACGCTGATGGCGTTGACGTCGACTCGTCTTGTATCCAACAATACCCGCACCACGTCCGCATATCCCCGTTCGGCTGCTTGAACTAGCGGCGTTCTCTGGTGTCCACTCTCGGGGTCCGCCTCCGGGTGCTGCAGAATAGCCTCGACGAGTCCCAGACTCCCATTACGGGCCGCGAGGGATAGTGGTGTATAACCGAGGCTGTCCCTGGAGTTAGGATTAACCCGACCGCTAGCGATCAGGTGGCGCACTACGCCCTCGTAGGGTTGCCACCCCTTGGGGCGATATCCGTCTTCCGGATCCACGGCCCACATGAGCGGTGTTCGGCCCCCGTCGTCTGGGCTGTCCGGGTTGACCGCTCCGGTTACCAGCAGCTCGGCCACAACGGTCTCGTGAGCACGCTCCGCTGCGTATGACAGAGCAGTGCGCCCATTCTTGTCCGTCTGGTCAGGATTTACCCTTACGTCCGCTACCAGCATCTTGGCCACCTCAACAAACCCCCCCTCGGCCGCCAGGCTAAATGCCGTGAGCTCACGATGATCTCCTTTCAAGTCCGGCTGAATGCCTTCTGTGTCCAGCAACAAGCGGACGACATTCGCGTTACCACGCCTAGCCGCCTCCATGAGCGGGCTACGTTGGTAGAATGTATCATAGTTGTAGGATGTATCTCTCTCTTCAGTGTATGTATAGAGCGCGTTAACGTCAGCGCCGTGCTTGGCTGGAAGGTCCCGGACGATTCTGCAGCACCCTCCGCTTGCGGCGAAACCTAGCAGCTTCGAGGCAGGCTCAACGGCATCCTTGGCCGCGTTGTTGTCGGAACTGCCATGGCTAGAATCCCGCCCCGGGTCACATTTGTTGAGCAGGGCCAGGGCCACGTCTTCGTATCCGTTGCGAATTGCCAAGCCCACTACACTGATAGCAGTAGATGGGCCTCCCCGTTCCCTCAACTTCACGAATGGATCAATACCCCCTGCGTGCGCCAGAAGCTTGGCGGTTTTCCGGTGACCATGCTTGAGAGCGATGGAGAGAGGGGTCTGGCCTTCTACACTGGGGTTCAAGTCCGACAGCCGCCCACTCGCCAACAACAGGCGCACGACGGCTGTATGGCCGTGCCGGGCCGCGTACCACAACGGCATAGCTTGGTCGAGGTCCACCAGGTTACGATTGGCGCCACGGGCGAGCAGCCACGCTACTGCAACGGCGTGGCCGTTTTTGGCGGCGAGTGCCAGCGCTGTGCAGCCATGGTCATCGCGCACGTCGACGTCCACGCGCGCGCCAACACCGACCAGAAAGTACCGCAACCACGTCCCCATTGCCGGCCCTAGAGGGCGTACGCGAGGGACTTCTAAGCCTTGTCGTTGGTTGTATCGCTGATCCTGTCGAACGACTCTAATATCTCACCTATATTGTTATTAGGATCGGTCAAATTGAGTACGGGACATGTAGGAGGTGTAGGTAGCGGTGATTAATCAAGAGTGGGTGAGCGCCTGTGAAGTCGACGAGTTGAGATGACGATAGCGTGTGTACAGACTTCAGATAGATCCTTTACGAATATACTCTAGATTTCGTCTGGTTTGAGAAGGATCGTCGATTTGTTATGGTGGGATAAACATATTTTAACCATCGCGGCGGAGACTGGAAGACTTTGCCTACGGCTGTTGGGCATTAATCAAGCTTGGGTAGCAATCCTGTTCAGCCGGGGCAGGCTCGCTGTTGCCTACCACTATAAACCGCTATACATGTTACAATCGTAATAAGACCATGTAGCTCATGGTCTATCAGGTGGGTACAGCTGGGGTTAGGGCGGTGGTGCCCGCTCTTTTTGACCCAAGCCTGGTCGTGCGCATGGGCCGGGCCTCTTCCACGGTTGCGCTCAGTGTGCTCCTCACTCATTTTGCATCGTCGTCCACTCTCAACCTCAATCGAGCAGGGCTTAACTCTTGCTGGATTCCCAGTTCAGAACCCCCGCTTGAGGTCATCGCCTGCCCTTCTTAGTTGTGCTTCTGGTGAATATCGTTGCCCTAACCCGAATCGGGAGGAAGTCACCATTATATGAACAAACCGCTAAGGCTCTCCGGGTATTACCCTTAGGTGATATTAGACGGATATTGATCTAGTGGTTGGACTGTCCCAAAGCTTCAGGCGCCGATGTGTCCAGCACTCTTCGATTGTTAGAAACTGCTGGTGCTGCCCTACCTGGAAGCATGGGCTCTCTCATTTCCTCCCTTTCCCTTCCTCCATTAAGAGACACATTGTATTATACCGAGGTTTGCCAACATGGTCTAGCGATCGGTTCCGCTTTTCTCCATTAGATAACGGAGCGTGCTTTCTTTGGGAGGGATCGTCAACTGACGCAAGGCAGCCTCAACGGAGCAAGAAGAAAGGGGAAGAGGAAGATCCTGGAGATGCTAGGGGATGAGGGTCAACGAAGATGACCATGTCTGCATGCTGTTGGGGGTGCTACCCAAAGTGTGGGAAGATAGTGTTTCGCGGTAGAATTTCTTGAAGGCTGGCCTTTCACAGCTTAGTAGAAACGTTTCCAAATTCGTCCATTTATTGCCCACAGATCCTGTTGACGCTAGCCGTTGAGCGAATCAAGGGAACGCGTGCCCGCTCCCTCCAGCACCTCAAATGGGGGTGGGAATGACCTGAATCTGCCATGGGAGCCGTGCATCGCCAATCAGGCGTGGCTGGTGACAAGCCACCAAGCAATCACGAATCCAGAAAGAGACAGAAGCTATCTTGGACATTCAGCTCTCGAGGAACGTCCCCGTTTCCATTCCTCCCCGGGTCGTAATTTATCATCTCGAAGCATTCTGGCGTACTCATGGCAAGGTCCTTTATCGAGAAAATCGTCATTCAATCCCTCGAATACTACTCATTATTATCGGCTTGACCATGGATAAAGTGCAACCCAACTTTCTTAACGGAGGCCCGACATTTAAAGGGGTCGACCCTGCCCTCGTCAACCCAGATGCGACCGGGCCGCTGCAGGGAAGCACCTTAGCAACCAGGATTGCGACCTCAAGTTCTGTAATCACTCCCGGTCCGGACGCCGTCGAGATTCCCGAACTATGTGGCTTCAAAGACCGCACGACACCCTTCATGTGCGCCTCTGGAGAGACGTGCATGTTTAACACGGACATTTATGCCGCTGCGTGCTGCACCGGCGACTCCTGCCCCTGGAAGACGACGTGTTGTGGGTATTCGATGTCCGATCCTGCGCCCAGTGTTTGCGGCAACGGATTGAGTTATGCAGCGTGGTTGGTGCTTCTTTTTCTTGATCCCGGCGACTAGCTGTGCTCTGTGCTAATCGACTGCCAAGTGCTGCTTCGGGTGCCTATTCACTAAACTCTCGCTGCATTACATACCGGTTTGAATCCGGATTTACCATGTACGCAGCGTGCTGGACGTTCCCTGCCTACTCTGAGTCCATCCACTTCACGACCGCAGGCGCCACGACGGCCTGGCCTGGTCTGCCGAGACTTACGGGCTCGAATGGGCCGCCTATGAAGACGACATCCACAGCCGCAGTCGAGACTGTCGTGGTGAAATCTACAAATACTGGTGCCGTAGCAGGGAGCGTCGTTGGTGGGATCGTACTGGGATTTCTGCTCGCAGTTGGCGGCTGGTTCTTCTATCGTTGGCTCACCGCGAAAAGGTTAGCTAGGCTAGCTCCCACAAGCCACAACCAGGTTCAGCAGTACTACGAAAGGCAGGAGATGGATGCAGCGCAGGCCCCGGGTGGATACATCCAGAGCTACTCACCGGATCATGCGTACGGGGTCGTTCCCTCTCCTCAACAGCCGTATGCAGGTCCAGAAGCGAATGCACCAGCTAGACACGAATTGGGGACGACCTCACAATAAAGATATGCGAGCAAACCGTTACTGAGTATTGGCGAGATAATAGTACGACGCATGAACCCGATCTTATGAAATAGTAAACTAATGTGAGAGCGAGTGGTTAACATCTCGCTTGAAGAACGCGTTGCGTATCCTCGGAGAGCTGACAACACCGGCATGTCAAATCCAATACAGATCTCTTAAATAAAGTTCTTTTATTTTTTTTTCTCCCCGTCAGCTGACTTCGCTGTTCTGAGGACGTAGATCATGATACACATCACCCATATCTGTGAAGACAGCCTTGGTCTTCTCATGGTTATTCCCTTGGTGGCCATATCTGGACCGCCGAGGAAAGGAAGCGGCTTTGCTCCGCCTCCGCGATGGTCAGCTCCAAAGTCAGAATTTCCTTCTTCCTCCTTTTGGCTAATCTATATTAAGAGATTTGGTAAATATCCTGCCATGCTTTCTGTACGACGGGGCTCCCATGCCCTTGGCTTTCTCTTCCATAAAAATGATGTTTTTTCCCTCGCAGAGAATTCCTCGAAATCAGGATTCGCAGTTCCAAGGAGAGGCACGCAGGAGATGCTCGAAGGCCAAGAGCTGACACCATCGATCAGTTAACTTCGTTTATAATCGGTGATAAAGCGCAAAATGCGTATCGGCCACGTTGCTTAGCGTTCCGACATGAACGTGTCAGAGGATGCATCCTGTTGATCCACAAAGTTCGGAGAGGGACAAGGGTCTGGTGATAAAGAACCGAGTTTCCAGCATTGTTAAACACCCGAATCCCCTCCTTCAGATTAGAAACTGCCAATGGTACGATGGCTAGTGTTTTGCGGGAAATTCTATTATTGTAAACAGACGCTGTGGTAGAGTTCTTGCGTTGAGTAGCTTTGATCCACGTTCTGTCTTCGCTGGGCAGCCTTGACCGTGCATCGCAGCCTGGTCACGCCTCCTTCTGCAGGCCAAGCTTGCATTGCCACCACCCAGCATGCCGGAAGGAATAGCCCGCAGCAAGCTGAGCAAAACTTCGACCGGGGTGTTAATATAAGAAATTTGATACGCTCGAATCCCCGTCAAAGCCTGATGGGCGTCTCCTATGGATGTGCCTCGGTAGTTGGAGGCCCGACATCATTAGCCAATGATTCAACGCAGCACTGGTAGTACTTGACTTGGCCGCACTATGAGAGCCACATCTTTCTCGTGTTAGACGAACAGAATGGGCCCGGTGACTGGTGATAGCCTGGTTGAGCGAAAAGCAGATCACAGTACACGGACTCGGGATGGTGCCATTGTTCGTGGGCCGCAGGTCGCTTTTCAAATTTGCAAATGCGAGAGAGCCTGGTCGTCTCTTCGTTCTCTGCACCAATGGCCCAACATCATTAGGGGCTATGAAAACTCTCATGACCCACATACATACCTGTTTTGACCCCTTACGCCTTTCTCTTCCCTACCGCTGAGGCTTCAATGAGTTCAATCTGATCAAACCAACCTTCGTAAAGATGACTGCTCTCGCCTCCGTTCGGGATTCCCTACTCACGAAAACAGATGTGGAGTAAGTAATTGGCCGGTTCCCGTGAATTTCATTCCATATTAATCGCCGATCTATAGGCCAGGCCAGCTCACTGATGAGAATGACAACTCTAACGCCAACTCCCGCACCACGACACTGGAACATTCGAAGCTGAAGAGTTATAAACTCCGCGGATTCCCCCTCCGTGCAATTGCGGCGGTTTTGGGTCCTCTCGTCGTGCTGGCTTACTACGTCTTTATATGCCGTCTGCTTCGGTCGAGGAATAAGGCACCGGGCAAGATCCTGTATGGTTATTCCAGCGAGCAGTGGATTCACTACTCCTGGTTCGTCGTGGGTGTTTTTGGCTTAAATTTTTCCAAATACGGCCTCCAAGGTGTTGAGGCCAGCATGCTACACGAACGCCGGTGGCAGGCCAAAAATACAATGAAGTTGTTGATGCATTGTGAAAGCGCGTGGAGCGGACCTGGAGGCTGGCTCAAATGTGGCAAGGCTTTTATTCAGCGGAAAGAGAACCCAGCTGGAAAGCTATGGTACGCACTGGCTTTCCTGAGCGTCTGCCCCTTTATCGCACTCCCGCTCTCTAGGTTAACCTTGGAGCTTAGCGAGGGCTACGTCCAATTTAACGAGAGGTCGACCATGTCCTCCCCCCCGATAGTCATCGGACACACGCCGGACAATTTTAATCAGAGACCCAGGACAACAGCCGAACAGGACGCATTCTGGAAAACCGGCTTCCCGCCAGCCATTCCAGGATTTGGGCTTGTCTATACAGACCCTCATGTTCAGCGTGATTCCTTTCCGTTTCTGAGGGAGATCCCCAATATACTGGCGTCCGACATCTCGGAAGGTAATCCCGATCTATTTCTTTCGCCGCAGGTAGCTGTCCCCATTAGCGGAAATACGTGGGGTCTACGTATCGGGTATAACTGCTCTATAGTCAAGTCCTTTTCCGAATTCACAATTCTTCCCCGGCGGCCAACATTTCGTCTCTCCCCCACCTCTTTTTACGGTGGCCAAGAGCTCCAGCCTGACGGTGGGAATGATATGATCATTGTTTTCCATAATGGAGATACAGATAAGCAATCGAATATGATGGCTCATGCAGAATTAGGCTGGGAACACCCAGGAGTATACGGCAGCCTCACCGGGACGGCGATGCTACAAAACACGAGTGGTTTTGGCCTTCGACCCAGCGTCCTCGAGTATGCACTCTGGCAGAGATTGTCTTTTGTCGGATACAGCCTAGGAGAAAATCTGCCCTTCAACAAAACCATCGTATCACCTATTGAGGATGCTCCGAGTCCCTATTTTCAGACGGAAGACGGCAGTGTCCACAAGAATGAAACGTTTTTCCGAGCCAAGTCCAGTGATTTTGATGGAGACGATAGCAACAGTACGATTCTCATATCACGCAGTCTCGTATCGGACCCCTCAAGCCTCCTCCGTAGTCACATTGCCCCTCCTATTGGCGTTCGTTGCGTCCACCACTCGAAGCTTGGCTACGCCGATATCGACTGGGACGGTACCTTTCGCTCCTTCAACGAGTCGTGGGTCCTACCAATGACTTACAGCCACGGGTCCGGAACCCAATTTGCGCTCGGTTTAATCGCTTCAACCCCCGTGGAGAAAATCCAAGAACTGTTAACCTCTACCAACTCTCCGCCGCCTCTCGGCCTTGCCCACGGGGTCTACTACCCAGGCTATATCCAAGCCGAGACGCCCTACAGCGCCGCCACGAAAGCCCATGCCTGGAATGCCATTGCGCGCCCACGTACGTATGACAACACCCACACCCCCGAGCCCGCCCAGGCCCCCCCAAACACCACAGGCCCCCGGCTGAGCAAGATTATCGTCCCTGGCGACGTCCCTCCCATAGTTCCTTTATTTTTCTTCGTGCCGTGGGCAGTGGGCAGTTTGTTGCTCGGCTGCACGTACGGGTTTCGGCGCCGCTGGTCGGAGACTCTGGATGGTCATAGCATGTTTCGGTTCGGAGCAGATTTTTCTAGCGAGATTCGCCGGGAGCCGGATTTTGTGTCTACGAGAGGGTTTGCGCAGTGCGAGTCACTGCGTCGCTTGCCTGGCTTAGTTGGGGATTCTCAGCCAATGATGGATATTGGCCATATTTCCTTGGTGAATAGGGTTAAAGGGAAATGGGGCAAGAAAGGATAAGAATTATCATTGATTTTACGATTCAGGATTCTATCAAAAGAGAAGTTCATTTCGGGAAGATAATAGAATTATCTCATACTAGCAGAATATTTACCTCTTCATTATCCGTCCAATCATCATAGTCACCCATCCCCTAATACTCCAACTTGACAACAGAGCCTAGATCAAATCGAGTGACTACTCACCTCGAATTCGTGCTGCAACCTGGGCTCCATCGACGCAAGCTTCACTGGCGGGGATCAGCCTCCTCGGCATCCACACCCCTAAACTCGAAATACTTGCTCCACTCTGGATCGTTGACCAGCTGCGGCACAAGTTCCTTCTCAAACGCAACCTGCAACTCAATGCCCTCGTCATCCCGAGCCGTATTATGCGGCGGGTAAACAATGACCAAGCCCTCTGTCACCGTATCGAACAGGTGCCGGAAGGCAGTGGGCTTGCCGAAGCCAAAGTCGGCAGTGCACACGTCAGCATCCCGCCAGTCGGTAACTACCATGCTCAAGGGTGGGAAGGAGTTAACGCGGACGGATAGGTCGGCCTTGTTCCGAATGGGCGCAAGCATCTGCACCAAACCATCCAGCATCTCGCCGGTAACGCTGTTGGTCATTTGGCGTACGTAGCTCGCGAGCTTAGCCAGGGGCGCCTCCGAGATGACCTCGGCGCAGGTCGGCTGTGGCACAGTGGACATAGAAGACAGAGGGGCAAAGAAGATGTTGCCCTGCATGCGGGCAGGCATCGTCGGGTTAGTGAGCCGCTTGGTCATGTTAACGCCCTCTCCCCATATTAAGTTCGAGGTTAGGTCCGGGTTGTAGACGGGCGCCCGGAGCTTAGAGAAGACCCGCCAGGTGAAGGCGGCGATCGCATCGTACGTAGAGATCCAGGAACCGTCGTCAGGCGAGGCGACTGTTTTCAGCTCGGCAGCCTTACTCTTAGGCAGGTGGAATAAAAGTGACTGGCAGACTTTGTGTTGTGGGTGGCGATCGGCTTGGGGAGGTGCATTAACTCGGGACTCCTCCGGGACCGACGGGGTAATGAAACGGCTGCGGTCAAGACACTTGGGGTCAAAGGAGGGAAACTCGGTTTTGTTGATAATGGCATAACAGTTCTCGGCCAGTTGCTTGGTAAAGGAGCCCCAGCCCATGACGTCGTTGCTGTAATGATGCGAGTGCATATTAAAGATCAGACCGCCAGGGATAAAGTTGGCCTTGTACGAGGCGATAGCAGGGCTGCCATCCGGGATGGCTTCTGGCTTTTCGCCATAGGTCATAGGGGCATTGCTCAAGACATTGATGTCCCCAAGTGTAGTGGCAACGAAGTGTGCCTTTTCGATGTCGTCGAAGGCCGGAAAATTATCTTCGGGAGAGTCGAGATGTTGGACAACGAACTTGACGGTGCTGTCCTTCCGCTTGACAAAGGAGTGGGAGCCATCGTCATCCTTCTCAATGGTACCGACAAGGTGCCTTGCCTGGCTGAGAGTTCGCTCTAGGCCTTCTTTAAGGACGGCTGCAACTTTGCTATAGAAGCGTTAATAGGAATCAGCCGGTTGCTTTCGAAATAGAAAGTGGAGAGATAGGATTCTCCCTTTTCAAGAGACGGAAAAGGGGGTTCATTGGCACTCACCTCTTGTCCGCATCATCCAGCTGGAAAAAGAGAGCATAATTGTTGTAGGTCCTCGCGGACAAGTAGTCGAGCGTGGAGAGCTTGAAACGCTCCTCCTCAGGGTCGTTCTCCCAGCCCAGTGGGTGAATCTGTGATTCCTCGATCTTTGGCATTTCAGCTGTGTGGCAGAGGGTTTGTAGTCGATGTTTGATGGGGATGAGTGGAGTAACCATAGAACTCCTGGGAAGTGGCAGTGATTTCCAAGATGTAGGAGATATATGAAAGTGACATTAGCGAGTCTCCATGGAGCTCGGTTAGCCAGCGACGATGGTGATCTATGCCACATTAGGCCTCTTCAAGAGGAGGAGGCGTCCTCCCCTTGATTGCGTATCTGGCAGTGTGATGACTCTCGGCAATGGAAGAAGTCTGCATCATGAGAAATGCAGGGCTGTGGCAGCGAAGTTACCGAGTGCGAGGTATCCTTGGTGTGCTCCCTGGCGTGGCTCACCTCCTCGCGGCATATTTTAATGACAGAATCATACGTGATCCACAACAGCGCTTCAAACGCAACGCTCCTGACGCATGACAACCCAACGACAGGGTTTGGGAGGGCGGTGAGGACCTGGCCCCGGTATGCTGAACAGGGGCAAGAACAAAGCCCCTTATGGCAAACAGATCCATAACTTATACTATACGCTTTATCTGCGTCTTCTGAGGGGAAAACATAAGTGTGTATACGAAAGCTTGTAAGCTGAATATTGTAGATGGAGTGCTCACTTCTGCAATGTCTCTAGGGACAAGATAATGTAGAGGGGGTCCTCGAAGTTGGACGCCTAGCGAGAGGTTGGCGATGGAGGGCTGTGGGTCTCTTAATATCGGTCTCCAGTATGAAGAATTCTTGGGTAGCGAGAAAAACCGGCTTTCGGCGCGAACCGATGCAACATTGAATGTAGCATCCCAAGGGTCTGGCTCCGTCGAACGCGGAACTCGGTCTTTTGCGCCGACCCTTGCTAGTTTGTCGCTCTTGGCCGTCGATCAAAGTCCTGCTCTCAAATTAGACCTAATTTGGACAACTGATGGTGGAATGAACGGGTCTAAAGTTCGCCCGACAACCATCCATTCCCATGTAGGAGGGTTTACCCGTCCCACGCAAGGTTGGCTCGGTATTCGGATCATTGGTTTGGGAAATACAACAGGCATATCATATTGGTGTGTGGGCTTCGGTGAGGTAGAGGCATGCTCTTAGGTGTCGGCATTCTAAGGTCACTAGGGACGGGAGAAACGAAGCTGTTTGTTAATGGGGCTCAACGTTCCGAAGGATCAGAGGTCAAGATCAATGGTAGGCTAGCCTACCAAAGCATGATAGAGATACAATATTTTTAATACAGAAATGATGTTGATTCCAGCTTGAAAGCGTGAGCCATGCCCGATTCCGCAATTGACATCAACATGTGCAGGAAACTTCTACCTCCACTGCACCTGGTGGTTCCCATACCTGGCCTCATCGCCGCCGTTTGATATGTCCGAGTTCTGTGTGACCGTCACCTGCGTTGTGCGAACAATGCCATTCTCGGATTTGGGGACGTATTGCTCGCGTAGGTGTTCCGTAGACTCGGAGCCAAAGTCCTTCAGCTCGGTCTCGTCATCGACCTGCAAGTACGACTTGTTGCCGGACTTGTTGCCAGAGAGCATGTTCCTAGACCTGATCGCACTGGAACCCGTCAGGTTTCTGGTGTTGCTGGGAGTGCCGGTCGTGACACTCAGACCAAGGCGCATCTTCATTTTGCGCCAGATACCAGTCTCCAAGAGGATCTTAGGCACACAAGGGACGCAAACTACGATGAAACCGCACGTCATCTCGGCATAGGCCCAGAAACAAACGGGGCCAACATTGTAGATGACATCGGTGGCTCCCGCATATCGGATGGTGACGGCAAGACGGAACGCGGCAGAAACACAAGCCCTATAATCGTCAGCGGTTAGTCTAGTCATAGGGGCCTTCCACGGAAGGTGCGCCGGGAATTTTGAACACTTACAGCAGACCGAGGGAGAAGATGACCGATACACCAAGCTTCTTCTTCCAGCTCAGCTGGAGATCCCAGATGACTTTCTGGGGAAGGAGGAGGACGACGCAGTCGGAAGCGAGCTGGAAGGTGGCCGAGACTGTTTCGATATCATGGGCGTTAATGCACTTGCCTGGAAGCCAGAACTCCCACTTCTTCTTGGTCGGGATGCAGGCTAGGTTCAGAGCAATAACGACTGCAACACCGAACAAAATCTGGACAATGATCATGGCCCAGGAAACCCAGAAGAACCAGTTCCGGCGGCCTTGAGTGACGAACATGCCCAGCCACTCCACCAGAATAGATATTTTGAGAAGCGGGAGACAGATAGAATAAAAGACACCGGCGAGATGGACCAGCTGACGGCTGTGGATTAGTTTATTCTGTTCCCAGCCCTAAAATTCGGTATCTGAGAAGACTCACGTAACCCATCCTCACCGTTTGTCGAAGCGAAACATTCCATGTGTGAACATAATATCCCGGGGTCTCGACCAAACCCAAAGTACAATAAAACCAACCGATAAAACATCCCTAGTAACAGCGACAGTCAGCAAGTGTCGGCGATGTTGAGGAAGATATCGGACGGCACCACTCACAAATGCCGTGAAGATCATATATTCTTGCGCTTGTACCCTTTTCAGAAGAATAACCCTAGCGTATGCACGGATTGAGAGGCAAAGCACCCCGGAGACTAGACATATGGTCATAATTGCTATTGCCATGCCGTTCTGATTGGGAGGGTTGACGAAATTGCTGACTTCGCCGTCCGGCGGAGGCATGGCTGGCATCTCCAGCACAGCGTCCAGCTCCTCCGGCGTAAGCAAAGTGAAGTCAACGGCCGACATGTTGGAAAAGGACTGCGCTCTGCGCTCGATTTTCGGGTATCGTTACTGGGTGACCATCGACTTCGGTAGATATGACAATAGAGATAGAATGAGTTGAATTGTCGCGGGCTTCTCAAGCCGGACCATAGGGCTGGTGATCATGACGGGAGGGACGCCGACACTTTGTAATTGCAGAGAATTCTTGGTTACTGGCAATAGGTGCCCGGTATTATGGGTCCATATATCGTCGTGTCGTATCATACCTATGTCGAGATGTCTGTCAGAAGTCATAAATGGAACGCCTGGAGGGGGAGACTAGTACTGCTGGTTACTGCCGATCCTAGTACTTATTCTGCTATGTAACCCCTTGACACTACGAATCATACCAGGCCTACTGACGAATTTTCAATGCCGGTTTAGAGTCCTTGTTGTACAGTGGTAAACGCAGCACCAGGTCTCTGGCAAGAAGAACCACAATGGAAGTGTCCTGCAAAGACTCGAAAACTCCGTTTGCAAACATGGGGATTGTTATTTCCACATCCTCGGGGCACATCCAATCCCGTTTGCCAAACAATGCCAGGGGGATCATCCTTGTCCAAGAAGACGGGGGCCCAATCACATCTCCACTCATTTCAGTATTCTTGTTTTTGAAAACCATGGTGGCTCACATCTTTCATGGCGAGGAAGCAGTACACGGTTGGACGGAAATCTAGGATGAGCACGGCGAGAAGGGACTTTTAAGGCAGACCCTCAGAGAGTACGAAGTACTTCTTAAGGCCTTTTACGTCTCCATGGTTTATCGTTACTGAAGTTGGAAGTGCGAGTAGTATTGACATGGGAGAAACGGTCACGACGCAATCACAGGATCTTGGCGAAGCATTGAGGTGGACCCAGACGTTTTCTGTCAGCCCCTCTCGCAATGCTTGTTCCTTACAGGGCACGGGTTGGACATCCGGAGCCAGGACCAGTCTCGGCAGGGGCGAACACGAACCTCCAATGGCCCCTTAACTGGAGCCCACCCTCCCGACAAGATGTAGAAGATACATTTTCTCCGCCTGAATGGCGACAAGCGCAAGGGCACGACCTGCGTTTGAAGAATGAAGAAAGTAGTCAAGCTGATGTCCATAGTTGCCAAGATCTTTGAGATGCAACCAGGTACCGCAGCATAACGAAAATTAATACGGCAGAGGGTGGCATAGTCCTGTGTGTCCTCCAACCCGCCAATTTGCAGCCCGCATGCACAAGGAGCTTTCGGCAGAACTTCAGTTTCTCAGCAAGAGCAGATAAAATTATAAAATGCAATCTAATACTGGTAAGGGCCACTCTCACGTCGGCGATAATAACCCGATATAACGCCGAATATGATTTATACAACTTGAGACTCACTTTAGAGGTGCAACGGCAGCTGGCTAAGTCCTGGTCTTCTTGTGGGGATATCTCGAGACTCGGGAGCTCACTAGTCCCCCAGACCTGCTCGACGGTCTTCTGGATGTAGTGCAAAGTCAGGGCCTGTTCGATGGCATCACGGACTTCTCCGAGAGGGGATGGACGGTGTGCGAATTTCAAGTGCGGCGTCCTCTTCAGCGCGCGCTGCCTCTGTTAGACCCAGGCAAACTTCTAACCGGTATCGTAAAATGCCTCGAGCGGAACAAAGGTCGAGAGAGAGCATTAATCCATATCCCTATGGCTCTCCTTTACTCGCGTTATAATAGCCCAACTCCGACTCGTCTCAGATTACAGCCCCTCCCCAGATAAACTTAAGAGCCACGAGCACAGTCTGATTCCATTTATTCATTTATTGATACACATATATGTGCATTTAGAATAAAAATTAAAAAAAAAATCTGCGGTTGCCCAGCATAGTGCCTAATATATGTACCCAAGTACTATAAATAGTCTTCGGCTGTCCTTTCCTCCTCGAGAGCAACGGCTGCGGTCCCTGGCGCGGTGCTGTTTGCTGTTGCGTACGCAGGGACTTGCCGCGCACGCGATGTCAAGTTTGCAAAAATCATTCTTTCCGAGACCACCTCATTGGCAATTGCCATGGGTCGTAGGAAAACGCGTCTTTGCGTTGGTATTCCAGGAGCGATTCTCTTTGACGGAAACGGACTTGTCAGAAGTACCTTCAGGGCTGGTCGTAGGTATGGATCATCCACCAGGCCAGACAAGGTTTGCATGACGAGGAATATGTCCTCCAGCATCTCGAGACGCTCATACCATGACACACCATCGATGATACAGTACACGATCGCATCTCGAGGGAGTTGCATGATTATTCTGCGGAATAATGAGCATAGCTCTGACATGTCGTGATGGCGAAGTCCATCGGTGGAAGAGAGGTCAGCGAAGTCGTAAGTTAATCCCATTGGGTGGCGAGTCGAAGCTTCTACCAAGAGTTTAGAGATTAAGCACCTCATCAACCCCTGGGGGCCCTTTAGGTTATCCCCAAAGTCCATATGAAATCCGCAGAAAAAGTAAAGGGAAACCGCTGATGGGTGAGTCTTGATGATAGCGGCAACCATCGTCGCGCAAACCGGGGAAATTGGCGAGATGCGAGCTTCCGTTGGATCGTCTACGAGGCTGCCGTGTACAAACAGCAAGTCCGACGATGCTGACGAGAACCACTGCCAGAAACGGTCGATATTGAGAAGGGATTGGGCTTCAAGCTGGCTGGCTGGGTCGAGAAGGGCTGATCCCTGAATGATAAGCTTTAAATCTGCCGTGATTCTCTCCGGGGAAACCGCTAGAATACCTAGAATTTCCGAAGTAGATAGAGTAGCATTTGAGGGCAGCTGTGGCGTCCTCGCCCTTTCTATTTCCGTCTCAAGGTCCTGCATTACCATGAGCAGACGCTGCTCTCGCTTTTGTGCTTCGTTGGCCATGATGCGCATTCTGGCCTCGACGCCCTGCCAAATCTCATCTAGCAGTCTCTTCGTCCAATTTTGAGCATCCACTCCCGCGTGGTTTGCCATGCTCGTCAGCGCGTTGACGGCCTCGCGTTCAAGATGTGACATCTTATCCTTAAGCTCCTCGACCGTATGTTGGAGCTCTTTAATTTGGCCTGGGAGCGGCTTAACAGCTTCGCTCATTTCCAAGACCTGTTGGCTGATGCCCCTTGCCTCGATCAATGTCGACATGGTGTTTTGTCGCGTTGCTTCATGCTCCAGGATGCTCTTTTCCGCCAGCCGTCTCGTTGCTACGATGGTCCCCTCGACGAGGAGATCTGTGCGTCGAGTTAGATTCGCTGCGGCTCTCCTCACCTTTGCGATAAGCTGATCCACTTCCGAGCCCGAGGGCGCGCCTGGTAACACAGGGAATATTTTGGCAACTAAGAGATTGAAGTTAGTTGGAATTAGCTCGCCGAGAAGCTTCGATATTACACGCTATTTACCCTGGTGCTTCGGCAGAAGATATCGAATCATTTTGTTCGTGGAATCGAGAATTGTATCGTTGAGCTCATCTGCCAGGATTTTCAATTGAGTGTCCTTAGGGAAATTATTCCTCTTGGCCTCTGCCATCCAGATGATGCCAGGGATGTCTTTAAACGCCTCAAAAATGGCCTCCCTTTTCTTCGCGGACTCCTTGGCGAGCTACACTTTCGCGTCAGATCAACATCGGGGACCATATCGATCGATCTGGAGTAGTCCTACATACCACTAGCATCCACCCTAAGGCTGCCCGTACAATCGAAAGCCCGTACTTTTCGGGGAGCAGTTGGAGCCCCGGCGCAATCAGATCGGCCTTGTCTCCTGCTTTTCTTGCTACCTTGTGTAGCGATCCCTTCCATCCCACTGCCTTGGCTTCGTACGCTACCTTGGTATCTGAAAGCTGCTCAAAGAAGTCGTTCCATGTACAGTTCTTCGGGTCGAACTTGAGCGCCGGGCTACACCCAAGCTCCTGGTATCGTACGAGCGCATCTTCCAAGTCGCTGTTCGTATGTTCTATTAGTCCGTAGCGGTGGCCGTCGATTCCACGTTTGTAGACTTACAATGCAGCCTTCTTTGGCTCGAAGATACCCCTTTGGTCATCATAATTCGTCGGCGTCGTGAATGCGGGATGGACATTCGGGGCTTCTTCCCGCACGAATCTAACGACGGGCCCTGTGTCGCCCATGTCAGAGTGATTGAGCGTATGGCCTCTGTTTCCGTGTTCTTTGGGGAGATGGGATGTGAAAACTGAAAAAAAAAAAGAAGGATTTTCTTGAACAGAGCCTGTTTGACAAAGCCTCAGCGACACTCTCTAGTCTCTGCATATGGTTCCATTCGTAGGAGTCAGGCCAGTCAACCACCCATGCATCCAAACATTGCTTCGCCTCCCTCCCACCCATGATGACAGTGGATGAGACTGCGCCACATCAATATGGTGCTGACCAACGAGGGGCTTTATGTCACCAAGCCGCCCTGGTGATGGTTGGGCGTCATCTCTACCATCCCCTCTTTTTGACCAGGCTCTGCTGCTTACATTTGTCTTGGGCTTCGCTCCAGAGGCCAACCTACCCCTCTTTCCCGGTTATACTCCAACTGGGGGTATCAGAGGAGATCTTTACAAAGTGGTCTCATAAATCCATCCCGTTATTGTCGTCATGAAGGACCGTCCTAAAATACGCCGAGTGGCTCGGCGTTCCGTTCCCACCCGCCGAGAGATGGGAGTCGAGACAGAGGAGGAACGACGCCAGCAAATCTTTGAAGAGCGCAATAGAATCAAAGCGAAATGGCGGCCCAAGATCCCCGAGGTGCGCAAAGTCAATTTTGAGCATTTCAAAAACCACTACGGGGGCGACAATCCCGAGTACGCAGTCGAGGCTCTCGTCTTGCCGCTGAACATAGGCGACCAGATCCGCTCCGAGCGGAGTTTGCGAGGCCGGGAGGAGTTGGGTAGGTTACGGCGAGCCATCGTTGCCACGGCTCAGGCGCATGCGGCGAAGCCTCAATGGAAGTCTTCAGAGAAGACTGCGCGAAGCGAGAGACAATCAGTTCAAGGGAGCGAATCGAGTTATATCCACAGAGTTCGGATCCAGTCGCAGCCTGTGCTAGCTCACTTGACGCAACTACTAGGGGAGTCGGATCGTCGCTCGTGGTCGAGGACCTTCTTCCGGCCTTTCAAGCCCCTCGTATACTTCCAACCGCAAATGCGAAAGGCGCTTGAAGGCCTAATAGAAAAGTACGGCCATCTTGAAAATGGAGATATTGGCCAGTCTAGTCCTGAAGAGGCTTCTCAAGGCCTTTCCGGGATTTTCGGGGAGATAGGAGAGGAGGAGGACGGCGGTGACAGTGACAGCGAGAGTCGAGATGATGCCGTTTCGAATGCTTCCTTGGAAACTGAGGCGTCGGATGACGGCACCCTAGATCTGGTTATGGATAGCCTCGAGGCCCTCCGAGACATGCGCTGCTACGTCGACTTTGTCGATCGCGAGATCTTGCCCCTGTACCAGAAGTTCGAGAACCTTGAGACTCGAAAAGTTGCGTTCGATGACCTATGGTCATTATTTCGATTGGGGGAGCTCGTCTACGTTCCTGCGGCTCATGATTCAGCACAGAGGTACCAAGAACTCTGGCGGGTCTATCGCATTGAAGTCCCGGAGCCGGATCTAACGTACCCTCCTGCTGATTTCGGGTGGTTCCAGGACGAGGTGATGCAAACGGGGGATGGCGACTTCAAGATTTCTTGTTATTACATTGACCACGACGGCTCTGCTTATGGTGCTGTCCGAAACGTGTTCTCAATTCTGCCATTTCCGGGAGAGCGGGATATCGACTCACTAGAGATATATCCCGCTCGATTTCTTAGTTCCGACGACAACACCCTCGAACGGCTGAAGAAGCAAGGCTCGGACTTCCAGAAATACCTACGCGAACGGCATCAGGCGTACAATTTCTGGACCCTGACAACAAACCCATCCGGCGAGTCGTCGGAGTCAGCCGACGGACTTCTCCTAGATGTAGATGGCAAAGCAATGAGACACCCACAATTCATCGAGAGCGACGTCATCATCGACGTAGCGGAAGCCATCCAATCGAATCCGGATTGGAAACCCGAGTTCCATCGTCCTTCAGCTTCCAAGTCCGACGGATGCGGTTCAAAAGAAGACGTTTTTCGGATCCAGCACTGGGCTGATAGCTCTCGGACTACACTACTCTATACCAGCCCTGACTTAATCCAGACCGAGGATGGCATTGACATGCGTCAGCGTAACGACAATATCAAATCGGATCAATTTTTGAGCCAGCGAACCAAGGGGGTTCGGGTTTATGGTGTCGGCCAGCAGGCTCTGAGCCTCAGAAACGACGACCTCGTACTCCTGCCCAAGCGCATGTTCGCGTACGCTCTTCGCGAGAGGAAGTTTGCCCTCGTCGACATTCGATACCTAAAGCCAATCATTAGGGAACACGGCGTCTTCGAGAACCTAAAGATTCTGCGCAACTACAAGGACATCATTCGCGGACTCGTCAACACTCACTTCCAGAAGAAGGAGCTTGAACGAAGGCTTGTTAGCATGTCGACGGAGGGCATAAGCCAGGACCTTATTCAAGCAAAGGGAAGGGGCCTTGTGATTCTCCTCCACGGTGTCCCTGGCGTCGGGAAGACTGCCACCGCCGAAGCTGTGGCCGTTGAGAATAACAAGCCTCTCTTCGTCATTACCTGTGGCGATCTTGGGCTTACCCCAAAAGAGGTCGAGTCGTCACTGACAAACGTGTTTCGGCTGGCGCATATGTGGGATTGTGTACTCCTCCTGGACGAAGCGGACGTATTTCTTTCGCAACGAACAAGGCTAGACATGACGCGCAATGCCCTCGTTTCAGTGTTCCTGCGTGTCCTTGAGTACTACAATGGGCTCCTGTTCCTCACAACAAACCGAGTGGGCACGATGGATGAAGCATTTAAATCCCGCATTCACGTATCGCTGTACTATCCTCGCCTGGATAAGATCCAAACGCGTGAGATCTTCCGCCTCAATATCAACAAACTTCGCCTCATAGAGCAACAGCGACACGAATTAACTAAGCAACCCCTTCTCGACATCAAAGAGGAAGAGATTTTGAAATATGCCGAAGACCACTTCGATCGAAACTTCGCCAGTGGCAGTTCCTGGAACGGCAGGCAAATACGCAACGCTTTCCAAATTGCCTCGAGCCTTGCATATCACAACTACGCTACAGAGACCGAGGCCGCCTCCACATCCAGCAGGACCCCGGCGCCGGCTCCAATTCTTGATCCCGCTCTCTTTAGGAAGGTGGAGCACGCTACCCTCTCTTTCGACCAGTATATGCGCGAGGCAAAGGGATGGAGCGATGCGGACTTGGCGCACCTGGCTGGGGAGAGGGCCGACCACTTGAAGAATTCTCGGACCGCGAACCACGTCGCACATCCCGCTCCCCAGCCTTCTTTTGGGCCGTCGGTCTCAGCAGCGTCATTCTCGACCCAGCAGAGTGGTCTTGGAGGGGCAGGATACGGGCCGGATCCCTACAGCGGCGGGGAGTTCCGGTATGGAGCCGAGCCTAGCACGCCGCGGTACAACCAGGGGACGTCACCTTCACTGAGTCCATACACGCGCCACGGCATGTCCCAGCAACCCGATCGTTTTGGCTTCTCAAATGCTTCTCCACAAGCTCCCGGAAACGTCTATGGGCCTAGCACAGCTAATGATGGACGGTATATGCCAAGTTATACTGCAGAGACGAATACTATGCAAGGGGTTCGGTATAGCTAGGAGCGAAATCGGTGTCCTCTTTACACTCTTTGAAAATTTCAAGCACGGACCAGAAGTACTTTGAGGTATTTCATGCTACAAATGTCGGCGCATTTTTCGTCAACACTTAGGCTGCGAGTCCATGGAAGTGATTACATGTACATAGAAGCATCCCCGCGCGAAGTAATTAGCGCACCTGCTGTTAGACAGTGCGAACATCGACGGAGAGTACAAAGTTCCTCAGCTTCAAGCGCTCTAACGAAGACGAGCTCGACCAACAGACCTTCGCAAATGCATAGCCATGCCCTATGTCTCAGGTGTTGGTTTTGCCGAAGCCGAAAGCGCAGCCCCAAATTTTGTAGAAAACTATTTGGAGCTCCCCCTACGTGGTCCGGTTGCTTGATAGGTCAGAGGGTCGTGCAGTCACATGCTCGAGTAGGCACGAATGCGTAGACTAGTTTTGTAATAGGTCACTTGGAGGTGCAGTTACTTGCTCGAATAATAAGATGACGATGTTCTGCTTTTAAAAATAATAGCATGAAGATATATCCTTTCATTATCTCGAACTACTATTATAACAAGGACAGCCGAGGCCTTCAATAGCCCTAGTACGAGTAGTTCAGTAGGAGCTGCACAGAGAAGTATACGAGGCAAGTGAGGCAAGTGTTGAAGTTGACTGCTGCCTTACAATCGCGGATTACGATATTCTAGAGCTTGGTGGTCTTACTGTCTGATGTCGACGCGCGCTGTCAAAATCATTAGACTATATCGACTATAGTAGTAGGGGCGCCATTAAACCAGCAAAGGTAATGGTGTGCTCTCTGCTCCCAATTCTCGAGATCCTCGCCTTCGTTTCGCTGCTCCGTCCTCTTGTAGCATCCGACACGTATATATGTATCACCTCCGACGTTCCTCGCAACCAGCCCACGTGAGGCCCACAAAAAGTCGGTAAATTTGCTTGATAGCTCTAAAAGAACAACAGGTTCGTCACGGTCTTCCTCGTTCTCGTCAAGTGTATCGAGCCAAACTAAAATGCAGAATGGGAGGGAGCTACCATTCTTGGCGAAACTTGACGCTGTCACAACCTTCTTGCCGAACATGGTATGCTGGTTGAAGTTTAACACGGCGTTGAGACGTTTTGCGCGCAGTGTCAAACGTCCCGATCCTTCGACTAGAGAGCCGTAGGGAAAAGTCGCGTTTGAGAGCTGGAGCTCGTAATCGACAACCTGAGGCTCCATGTCGCTGAAGTCATCGAGCTTTTCGAGATCTCTTATCTTTAGATCGGAGTCCTTCTGCATCTCAGAGTACGATGCCATATCATCAAGTTTTTCTTCAGGTACTACCACAGGTCCACCAATTGAAGTCCAAGACCATGAAGGGCCTTGCCATATTCTCGGTCGTGGCCGAAGTGGAGGTAAGGCTTTCCAGTACAGGGCTCTGGCAAAAGTCGATCGCCATATCCCTGCACAATACTGATCGCCAAACACTCGACCGTATCGTTCGGCTAAACCTGAGATAGCAGGCAATCTATCAATGCCAAAAGTAAGCTGTCGGTGAGAGTAAACCTCAACGAGTTGATACCAGTTGTTCATTGCCTTGAGAAACTCGGGCTCTGTAGTATTGTGTTTCATGTCCTCCAAAGCACCAAACCCATCTTGCAATAAGGTTATGTCACCGAGGACATCCTGCCTGGACTTGTTGCTTTCTGGCTTCAGTCTCCATCCATCTGTTTTACCGCGAGGGTTATGTTGGCAGATGAAGCGAAGCTGTCGCGTACTGAACTCAAGAGTTCTCGGTGATAAAAGTCTCTCTTGAAGAGTCCAGCCACGCCTATCGAGAGGTTCGGGTTCGGTCTGTGTCTTAATTAAGGTGATTGAACCACGACGTGCTATACCGCGGCACTGATAAGCCAAGGTGAAGACTAAGTCCGGGAAATTGGTGGCTGTTCTGTCCGCGAGGAAGCCCTCATGTACAGATTTGGCACGTGAAGCTGCTATGGTGAAGATCGAGTTCCTGTAGACATTTGGCATGTCGGCGATCTCACGAGCTTTGTCGTCCTGGTCGTCCTGAAGAATACATAGAGCGTCTACCCAAAGGAAATTGATGCTCATCTTGATACAGACTAATGCAGCATCTTTCAGCGTCTGTGGCAATTCTTCCCAAGAAATTTCAACTCTCCATTGCTCGATGGATTGTCGGGTTGATTTGATCAGTTGGTCACCACCCCAACAGTAGCTCAGCGCGGCATAACGTTGTATGTTGTGGCCCTGCGTGTCGCGTAATTTCAACTGGCATCCACCGTCATCTGAAGGCACAATTTCCACTAGTCTTGTCGGCATGTAGTCGGAGTCTGGAAGCGGGCAGGCCTCGTGAATCTTCTTCCCACGCACGTTGGAGTGAAGACATTCGTTAAGCCAGGACTTGACCATGGTGAATTTTGCATCTGAAGATGCCTCCTTCTCTATAGGCTTGGTGGAAATTGCCCGCGTAGCCGCATTACCTGTAAAATTTATTAGTGTTTGTCAAGTATTGCCTTAACTGTTCCGTGGACTTACCTGGCTCCGCAAAGACGCTGAAACCACCTCGTGTGCGGTACGCGATATGGCCGGTATTAGTATCCCATAAGCCAAAAAACGTGATCTCGCAGTCACGCAAGAAGACAGCTAGACGAAGTGTTTCCAGCCACTGAGGTTCATCTTCGGCTATAATGCGACGAAGCGTATTGGCTGGAGATGGTGGCATCGTTGATTCATTCCCACAAATCCAGCCTTTTGCAAAGAGATCGATGATTCTCGAGGAACCCGCGATATTACCGATACGACCGATGTCGTCGTGCCATGAGGAGGCCTGCTCGACGATTGACCTGCGGTGGATCCATTCCTCGTCCATTAAATATGTGCAAAATGAGCAGCCATCGAGAGCGGCGGACACGATTTCTGGAACGGAAAAATCAGGGTAAAGGTATTCCTTGTCGCCTCCAGGGCCATCCTTCCTTGGTCTAGACGATTCATCCAGGACTATCTTCTGGCAATGCTGACATGAGTGCGCTTGCAGCGTGATAGGAGACATGGCTAATAGATTAAATTAGTTTTCGTATTGGAGACTCAGGTCCTGTCTGAGGATGGTTGTCGCCGGGAGGAGCTTAAAACTTCGGAGTCGCAAAAACTCACTTCCGGGTCACATCACTACGTCGATAATAAGGTATCCAGTGCATTTATAAAGTAATACGTACTATGTGGTTTATGTCCGTGCACCGAAAGTCCTTTGTATACACCGTAGTTTAAGCGAAGAGAACAATTTTTCACTCTGGAGGGCAAGCGGCTTGGCAATAAGAGATCTTTAGAGCAGCAAATTCACGAAATAACAGAGATACCTATCCCAGCGCTTCGAGGAACCCCCCCTGGATCAATCCGGGAGTGTTTCTGTGAAGTCATTGCTATTGAGGTAATAATTGGACTATCCACCAATGATCCAGAGACATGGGAGGACCGTTTGCTCTGGTTTGAGCAACGCGCAGACAAGAAACGTACCATTAGCCACTGTGCATAGCAAATGTCAAGTGGGGAGTTATTGAACTCCTCGGGGAAAAGTTTTTCAAGGTGATTGTCGGACATGATGGCGTGGATTGAGAGGGTAAACGAGGCGGGACTTGGAGCATTTATCTATGATTTCCTGAAGCACCGTGTCAGGCGCTGGACGCCAATCGCGTTGCCGGTTATTCACAGAGATTCTAAAGACGAGACAGCGTGATTCCAGCAGCATGATTCTAAGTGTTTATTTCCAATAAAACCTCACGGCTTCTCGTTAAATCCCATCCCCCAACCTGGCGCCTAAATCTTCCATAATAGGCGTTGCCTGCGGAGAGTTTAAAGTTCTAGCTGCTAAAGTCCATAGACGACCTTCACATAAGCCTAATTAGTCGCGTCTCCGGTTTCGCACAACGAAAGGCACACCAATTCACCTTCCCAATTCCAATCCTCACAAATGATCGTCCAACTCTCTTCAACAGCAGTACGTTATACACATCATATACAGCAATCGGCCCAAATCGACCCTTATCCCAGTGCGGATCTCCAGTTTCATTAGTCGGTCCGGCACTTGGAACAACAGTCTCGTTCGGGGGGTCTGGCGGGCGTGACCCTGACCGCCATTCGTTTTGAAACATCTCTATCTGCATAATGTGCGGTTCCGCTCGTCGGTATAAGTCCCAACCAACTGGTGGCGGAGCTATATGTGATAGGCCGTCGCGTGACATGGCTACGAGACTGTATTCTTCCTGGCCGTCGAGGTCGAGCCAAACACCAGAGACGTTGAGGCTGAGGAACCCCGCACGGTAGCCTTGATGGTAAAGGATGCGTTTCCAGGGCGGCCTGTAGTTGGCCGACCGAGACTCGTCGTTAACACCAATCTGGAAGAAAGTATCTTGGATAGGCGCCTGGACGAACTCCGTGGTCGCCATATCGCAGAACCGCGCTGGTACCACGTTGGCCTCGAAATACAGGGATCCATCATCAGCCGGAATATCTGCAACTTCCTGGTCCGGAAGATAAATTGGATATGTGAAGGGGATGCCTGGGTAAGCTTCGTGAGAAAACAGGTGCTGATTCCTCGCCTCATCGAAATAGACGGTCCAGCCGCGGCCCTCATAATCCGTATGCAGAATATCTGCGCTATTTTGTGACAGTAGGTGAAAAGCAGCAGAGTGAGCGCGAGCGGTAAAGTGCTCAATCTCCTGTGGTGTTCTGTTTCCAGAGGCTTTGAAATCCTCAATGAGACATTCCGGGCTAGTTTTTTGGTACCACTGCACCACAGAGGCAGGCGGATAACTTATGGCATTGTGCCAACCACGGCCGCGATACGAGACATGGCCTTCCCAGGCGACCCAAGTCCAGCTAGGAAACAGGGGCTTTCCATCATGTATCCGTATCTTAAGCGGCTCCAGGGGCTGCCAGAGTAGAGACTGGGCAAAGGCAAATTCCGGCATGCCATACCAGAACTTGGTATTGGTTCCCTGGATGATCAAATCAGTGATGCCAATAAAGGCATTGAGCGCGTCAGTCTGCCAAGTCATTCTGCGCTGAGTGTAAGCGTTGACAGCCTGCTTATACATGTCCCATGGAGTGTGTCCCTCCAGGAAACGCCCATTAACGAACTGGTCGCCTGGAATGGGTCTGTAGTGATAGACGGGAGCCGGGATCTCTTCCTCCACTTCTAGATCCTGCCCAATCATTATCACTCTCGCGCTTTCCGTCTCAAATGCTTTGTTGGGGAACTTGGACTGCGTGGGATCTGCCAAGACGCGGCGCCAGATGTCATATGCACGGGCGTCATATCTAGTCTGCTCGTTTAGGGGCGTAGGTTTGTATTTGGGATCTAGTACGGGAACGGTGTCCTCAAAAAAGGTTCCGTGAGGACACTGGAAGCACATCTGGGAATCGGTAAAGTACACTGTCCGGCGAGGAAGAAGTCTTTCTTGGAACGTCCACGCCCGAGAATTCCACACCGATTGCTCGATCTCAAAGTGTCGCTTTCGGGAATCGTGAAACGCTACCCCGAGTGTCATTCCCTGCAGCTTCTCCGTGATCTGTGCCCGGGAGCGAGGTGGTCCTATTCCGGGGAGGCCGTCTGTAGGGTCTGAGTTGGTGCAGGCGGCGATATTCAAGGTCGCACTTCCATAGATCGTACCCATCCTGGAGATGATCTTCGCTTTGTCCATGTCGTCGTCCTGGAGAATACAAAGGGCATCGATCCAGATATACCGGAGGCCCAGTTCCTGAGTAACCCTAAACGCATCTTTGATAGTCTGAGGCAGATCGAGGGAGTCGTCGTCAGTTAGGGCCCCGGGAACTTCCAATTTCTCCTTCGTGGCGGTAGTGTATTGCGTCTGGCTCCCACGTCCCCATACATACGACAGACAAGCGTATTCAAAAGGTGTAGTAACCTCAGTCACGCAGCCTTTAACCGTATCGATGACTCTCAAAGTTGGTGCAAAGTGATCCAGCTTCTTGTGCTCGCTCTCCTGCTGTGGGCCGTGTTGCTCGTCACATAGCTGCAGCCAGGACTTTAAGCGCGAAATATCCACAACGTTCTGACTAACGAAAAGTCCCCGGAGAGGCTGTCGTGTTGCTTCGCCCTCTTCCATCTTTTGCAAGATAATTCGACAGGTCTGATTGTTGACTTCAGGTATCTCGACCTCTAGTCTTAGAGGATAGTCCGGTCCGTCATCTAAGACGTTAATCTTGAGCTCGAAGGCCTCCAGGTCCTCTGGTGAGGCACTATTTAGAAACTTGTCCTCTGAAATTTTCCTGCGCAGCATTGTGCAAAAAGAACAGAGACTGTCGGCCATTACCTTGGCCAATCCGAAAAGTATAATGCTAGTCGACCCTGGTTGGTCGTTGCCTGGGAGGCCACGCAACGTGAAGAGGGCCGTAAAGTCGATGTGTCGGCACATATCGCAGAGGTATTCTGGGTCGTCTTCGGGCAAGACAGGCGGAGATGGAATGAACCATTCCTCATCCAGGCCGTCTGAGTCTTCAAGAAGGCCCCAACGCCGTATGTAGTGGTGATGCTTGTATTTCTGAAATTCAGTCCGGTTCTCCCGAGAGTCGTGTTCCCCCTCCGGCCCATCATCTCCCGTGCTTGACTTGTCTCCTTCCATATATATCGCAACTCGGTCCATATCCTCGTCGGACATTCCGTCAACCGCATATTCCGACCGTGGTGCCCCGGCGACATCCTGTTTTTTGCGAGCCTTCCTCTGTGAGATTTCCCTAAAATCCTTCACCATGGCCTCCGTTTCTGGGCTGCAGTTGGACGGCTGGCCATCCCGCTCCCGCATGATGTGGTCCAGGATCGTTTTGGTCCGCTGATCCGGTATGTTCTGCGTGATAATGTTTCGTATGAGAGTCATGTTGTTGGGTAGACCCTAGAGGATAGCTTGGTGATGAATGATATTGTCCAGCTTTGGCCAATGCAGCTCTTTGTTCTGTTTTAGCTTCTACTCTGAGATTTGAGTTAGAGCTTGGCCGTTTTATATTTGTAGGCAGCCGTGAGATTTTGAGGCTTAATTAATAGCTGATGGGTTGATTGTACAGCAGGGGTGGGAGCGGGGGATGCATGACGAAGGAATTGGAAGCATTATGCCTATTCGCACAGCCACGCAGCCGTTGGGCAGCATCGTCGGCCGCAGTCTCACTCCTCTTGCAAGGATCTAGGTGAGTGGTCAATGTTAAGCTTAGCGTCGGGGATTCAGCGGCCCAGTTTGCGAGTTTCGGGGAAGAGGAAATGCGGCTACGGCGATCTTCCGAGGACGCCAGAAGATGACTAGATTGGGGGCATTTTACAGGTAATATATTATCATCAAAGCTGTATAGCCGTTAAGGAGATGCCTTTCCCTTGGCTACAATTCGTCTAAGAGCTAGTGCCGACTTTTTCGGTGTCCTCTCTAGGGTATTGTGGTCCGTAACCGTGACACCGAATCTTACTCCATATCCATCCGACCACTCGAGGTTATCCATAAGCGACCACGCAAAATACCCGTCCACGACCGCTCCATCCTCCGTAATAGCTTTGGAAATAGCACCAAGGTGGTCCTCAAAGTACTTAATCCTGTAGTCATCGTTCACCGACTCTTCCCGAGTCATCTTGTCCTCTCCCGGACACGGGCACCCGTTTTCCGTAACAACGATCGGTTTTCCGTAGAGCTTGTACACCCGCGCCAGGTGCTTTCTGAAAAGATGGGGACATGATCGTAGCCAGTGGACACCGCTTTCGATCCCAACCGGCTCGCCTGCATTGTTGTACTGGAGTTCGTGGAGGTTGCCTAGGTAGTCCGTGTCGAGAGCTGGTAGTGTTCGGTGACGGGCGAACTGGCCCGTGTAGTAATTCATGCCGTAAAAGTCACATGCGGTGGACCGCAGGAGCGCCATCTCTTGCGCTGAGAAGGTTGGCAGGCGGTCCCGGAGCTGGTCGCGCATGCATTGGGGATAATCCTGTCCCAAGCTAATCGAGTGATTAATACTTCCAAGCCTTGCCAATTCTTCTTGTCTTTCTTTTTAATTTTTTCTTTTTTTTTCACAGGCTAAACTTACAAGATTGGGTTTGCAAACCACCCGATGTGGAACAGCATGCCCCGTTCAGCCGCCTCGATGTCCTTGGGGTCACTGCTGTCCCAAGGTTCGTAGTAATCGCCGTTGAGCGAAATTCCGACTTGGCCTTTTTGCGACGCGCGGAAATCCTTGTCGTACGCTGCTACCGCGCGGGCATGGCTCATGATCAAGGCCTTACCTACGATCCACGGTTCGGTAGCCGTGTCGCCTTCTGTGGATTGAGGGTTGATGCTGCTCCGGCCGGGTGCGTTTCCCCCGGTCGCGTAGCCCTAAATACCAATGTCAACTAATGCAAGAATGGTCTGCGAGGATGTGTGGGGCGTACAAATATCGCAACGATCCACGGCTCGTTAAGGGTGATCCAGTGCTTGACGCGATCGCCGAACCTTTCATAGCATAGCCTCGCATATCGCTCAAAGTCCTTTTGAGATTCTTCCACATCCAGCCATCCGCCGTAGCGGTCATGAAGGGCTTGCGGAAGGTCCCAGTGGTAAAGAGTGACCCACGGCGTAAGCCCCCTAGAAAGACACCCGTCGATGATGCGATTGTAAAAGGCGATTCCGGCCTCGTTAACAAGGTCATCTCTTCCACCAAGAGGAATCACACGGGACCACGATATTGAAAACCGATACATGTCACCTCCATACTTCTTGACTAAGTCGAGGTCATCCTCAACCCGATGGTAATGGTCGCAAGCGACATCACCGTTGGCACCTTTGGTGCGGGTGGGTTCAAGGTGGCAGAACGTATCCCAGATGGAGGGACCACGACCGTCCTCGGCTACGGCGCCTTCGATTTGGTAGGATGCAGTCGCAAAGCCGAGCTTAAAGTCCGCCGGTAGAGGCATTTTGTATGTTATGCAGATGAAAGGGACTTGGGTGAGAGTGCAAAGGGAAAAACTACTTATGTCGGCTTCGAAGCACTTGGAGCTGCGCAAATCAACAGCTCTCGGCGTCCTTTATACAAGGGAATAATAATTACGGCGAGGGATTCTACCCTTCATTCTTCTAGCCCCATTGGGTTGAGGGGATGCAGATCACTGTTGCAATTTTCCGATGGCAATTCTCCGTCGGATCAGGTTTTCCTCCTGTCTCGTACGACCTGTAATTCCCCGATTCCCCGCCCGATCTCACGAGATCGATCTCCACAAATTAATCCCCATGGGGAAGTCAAGTGCGGAGAAAGGAAAGGTCCTGTTCGCCTGGCAAAGCTTAGGGTCCCATAGAAACTCGGAAATCCTTCACGCTTTCTTCCCTTGACAATGCTCGAGCGGCCGAATGTATATAATATGCATCGTGCCCTCAAAGGACACATAGGGCGCATCCGTAAGGCTTCAATGCTCAAGTTTCAAGGCCGGCTTGTTTCATTGCCTGGTAGCCAACTGCTTTGAAGGATACCAAGGGAGAACAAGCATCTCCCGTTCAATTTTATTGCCCAGCCAGCATCATGGCCCCCAAGGCGGCCCAAGCCACTGAGGACATCTTGTCCCCCATCGACTTAGCCACCGTTCCGCCTTTCTGGAAGCGAAAGAATGGCATCCTGCTGTACTTTTTGCTAACATCCTCCCTCTTTGCCAGTATGGCCTTGGGAATCGACGGGTACGTTTTGATAGGGCTTTATGTACCCGAAACCGAGGAGTCCCACCGAAGTACTAACCCAAGACTCGAGACTCGCAGGAGCATGACCAACGCTCTTCAGACTCTGGAGAGCTGGCAGGACAAATTCGGCCATCCCACCGGTTCAAAACTAGGCTTCTTCGGCGCTTCCAATGCCATCGGTGGCGTCATCCCCTTCATCCTCCTGAGCTGGATCGGCGACTTAGCCGGCCGCCGTCTCCCGACCGCGCTGGGCTCCATCATCATAATCGCCGGTGTCATTGTGCAATTCTTCTCGACCTCCCTCAACATGTTCATCGGCGGCAAGATCGTGCTCGGCATCGGCTCCTCGCTCATCCAGATGGGCGCTCCCGTGCTCGTCACCGAGCTTTCCCACCCCAAGGAGCGTGTGCAAATCACAACGCTGTACAACACCAACATTGTCTTGGGCTATGTCATTGGAGCGTGGGCGACGTACGGCTGCTTCCGCATCCAGAGCGACTGGTTGTGGAAGCTCCCCACCCTCGTGCAGATCATTCCCTCGGCGTACCAGCTCGGCCTCATCTACTTTTGCCCAGAATCCCCCCGTTGGCTCATCGCCAAGGGTAGGCTGGAAGCGGCCCGAGCGATCCTGATCAAGTACCACGGTGAGTGCGACCGGGATAGCGAGCTCGTCAAGTTCGAATGCGCCGAGATCCAACAGGTCATCGCCGAGGAGGCTGAGCAGAACATGACCTGGAAGGACTTCTTCTCGTCCATCCCCAACCTCAAGCGAATCGGTTTATGTTTCGCGACTGCCTTGTTCAGTCAGAGTTCGGGAAACCTGCTCGTGTCCAACTACTTGACTCAGATTCTCAAGGATACCGGCATTGAAGCCGAGAAGGATGTTACCTTGGTCAACGGCATGGTCACGGTGTGGCAGTACATTGTCGCCATCTCTGTCACGCTCTTGGTCGACCGTTTCAAACGTCGAACTTTCTTTCTCACTGGATCCGGCGGCGTCCTCGTCACGTTCATCATGTGGACAATAGCCGCCAAGAAATATCTCGACGGGTCCCTCGCAGCCGGTCGCGTCGTGCTGGCGTGCATCTTCCTCTTCCAGGGCTTCTACACTTTTGGCTGGACGAACTTGGTCGTGACCTACCCACTCGAGATCGTCACGTACCGGATGCGCGCCAAGACCTGGGCGTTCGTCCTGCTTACCATCCAAGTGGCGTCCATCTTTGGAGGATACGTCAACCCCATCGGACTGGAAGGCATTGGGTGGAAGTTCTACATCTACTACTGCGCGTGGGTAGCTTTTATTTTCGTGATTGTCTACTTCTTCTTTGTGGAGACTTCTGGTCCGACCCTGGAGGAGTTGACTTACTTGTTCGAAGGCAAGGATGTCAAGCAGGAAATGGCCAAGGTCGTCGAAATCAAGAAGGAGGAACAGGAATTCGCCCACGGAAAAGAAAATGAGGCTTAGACCATTAAAAACGAAAATGAAAAGGGGTTGACAGCATGTGGCATTAGTGTGTATTGGTAATCTCATTATTAAATTGCCTATTTTACAAGTTTTGAATCGAAGTATTTCGGAGTGCATCTGATGCTTTCGAATCCAGTCGCGTGAGCAGATCCAGCAGCACCGCAAAATCGCTGCGGGCTCGGGCCGCAATCGGCGAAGACCTGCTCCTGTGCATGATTTCCAAGAGGCTAGCTCCGATCAAGCGGATCTTTTCCACCTGGATCCATAGAGTTAGCAAGTCACCTTCGGATTACTGAGCGAGGAGGGCGTGTTTTGCACCTACATAAGGTTCGCCGTTGACCTGCAGCGACCAAAACGGGGCTTCTTGTATAACACGCAACATGTCTCGAGCAATCTCCGTCTTGCGCAGATCAGCATGCTCAATTCCCGAACTATAGCAAAACGGCAACTCCTCCAACTTTTGCGTGATGACCATCCTCAGGCAGTGGGCGGAGACCTGGAGGTTGGCAGACTGTATCAGGAATTGCTTGGCCTGCGTAGCCTCTTGTGAACCTGATATAAACGACGCAAACGTGTACGATTGGAGATACGGCGGCAGGTTGTCGAGGCAGGTGATGAACCGGATATAGATGGCGTCCAGACGGCTCTTCTCCTCGGCTGTGAGAGAAAGCAGAGGCTGCTGATTGGAGATGGCGTGTTCGCTTTGTTTCCTTTCACGGAGAAACCTCAATTCGAGGAGCAAATCGGAGGCGCTTTGCCATAACTGAAGATTTGCGTTGAATCCCTCAATGCAGGTTTTACGCGTCACTTCAGAACTAGCAGAAAGAGAATTTCCAGGCGAGAGAATCGGCTCCTCGTCTTCGACGCCCGTGGGATACGCTGTGGTGATGCCAGACTCGAAGGAAAACTTGTGAATGGTGATTGGGCGGTTGTTGAGAATGGCGGCAGACTTGTCGCCCATGTACACGATCCAAAACGCCCTGCGACGCAGCTCCGCCTCAATGGGCAGGAGGGCCTCCAGTGAGGACTCTTGGTTTAGTTGCATGACTTGGGCAAGCCGCGTGGCTTCGCCAAATATGTGCCAAGAGTACTTTGGTTTGCCCGCCGCGTGCAGACAATTGGAGTGGAAATACCGAATTGTAATGGAATTGGCGTTGGGGTTCTCGAGGTCCGCCTCTAAGTAATGGTTCAAGCATGCGCGAGAAGCGTCGAGAAACCCATAGGCCACGGACTGTCCCTCCGGAAAGAGATCCGTTGGGAGCAGGAAGGCGGCTTCGGCACACACAGCCGTGATCAAAGCGAATGCTGTTTCGGGCCATATCTCGAGCAGGCCCAGGTCCCCATCCAGCGCCTCGGGTCTGTGGAAGCCACCGGTGAAGTGCAGAAGCGAGTCTCGCAGACTCGGCTCGTGTACCAGAGGTGTCAGCGGGTAGAGGTACTCAAAGAACAGATCGAAGCACCTCGTAACCAACTGCTCCAAATTCCCTGTGGTGAAATCTAAATCTCTCGATAGCCTCTGCCACCTCTGCAGGGCCGACACGCGGTAATTCGTAGCTGCATCGTTCGCCACGGGCGGGCTACGAATAGCCGACGGCGATAAATTAAGATCGTCATTCAGGGGCGTCCGCGTCAAGTCCCACCGCGCTGAAGAATTGGCAGCATACACCTGTGGAGACGTGGCGGCCGCCAATTCCGCTATGGGGGGGTTTGTTTCTGGGGATAGTGGATATCGGGCCGCTTCGCCACCTGCGCAGCTCTTCTTCCGCCGAGCTTTGGGGCCCCTTCGTGCAACGGGCAGGTCGAATTTGCATGTTGAGCCTGATTCACAGCAATTGGTGCAGCGCAGGCCGCCGGTATCCGCAAAATGGCACTAAATGAGCAGAGAAAAAAAATGAGTATCAGGGAATTGGAAACTTCTTTTTGCCTCCCCCACACCCGTCGCTTGCCAGAAAAGGGTTTCTCCGACGCGTCGGCTGCTGTGTCGGTCTTACCCTTGCTTTCCGCCGACGACACCGGTCACACGCCCTTGTGCCGGTGGACCTTCGGTTGTGTGATGGCGTGTGCGTGGCAGGGGAATGAGGAGAAGAGGGCGTAGCGCCGCGTGGATCCATTGGATAAAATAAGGCGTAGGAAAATTGCCAGAGTTGGCTGAGAGAAGGAAGACACAAAGAAGGGGGGGAAACAGGATCTGGGACAGCTAGCGGAGATATACGAGCTATTATTAAACCCTTTGTGGGGAAAATTCACAAACTTCCGCTGCCAAATGGATAGATCTATTTCTCCTATTCTCCGTCGCCTTCCGCAGATCGATCCCCAAACGAAACTAGCGCGCATTGCGGGTCTGGGGTAGCACTTGAACTAGTTCCGTTAACGGACCGATGGATGCAACGGAGAATGGGGCAATGTGGTAGCTTGAGCAAGAGTGATCTGCGGTGCTTGGTGTGATTACACGTGGGTTAAAATAGACCTCGAGAGTTTATAAAAGATAGCGCGGTCATGTCTCTACTTTTTGGACCTCGGGCGTGAAGGACTGACTTGGCTATCCTCGTGGTATCGAGTCGCTCTATCATCAAGGCACCTATAATTATCACGATGAAGTTTCTTTCCCTGTCCCTGACTGGCGCGGCACTAGTGTCCGGTGCCTCTCTGAAAGAGGCCAGGCCCAATGGCAAGACACCCCGAGCACCTTCGTGTCGGTTCGGCCTCCAGTGGTCTCAGCAAGATGTTCTTGAGCGCACCGACGACTTTATCTGGGACCTCCTCTACTGGGAGGGAAAATTTCACCAGAATGACGTTGCTTACAACGCGGAGAACGGCATGTCGTACGACGGCACGCAGCTCGATTGGGAGACTGGAGAGCGCACCCGCAAGCACGACTTTAGCGCAGCCAGCAAAGAGGTAAGTTTGGCCATGATATTTACGCGAAGAATTTGACGAGTCTAAGAAGCTGATAAGTTGCAAGGCATTGCAAATCATGCTATATGCCCAGGCTATCGCGGGATCCGAAGAGGCGGCGCGCTTCTTGACCCCGGGTAACCTTTCCTCCGCCCCAGCGTTCGCTGCCTCCATCATGGAAACCAAGCTCAAGTCCTACCAGCAATTCAACCAGACTTATCCTGGATTTGGTGGGTATTTGCCCTGGATCAAGACCAATGAGGCGCAAGTCACTGTCGCAGATGGTTGGAATGACCGAGTTCCCGGACTCGACAATGGGTAGGCTACGACTCTTTCGAAACATAGAGAGAGGAGAAGTGGAGAAAAGGTTTGAAGTGTTGCTAACTCGTAGTTTTCAGGGAACTTGTATGGGCTGTTTACGCCTGCATCGAAGCTTTGCAGAGGCACTTCGCGCCCAATTTCCAGAAACTCGCAACTGGCTGGCAAGAATGGCTCGACTACGTCGCGTCAACTGCGGCCGAAATCTTCTACATCGGCAAGGGCCGCGTCTGCGCCGTGACAGCGATTGGTGATCAGTCGCTTCCAGTATGGCATTCCAACCAAACCTACGACTGCGAGAGCGAATTCTACCTTGACGACCCCTACGAGGGAGAAACTTTTACTTATTTCCTCGAGTTCTTCGGCAAGATGCCGAAGAAAGACAAGCACAAACTGTGGGAGTACAAGCGGGCCAAGTTAGAGAAGGCCGAATACAACCAGGGCGGCATTGGCCCCATCACCGTTCGGAAAGGTACGTGCTCCCGCCCACTTTTCTCTGTGATAGCAAAGGTCTGACGTATAGGCGGCAGGCTATTGGTTCTCTAGCCATGAGATTTGGAACCAGATGGAGCTGCCGTACTACGATGTCGACATTGTCCGGTAAGTGCCAAATCCTACCAGTCAGACTCTATTAAAGTTTATGTGACTAACAGCCGTAGTCGTCTGTTCTTAAATGGTGAGCGGGCCCGCACTTGCAACTCGGTAGTTACAAAGTCTCCCGGTTTATACGCATCCGTCAACAACTCGACCGACCCCGAGACCGACACCATCATCGGATACATCTCGCCCGCTGGAATCCCCTCTATTGCCAGCCAGAAGGACCAGTATCACGACGTGGTCACCCCTTATGGTGCCTACCCCGTTGTTTTATTCGACAAGGCCGTCGGCCTTGCGTGGTGGAGGAATATGGTCATTGGCAAGAAGATGCAGAGTAAGTGCCTTCTCCACGTAAATTTTTTTTGGTCTCGGCTTGTTCGAATAACTCTACTTACGTTATTTCAGATCCCTACGGAAGTACTGAGTCGACCCAGATTGATGGTAAACTAGTATCCGCTCTTGTTACGTGGGACAGCAAGGTTACCACCGTGGTTGCTCTCCTTGGTGGAGTGACAGACCTCGTCCGAGATCGAATGCGATCGGATGGCATTTACGAGCGATTCGTGGAAATCACAAAGGTATGTGTCCAAGGTCCGTTGATCACTTGGTAGAATAAGCTAACAGGTAAATGAAATAGCGCGAGCATGTCCGTGTATTCGGCCACCATTTGAAGGGCGAGGATATTGATCTATGCCTACCAGAAGAACAAGTTCCAGACGCAGGCCTTGAGGACTTTACTTCTTGTGAAGCGCAATTCTGAAACCGTTAATTTTTCCATAAGAATTGCTATGTATTCTCGATAAAATGAAATGCTGGACAGAATGGCCTAGTGTTCTAATACGGCTTACCACCAACTTGCACACTCACCCAGCCAGGATATGTATGCAAAGGTTATCAACAGGTTTAGCTAGGCCTGATCCTCGATCTTGGCAGTCTTTCGGTCCGCCGTCCAAGACATCCTCTGCCCAAAACTAGCCATTCCCAGGGGTTCAGCACCTGCTAAAGTGGCCTAGGAGGTTTTCTAGTGCAGTCCGAAATTTCATCTCTAAGCTTGTTCTAGCGCCTAGTTCTTCCCAATTCCTGTCGAAAAGATATCATGTTCAAGAAGGGAAAAAGGGGGGGGGGGGGGGGGGGGGGCGCAGTTTTTAGAGAGTCCACCCTCTGGCGAACCATCTGCTATCCGAGAATTCAGACACTAACGAGACATCCGCAAGGTATGCCTGGGATGCAATTTTGGAGCGAGGAAACGTGCCAGTGTCGAATCCCCAGGCCGGGGGCCGGGGTGTCAAAAGTGGGGTTGCGGCCCTTTCAACTTGCCACATATAAGACAGCTTGCATATTGGGCAGAAGTAAATGATAACAATTGATCGTTAAAATCCCATCTAAGCGGAGCTTGCATATCGCATGGATGCCTGGTGTCAAATGTGAACCAGTCATTCGTTCAGGGCTGAAAATGGTGAGGTGAGATCGCGCGAATATGCCCAGGCTCTCGCCCTGTTTTGACGAGAAAGCCCCAAGACTCGACAGAAACCGCACGTGTATTCTCAGGTGCGATCGAATCACGAACGTCCTCCACTCCGTATCCTCTCAAACTGACGCCTATTACAAGTACCCTCAATCTAGTTTCTTGCACTCTGCCGCCTTGATTTCCTCTGGCGTAGATGCCTTCCAGCCACGCTGCTCAAGTAATTCGAGCATCTTGTCCAGTCCCCTTATAGGGCCTTGCCATTTGAGAGACTCCAAATGCTTCCCGTAATCATACGCCGTTCGCCCGTATCCGTCCCTCCATTGTACCTCGCCACCTGGCTGTGCAAGCAAGAATTCAAAGGCCTCAACGTTCCCATAGCGTAAGGCCGTGTGAAGTGCTGTAGTCACTCCCGTCGTACCATAGTAGTCATCCCATGGTTCATCTAAGAACGCGCCCTTCCACTTCTTGGTATGCTGGGTCGGATTCATGCCGAAAAAGTCGGCCGCGTCGTGTTGGAGGAGGATCTGGAGGTTGACCGTGCCTCCATAACGAGCTGCGGAACGGGATAGTTTCCTTGTCACCTCGACCCTGCCGTGCTTCTTAGGGTTGAACAAGGTGAGGTAGAAATCAATGAGTTCGGGTAATGCGTTAGAGTCGACGCCGTGCAGGAGGTTTTCCGATACTTCTGCTTCGGTGAATTGTGGATGAACACATATCAGAGGTCCAAGCTCCTGTAGCAGCGCTTTTCCAGACGCGACATCGGGGGCCGTTAGAGCTACGCTGAGTAAAGTAGGATGTGGTGAAGCCCAACTGTGCTTCATCAAAGAGACCCAAACATCACAGCCAGTGTCCAGAGTGGCAACGCCAGCAAAAATTTGATGGTGGATGATCTGTCGACCTGTGTCGGGATACAGTGTGCGGTTTATGCTGTTTGGGCCAAATAGTTGGTCGTAATCGGGGCCCGGGGAGTAATTTTCGATGATTGCAATCGCTAGGGGTTTGTTTCCAACCAGAAGAGCAAGCACGATTAAGACTTGACGAACCCCTGGATTCTGAAGCAAGCCAACTCCCGAGGCACTCGCTATTTCGCCATTGAGAGTTTCGAGATCATGGAGGGTGGCATCTTTGCAGGCAAGAAACAAAGGCCTTGCCTGACTCTCTTCTGGGAGCGAAATAGAAGTTGTCATGACAGAGAAGCTGCTCTGCTGATGAAACGGATGCCAGATGCATATGACCATGGCCGTCATAACGACATTTGCAGCACCCCCTAGACTCCGATTGATGCGGCGGTAGCTCTCAACCTCATGAGCTATCGGAGAAAGCCTAGTGGACAGGTAGTAGAATTCTTCGCAAATCTGGTCAAGGAGGACATGTGCTGTTATCTCTCCCCTGCGAAGCCGCGTTATGGACTTAGCTATCCGATTGCTACAGTCCAGGAGAGCGCGTGAGCTTTTTGTAGGACGAGCCAGCATTATTGCGTGACCGGGGTGCTTCAAGGCCGTTGTCGCTCGTGTCAAGGCGAGGAGAGGGGGGGAGAGAAGGGAGAAGAAATGAGGGAACGGCAACAGACAGGTGCGGGGGATCAAGGCACTTGTAGAGATATTAATAAACCAATAAGCAGCCCAGGTACCACCAGAAGAAGCCCAACAGTGTTTCGTCTTTATTATAACAAGTGTAAAATGATTAGGACTAAAGCCATTCGACTTATATCTTTCCTCCGAACAGTGAAGTAGCGAATCTCGCTGAACAAACCAAGCGCTCAACCCCACGGAATTGGACGCTAGACTGAGGAACTTTGAGTACGGCCGCTTTTGTCGGAGTGAGGGCGGTCGGTATGTCTGGGCACCGAGATATGCCTCGCCCAGGGACTCGGTCTGTGTCTTTGATGGGGCGCGGACGCCTCATGTCATACGGAGACTGCAGAATGACCGGTATAAGTTGGTTGGTGATTGTTACATGCAGGGACTCATGCTAGGAGAAGCAACGAGTCTCTAGGGACCCTCGGGAGACATCGTTTTGGCGTGAGGCCGTAGCCGATCATTTTCACTTGGAGACAAGGTCGCCGAACGGACTGAATTCCTGGGAACTTTACGACGAGGACAATAATTCCGCTTAAGGGCCGGGGGACCGTCGAACGCGGGGCTAACCATGGCTAACCATGCGGAAGTCCTTGAGTGGGAACAGAATAGTGGTAGCACTCACTCTCGCCGTACGCAGTGCCGCTGTAGCCACCACCTTGTACCTAGCACCTTCCCATAGTAAGACAAAGACTGACCTCGCGTTCCTACCCGCGGAGGCAGGGCTCGTTCTTGATCGACCGCTGTGGCATACTCCATTGACGTGGCACTTATCCATCCAGAGCAGGCCATCAGTACCAGAATATAGTTGGTCGAGAGTTACAGAGTAGTGACTCCCGGTTCTGGCTGAACGCGGTTGAGGCGAGGAACTGTAGATAGGCTACGACGGGCACCCCTATCCAGAATAGACGCCGAGCTACGTAGCCCCCCTAGGCCCCCGAGAATGTACCCATATTATAATCAAGAAGTCCTAGCTAAAGACATCACATATCTCTAGGCTATAGGATGCGAAAAAGAGGCAATTTCATAATGGAAAACCCTTCTTAATTCGATTATGTTAAGGCCACTGAATAGGACACTCAGTATGCCTGAATGAATAAGCACTAGAGGCCGCCTGAGGCCTCCTGAGATTCAGCCCTGGTGAGGGACGAAGGTATAACTGCGCCAGGAAAACGGCAATTCAAGCCGTAGGTAAACTTCTCGATTCAGACGGTATTCTTAGTTAACTGCTGACATCATGAATACAGCCATAAAAGGGGAATTTTTTCCGGCTTCTTTCCTTTCCTTCCTTGAGCAAGCAGCGGATGGGGAGCTTTCTTTCTTTTTTCCTTTGTATACCCAGCTCTACCGCGATGCAACCGACATGACGAGTCATCTCTCACCGTCGACTACGGTGGTGCTAAATTAATTTCCCAGCGTCGGTGATGTCTCATAGCCCAGCCGGGGTCGGCCGACCGTCTGACTCGTTCTTATACTGGACGAAGTAATTCAAAATTGGCTACCAAGCGGAAGGAGCGGAAGGAGTGGAAGGAGCCACTATAAGAAGCTCCTCCGGTCCTATTCTGTAAACTCTTAAAAAGAATCAGACCCAACTCCCCATTTCCCAATACACAGAGATCGAGCTTGGTACAAACATTTAGTTCCTCATTGTTTTCCAACTGAATTCTAGGAATACACTTCTTTTCTATCTTTTTGTTTGATATTCTCCATCAGTTACAACTTGTCATCATGGCTGCTATCAGAATGCAACCCCCCAAGCTTACCCACGTCATGAACATGCGTGCGTACATGAGCAAGAAGAGCGGCATTTCTGGTGCGTACAGGGGTGGTGCCACTCGCGGTTTGGTACCATTGACCGGCGGCTTCCTTAAAGGCGTAGAGGGCACCAGAGCCGAGGGTTTAGACGTGCAGTTGATGGAGGGCGGTAGCGACTGGCCCATGGTGGATGAAGCCAGCGGCATGGTCCATGTTGACGTGCGGACGCACGGCACCTCCAAGTCAGGTGACGGCTTCTTCATACACTACACCGGGTATCTAGGGCTTGACAAGGCCGCTGCCATGTTCACTAGCTGGGATCCCGAAGCCAAGACTACCAAGGGAGGTGATCATTATTGGTTCACGAACCCCACATTCGAGACTAGTTGTACGTTCCTTGGCTGGTGATACCTACTATTCAACATGCCCTCTCTAATTTTAACGCGTAATCTAACTAACATTTAATCGCAGGCAAGGACTTCCAATGGTTGACGACCACCTCCTTTGTCGGTAGGGGGCACTGGTGGGCTGGGGACGATGGGATGCAAGCAGTGGAATATGAGATCTTTGAAGTTTCAAACTAGATCCGTCTATCCGCCCAGTCTCATTTTAGATCATTACATGGACAACGAAGAAATGCTTGGACGAAGTCACTGAAAGCCCAAACGTATGTTCTATGAACGTGTTGGGCGCAGTGCGGTTGAGTGCAATAACAAGTCTGTCAGGTCACAGGTCTGCGCGCTGAGGCCCTAGATTACGGCAATATTGTTGCTTAGTTGCATGACACAGTCGTACCGGCCTCGATTGGCTACGCGTTTAGTGCTAGTAGTGATTCCCTGTTGACTCGATACTTTGAAGATTGAGATTCAAAGCTCAAAACTCGCCGGGGAAGGCCAGGTTGCTTAGTGTGGTTGTCCAATGACGTCAGTAAAGTCGTTTGTTATGGTGCCGAGGGTGTATACTGGAGAAGGGCTGAGCCACCTAGAATCTAAAGACACGCGTAGCGAACGTATGTCTTATAGACCCAGCCCACCTTGACCTATCGAGACTCTTCAAACGAGTGTCCTTGATCCTTTGATAGAACTCTCATTTGTTTCGCTATTCCTGCCTCCCCATTGTTGGAGCTGTAGATATGTTCTATTGTGGCCAAGACGCTCACCGGCCCAGACCACCACTCGCAGCCACTCGCAGCCACTCGCAGCCATGATAGTAGGCTCTGCGGCAATAGCGGGTCGATCCTCGGGCCCCGGCTGATATTGGCTGAAACCGGCCTTTGGTGACAAGATATATGTGAGTATTCGGATCAAGTACCCGTGAAGCTATGATATAATCTATTGGATTTCTGTAGAAAAACACTTCCCCTAGTATCAGTCGTTTTCCGAGAGCGTCGTGCCTCAAGCTCTAATAATGTAGTGGGCCTTGGTCTGTGTGCTTGCTCATAGCATTATCCCAATATTGAAGGCTGGATTTGGCTCCATCGAGAGAAAGTTTTGCAGAGCGGAACCATCACGCCTCGTCAACCTATCCCTTGACTTCGGTGTGTAGCAACTCTCTGGAGGTGCCACTCTTCGCACGTAAGTCCCGAATTTCAGCACCCGTGACGCTTAGCTTCTATCTTTGTCCGCCAATTGTTTTGCCCTGGCACTCCTTCCGCACATTTCTCCCTTCAAATCTCGGTGTCATGTCGATTATGGGAGATAAAAGAGGGCGATGTTCGACTGAGTCCATATGCTAACCAAAAACCTGCTGTGATGCATCAGCCCGCTTCACTGTTGTCGATTGGGACTACAGCCAGGAGTACCCGAACAACGGTGGGGAGAACCGTATTGAGGCCGGAATCGAAACGAAAAAAGATGGCCCGTGTTCCCGAATACCGTTCTGAGACGACTAGCGACGATCACTCACCGATGAAGCCCATCTTTCACTATGATGCAGCTGCTTCGGGCAGTCTCACTGCCTATGTGTATGGCGAATCTAATCTTTCCTCAACGTTCTAGGAGAGTGGCAAACGCCCTAGAGAAGCAGAACTGTGGGCTAACTGAACCTCGTACCGGGGGTGATGCGTAGTATCACTAGGGTAGAATTCGGCATCGTGTTTGACTTTGACGACGTCCCCAACGTCGCGGTATGTCCCACTCATTCATTACCCTGGGCCTTGTTCTTTCCGCAGTCAGCAGGCACTTACGCCGATATGTGATAACCAGGTTGTCCTCGCTTTGGACAACAGAGTTACGTTCAGTGGCGATGCAGGAATTGGTACGGATGTAGAGGGATACGTCTGCTACGGCATTGACGGTTCTCCCAACCTTTATGCACAGGTCAACACGCCGTGAGGGATCCGACTTAATCTCATCACCCTTTACAGCTCTTAAGACAATTCCGCGCGTTCTGTTGAGACACACAAACAGTAACTAATGGTTATTTTGGGCAGGGGTATGTTTGGCATGAATTTGAACTCACGATGGGATATCTTCAGACAGCCGGTATGTCTCCCTGTGTTCACCACGACAAGGTGTTGCCGTCGATCCCCGAAGAATACCCACAAGATATGGCTAACACGTAAGGAACTACCAAATCCCCAGTTCACTATTGTGGAGCGTTCAGGTTTGTAGAACGTAGCATTATCTGCGCCCCCCATATAGCAGCCAGAGGTACACGGCAAGCTGCTGACCCTTTAGGCTACTCCATAAGATACCTTGAGGGCCTAGAGTATTCTATTCTACCGCAACTGTCGTTCCGCCGCCTGAGGTGTCAGTGCCATGGCCAGGTGATCTGCATGTCTAAACTAAGTTAGCACTACAAATGGAATAAATTTAGAAAGCACCTTGTCCAAAGCTTGGGAGAGCGGAACCGCCGTCGCCAGTCCTGAATAGAGCAATGAATCTACAAGTCTCGTTCTTGTACACTGGTTTCTCGTTCTCGGAATGGGGCACGTTATTTCACAACTGACCTCTTCCTGCTTCTACGCAGTATGGACGCTTCAATGACTTCTGCAAACCAGTCAACTGTCAGAGCACCGAACTGCGGTAAATGGACAAAAACACATGGTGTTTATGCCGGAGTTAGGGTGAAGCTGTCCGTACAGACCAGGACCTGGAGCTGCAAAGTATTGCGGATCTCATTGAATCATACCCTTAATATGTTCTGCGTCCAAGTTGAAGCCTGTTCGGATGGGGGACAAGTCCCGCCATCCATAATGGATCTCCTCCTTAATCATGAAACCATTGACAGGGAGATGGAAACTAGAGTAACCGCAATGGCTTGCCTCCGACGCATCAGGAATACGTGAATTGTATAATGAGCTCAGAGGAAGTGGGTTAGTTGTGGACCACCCGTCACGAGAAGGGAACCACAGGCAGGTTGTCCTGTCAAAGTCGGAATCCGAGCTGCTGATATTATTTAGGGCTCCTCTGCTCATCTATTCCGACTCAGAAGAACTCTCTGATTCATAGTCCTCGCATTCACTCGGATCGCTGGAAATGTCAGAGTCATCGCCGAGTTCCCACCCATAAGCGCTAAACTTGCTCCGCATCGTCTGACGAAAATGATGGGCGCAGGCTTTTCCGTACGGCTCCTTCGTGTTAACGTCAATGATGACCTCGATATCTACGGGGTGAATGGAAGCAGCCATGAGTACTTGCGCTATGAAATCAACGCGTTCCAGGTACCAGCTCTCGTCGTCCGTGCCAAATCTCCGACCAGCGGCCAGCTTGCGCTCGAGATAAATGGCGTATCTTGCGAGGTGGTATTCGAAGTCGCAGCGGTTGTTTACGACGAACTGAGGACGAATAAGGGTTTGTGTCAGACGCAGAGAGATGCTGGCATGTCAATAGAGGGAAGGGAAACGCTTACCGGCCTTTGAGGATGGTCCCTGGCGACGACAGGCCAACTCTTATAGAGCTTTCCAATATCGGTGGCCCAGCGAAGCTTAAGGAGCGCCAAATCTTCCAGGGACAGGTCCTCCATCTCCTGTTCTAGCTTGTCAATGAATTCTGACTCCTCATCTATGATCTCTTCGGCATCTTCCCTGGCAGTGTATCTCTGCCCACTACAGTCTTCTGACCACGTACTGGAGACGCTCTCTCCTCGAGCTATATAGCAGCAGACGTGGGTGATGCCCAATTCTTGGACTACGGCCTTGCGGATGAAGGATTGAATCGTCTTCTTACATGCCTCTGGGCCGCGATACTCTTTGATCAGGCATATCCACTCCAATGTCCATATGACGCACGGACTCCAGATAGAATAGCGCTGTTCTTCTCGTCGCGGCTGGAAAGCCGTTGTTATGAGACAACCGTCAGGTGCACATGGGCATATGCAGTCATCGGGGTCGAAGACAGCAGCACCGTATTCCAAGAACAATCTGATGCAGTCTATAATCTTCCTTGCCGACTTTGATCTCCTGCACAAGGCTCGAATGAGCTTAGCTAGTGCGGGATGATGGTCATTGTCTCGATGGTTAACATCCGCCCCGTTCTCGAGACAGACGCGAATCAAGTCGGGATCGCCCCTCTCTACGAGGAGATGCAGCGGATATTCACCTCGGCTGTTAGCTCTATTAAGGTCAGAAAAACCGAGCTCGATCAGTGTTCTGGCCGATCTCGCATCATGGACGTAGTGCATTAGAGTGTTTTCTCTCGTGTTCCGGTTCATGTCCTCGAACGTGAAGTTTACCCCTTCGCAATGCCGGACCAAGTAGTCAAACCCATCGCCCCATAAGTTGTCATTGGGATAGTACTTGGTTATTCTCGCCAACCTAGTGATAGCTTGGGAGACGAGCCAGCCAACGACATCCTTGGGATATCGGGACTGAGCAGCTTCGAGGATTCGAATTCCCAGGTTAATGCTACCGCCAAAGAAGCAGGCGTCAACGCACGTCCCGAATTTACTAGTGCTGTTAACGCTGATGTCGGCGCCTCGTGTGATAAGAAACATGGCCGTGTCAACACAACCTCTGGCAGCGGCGTATATCAGTGCCGTGGCTCCTGATTTATCGGCAAGATCTAGTCCATGTCCCGCGTCGACAAGGGCTTTTACGACGTCGATGTGGTCAACGGCAAGATGCAAAGGGGTTTGTCCATGAAAAGCTCGTGGGCCGTCAACGGATCCTTGCCCGAGGCGGCAGAGTATGTTCCGAGTTCTACCAACGTCGCCAGCGAGGGCCGCGTAGTGCAGCGGATGCAGCTCAAGGCACTCTAGGTGATGTGATAATCATTAACGTCCAAATATTCTTGCGAAACGAAAGGGTGATCAAGCATACCAGGTCTACCCTGAGACAGAGTACCCAAACAGCCTACAAGGAAAGGATCTGACTGGGGATTGCCTCGGTGCTGTAAGCCAGACATATTTATCAGATAATCCCACGATTGTTTGTTTGTGTTCATCGTATCGGGATCAAATCCGCAATCCAGCATTTTCTGAAGAAACTCCAGTCTGAAACAACTTCTCGACCACATAATCCAAGCATCCATAAGGCTTATGGAAAAGGGTTAGTCAATATATTGTATCTGGCCTAGGCTAGGTTCAAATTAACAGGTATTGGCACTTACTCGTTACCGCGGTCGACGACGGGGCTTCCAAGTTC